GTGTATTACTTGAGCCGGTGATTAGTGGTGCAAAGCTGCCATTTTTGAAGATCTGGTGGACGGCTCTGCTTCAGATCGATACATTCCACGTTGTCTGGGAAGTAAAAGTGTTTTGTGCTCAATGTTGATGAGATTACCGCAATCGTGCCGTTGGTCACGAAATTGTGAAGCCTTATTCTCCATCCATCTCCCTGCCCACAATGGGCTTTTGTTTTGCCTTTTCTGTAATGCTTTATATATATGTGTGTGTTAATATTATTTTACAAAAAGGAGGTACCTTGCAATAAAGCAATTATTGTAACATTCTTCGTGAAAGAATTCCTGTTGTGTTAGTCTTACTAATCCACAATTAATTAAAAACTTATGTAATCTCGATTTTAATTTTAACTCAGTAATTTTCGTAGTTTTGTTTATGTTTGTAGTACAGAAGTAAAGTACTAAAATTTGCGAAATATTTTGAAAAATTTAAATTTTTAAAAATTATCATCAAAAAAAAATTTTTTTGTGCTTTTTTTGAACCTCATAGTTTTTTTTTTTTTTGTGCTGATTTTTTTAAATTTTTTCCACTATTGAAAAAAATTTTAAGCTTCGTAATTAAAAAAATTAAAGTGGCAAAAAATAATTTTTTTTTAATTAAAAAAAATCAATATTTTATGTTCCACATCGGAAAGNAAAAAATTTTTTTTTGTGCTTTTTTTGAACCTCATAGTTTTTTTTTTGTGCTGATTTTTTAAAATTTTTTCCACTATTGAAAAAAATTTTAAGCTTCGTAATTAAAAAAATTAAAGTGGCAAAAAATAATTTTTTTTTAATTAAAAAAAATCAATATTTTATGTTCCACATCGGAAAGGCATCTACATTTAAAAAGTAAACTCTGAATTTGCATTTATTTATTGATGTTTCAAATTGCTGAAAAAATGTTTTGTTATTTTTCCTTCCTCAGAACAACCATTACTTTTTCTTGATATTGCATGCGCCAATTTCTTTTTTGGGTTCAAATTAATCCTCAAAACGAATTCTCGAAGTTTTGCTCTTTTAATTCTGAAAATTAATTAAAAATAGGAACTTTTTTTTATCACTTTGTGCAATTTTTTTTATCACTTTGTGCATCAATTATGCAACTTAAAATTTGTTAAAAAGTTCTAAATAAATGAAATTTTGCGATAATTTTTTTTTGACGTTTAATTTCATTTATCAATTGTTATCTAATCGTCACTATATCACTTGTTAATAAATTTACTACATCACTTGTAAGTAATTTTAAACAAGTTATTAGCAAGTGAAAATTAATTATTTAATTTCATAAAACATAAAAATTTAAAATTATGTATGAAAACTTATTTGAAATATGGATTTATAACACAATGTATGCAGAAAATAGATTTTCAATTTACCTTTATTTTTTGAACAAAACAACCTTCCTTTTTATGTATTTAATTTCTTTTTTGTGTGTTTGTCTAGTTGTTTATCTTATAGCTGTTTCGATTTAGCAAACTCAGTATTTTCTTGTGGAGGTGTTATAGCATCGTAATTTATATCAAAATTTGAGAAAATTCAGATATTTATTTAAAATAATTTCTAGAGAATCAAAATCAAAATTTGTTTTTTTATTTTTTATTTCAAATTTTAAAGTGTTGAACGCGATAATGTAGCACTTTAAATTAAACACACAGACTTGTATCTAGACTTTGAGCAACATTGTTTCAAATTTTGAAATTCGTTTATCTTGAGACTGTTTTTAAAATAAATTTTTTAGTTTCGTCGTTCGGATTATAACTAATAGCTTTCCTTAGTTTTTATTGGTTGCCCTTTTAAAAAGTTTATTACTATCGAATTATTTTTTTCTATTTTACAACGAAAACTGGAATTAAGGGCTTATTTTGAACGTGTTTTTTTTGTTTTGTTTTTTTGAAGATCCCAATTTTTTAGAATGTTCATAATTCTCATCTGTTACAATCCATTAAGTTTTTTTTTTCTTTTTTCCTTTTTTTTTATTTTTTACTTTGGCTTTTTGCTTATACATACGTTTTGAAATTATCTGTAATTCTTCAACAAAAAAAGCATCATTAATTTCACCCACTCTCTGGATAAGTTTATATTCACAAATATTCCACATATGCTTTGAAATATACTGTTTGTGTATTTTTTTTTTAGTCCAAGAGGACTAGAAATTTTTACTATGTTTACTAATTATTAAAACTAAACATATTTAAAAATCTCTTACTATTAACAAATACTAGTCATTAATTTAAGTAAGCAGAATTTTCCGCTGTTTATCCATATTTTTTGAGAGTTTCTATGGAGGATTTTCAAATGTTGTTGAGTTGCTATCCAGAGCTGTGCATTTTGTAATTTTAGCTCCGAAAACCATTAAACTTTAAAGGTCCTAAAAGCAGTTTATTTCAGCAGTACTCTCTCTCTTAAGTTTTTCAATTCAAAAATTTTGCATATTATTATATGAATATTAATGTTACAAATTCATGAATGTTTAATATTTGATATTGGTAGTTTGTATAACTTTATTCGTCGAAATTACCAGCGTGTTTTGTAGTTAGGAATGTTAAAATGTGGCCAATATGTTTTGTTTTACGTATGGTCATTAAGAAATACACTGCTGCTATATATTTGAAGGAGGGAAAAAATTAAAAATTGTCGTATTAAATATCCAAAAATATGTATTTTTGACGCAAAGTTAATATTAGCATAAGAAAATCTGCTAATTTTGAAAAATACGTTTAAACACTCCTTCACTTATTTTACATAATTTAGTTCCTAAAAAATATATACTTCAGAAATTGTGTTTTATATTTTTTGTATTAAATTTTATATTGTTTATTTTGTACTTATATGTTTTCTTTGCTTCAACTCACGCTTTTTCTGGTAATAATTTAAGATGTGAGAACTGAAAAGGGAACTTTTAAAGACTTCCCCTCTAACAAGGACTTACATATGTTGTTTAAGATACTACCCAAAACTGAAATAAGTGATTTCTATTTATTTTTGTGGGAATAATAATAACATTTTCCCCTTTTCATATCTTAAGTTATTTTAAACCTGGAAAAATATCTTAGAACATTTTTGTAGAAAATTGTAATTAGTGTGCATTTTTTTTGCCAGAACTTTAAGCTTTTTATAAATTTAAAAAAAAAAAAATTGAAAAAAACATAATTTTCCTCTTGTTTCCACCTTATTTAAACTAATATTATCATTTAAATATCTGTAAAAAAAAACTCCTTGAAATATAGACAAAAAATAATTATAAAAATTTTTTTCTTTCTTGAATAATCTACTAGCAACTATCCCTGGTTTTTAATGACTATGTGTACTGTAATTGTTTGGCAGTAATGTAACACTCCTAAGAGCATCATGTTACTCAACAGAATCTTGAGATTAATATGTTTTTATGCATAAAATATGCTTTTATGCATAAAAAAAAACATAATAGTAGTGAGATTAATATGAATAAAAAATATATCATTGTGCTATTTAATTGTTTGGATGCTTAGTGATGTTAATTGAGTTTTGAAGTATTTCATATGCATACTCTGCCTTAGTTATAAGTTAGGTTCCCTCTATAAGTTTTACTTCTATTATTTATTTTTTATATTTTCACTACCAACAACGAAATGGCACCAAGTGAAACTTAACAATTTGATATTGAACAAAACTTTTATATATATATAATTGGTTTATTGAATTTGAATAAACCAAACTAAACCCAGTGGCGCGACAGTCCATAGAGGGCCAAGGCTTACTGTGTCCATCTCAGTTTTCAAGACCTTTGGGCTCTGGGGTGCAAGTACAGACGTTCCGTTTGAGTGGTCAGCCCAACACTGAGCTCCAGTGCTCAGTTCCCAGGCATGCTTGCTTCTCATTTTATCGACCCACTGAAGGGATAAAAGGCTGAGTCAACTTTTCCCGGCCCAAGGATCAAACCAAAGACCTGTGGCACCACAGCGCAAAGCACTACCACTTAGCCAACGGGCGTCTTGAATTTGAATAATATTATATTTAGACCATTTGAATGATTCCAAAACTATTTCTAAAAAATGTTTTACTTTGCATAATGTAAAAAAAAAATTTTTTCATTTATTGAAAACAATCAGAACAATTTTTATTACTAATTTATTTCATAATATTTACAGAGTAATGTGCAAGAATGAGCAAATATTTTATATTCTTTGTTAGAACATCTGTAGCAATTTTGTTGAATCTAATTTGTCTAAAATGATATAAAATTTTGGACAGAAGTTTTAAAATTATCTGGAAGATCCTCATATCCAGATCTCTTAAAGTACTTATCTGATCATGTCTAAATATTTTAGAAGAAAATCAGTTTAACACAAATAAAATAACTTATGCTACAAATAATTTTAACATTAAATTGTTTTAAGATATTGCAAATTTCATTTGCATCATCATTTGCATTAATTTCAGAATTCATTTCATTAAATAAGTATACAACTTGTAGTTAAATTAGACTTGTTGTTCCTTCTGAGAAAAAACCTTGATTTTTCGATTCTCTACTAACAAAATTATTGGGAAAATTTTCTTTAAATAGGCACTTCTATTGTACCTATCTAATTCCCTGAATTTAAACAGAGAACTAATGACAATTGGAGAAAAAAGGGGGGGGGGACGTAAACCTAATTCTGGCTAACACTGGTTTGAGCCTAACTCCTAAAGAATACATAGAGTGATTTTTCTTAATTGCTTCAAACATCAAAAGAGCTATAATTTATTTATCTCCTCAGTGCAGCAAAAGTATTTTTATAGGGTTAATTAAGAAATTATTCAAGTGACCTAACATGATAATGTATTACAATTCAATACCTTTAAAATCTATGAATTAAAAAAGTTTTGCTCGATATTTAGATTTTATGTGACACTTTGTGAGATTTCTTTGTAAAATGGACAAATTCCTAAAATGCATGATTTTCAAATTTGTATCCCCAGCATTTTTTTCTGCTAATTAATTTATTCAAAAATTATTTTTGCAGATATCTGATATCATTACTGGATTGGATGATTCACTAACGGCGAGAGAAGCTCTTCTTAAATGGGCGCAACGAACAACCGAGCGATATCCCGGAGTTCGAGTTACAGATTTCAGTAAATCTTGGAAAGATGGCTTGGCTTTTAATGCTATTCTTCATAGAAACAGGTTTGATTTCTTTAATATTTTCAGCAGATGCATGTTTAATGAAAAGAATATAGAATATTTTAACATAAAACCATATTCCTTTGTCACAAAAAAGCAAAAATTATTTTTTATTATTCTTTTGGAGGAAAAATAGATATATATTTTTGCATCTTTCTCACCTTCAAAACAGTTTTCTTGAATTTTTTGTAAAATTTTCAGTCTGAGGCAGTGACTTATTATGTTAGTCATTTTGATATGTTTTATATTTAGATTTCTAAATCAAAATAAGTCTGCCAGCAAAAATGCTGTAATTTGAGGTTCAAACTGTTAAATCATTATTAAAACTTTTTTTATAGATTGAAAAAAAAAGGCAAATTGCAAATGCTAGAAAAAGAACTATAAATAATTAAAAAATAGCGTTTCTTATTGGAAGGATAGAGCATTTGACGTCAATGGTGCATTTGATACCAATTTAAATTTTTAATTAAAAGTTATGCAAAATAGAACTTTGTATGGAAGCCAAAATATAATTAAGCTGTTTTGCATCGATTGATAAGCTTTTTCAAAATGAAAAGAAAAAAAATTCTTAAAATTAAAATTGTAAATTTTTTAATTATTTCAGCAATAGACTTTTTTTTTGTTTAGAAAAGGTGAACTTTAATAGAGACAAATCACCTGTGATAATTTCTAATAAATATATAGATTTTTATGATTACAAAATATTATTAAACTACTTTTGATATATTTGATTCAATTCTAAAGTATTTTACTATTAAAGTTTTTTAAATTGAAATAATGAATATGTTTTCTTTCAGACCTGATCTTCTCGACTTCCGATCTCTGAAAATTAGAAATCCACGAGATAATTTAGAATTGGCATTTTCTTTAGCTGAAAAAGAATTTGGCATTACAAGACTCTTAGATCCTGAAGGTAGCTTAATAAATATTAATTTTACTTTGGAATTTTTATGAATAAGCGTACCAAGAAAAACTATTTTTTCATAAAATATTACCTTAAATAACAGTAGTTAAGTTTAGTTTTCTTTTGTATTGTGCTAAATTTTTAATGTTCATTTTTTCCCCAGATGTGGATACTCCAGAACCAGATGAAAAGTCTCTTATCACTTATATTTCATCTTTGTATGATGTATTTCCTGAACCTCCTAGCCATCATCCTTTTGCTGATGATGTAAGTGTTTTTCATAAATAGCATTATGCTAACACTAAAATTATATTTTCTTCACAAACTTCGTTTTTAGGATTCTGTCAATTTTCCACTAGGAAATCCACTATAAATAATTATGATTGTAGCCTAAAATACGTTTAATATTCTATGAAATTTAGAAAATAAGAAAGTATTTCTTGGTATGATTTGCTTTGCACTGGTATTTTAAAAACATTTTTACCTATGTATTTGTTTACAAGATCAGTAGAGTTGTGACTAAAAACAAAACTTAGGTATTGAATGTTTAATTTCTTGAAAAAAAGGAAAAGCATTTTTCTAATTATTTTTTTTCAATCAAAAATTCTAGAAATTATCAGATTAAAATTTAATTTTTTGTTGGTATTTAAAAACAATTTATTTTTAAGCATCTTACTTTACAATAAAATATGATGCATCAAAAGTTTTCTCGGGGAACAATATATTAAAAATGGTTTTAGTTTGTGTACAAATATTTGCAATAATAGCACACATTCTTTCAATTGCATGTTTCAGTTATATTATTCATTTTATCGCTAAATTTAATAATTATAATCCGTCTGTGTTTTATCTTTTTATCTGCATTGGAACTTGTGTAGTTATAGTGTATTCATTAAAATATTACTGTTTTCTAAATTTTTTTTAAATTATAAATCTTGTTTTCTTATTTAAATCCATACTAATTACAATATTTTATTTGTTTCATACTTACGTGAAGTTGTGTTAAACTTAAATTTGAGTGATTAAGTGCTATTTTAAAATACAAATAGTATTGTAATATTAAAAAGATAATAGATCTTAATTTCTTGAGGAAAAATAATTCTTGTATAAATTTTTGTATTTATTGTATATTCATTGTATTCCATTTTTCTGTTATACTGGAGAACCTTTTTACTTCTTTTAGTTAATGTTTTTATTTGATAATAGGAAAGGAATCGTAAAGTAGAAGAATACAAAGATTTAGCAATGAGCTTACAAAAGTGGATGTATGAGTCTTTAGAAACTTTCAGAAATCAAGTTATTAGCAATTCTGTGATAGATATGAAGGTTTGTTTTTAAGATGTTCCTTTTAGTTTTTAAATTTCAGTTATTTACTTTAAACAATATCTTTTTCTTTCCATTTTAAATTTTTTAGAGATAGAACATAATTTGCCTTTATACTTATTATTTATCTTTATAAATCACTTAACTTAGTCGATTTAAACTATATAAAGTTTGTTTATTAAAAAAAGAAATTAGTTCTTCTATCAATGCTTGTCTATAATTGTTTTTTATTTTTTTAGAAAATAATTTGCATTGAGTATTATTTAAAATGTAAATTAACAATTGAGTATTATTATTATCAAGAAGTAAATTAACAATTTGAAATTAATGTTTTAATTGTTAATTTACTTCTTTATATCTTTTGTATTTGTAAATTGGATTCTCTTTGTCTGATTAAAATGTAACTGTTAAGTTTAAATTTTACTGTATACAGTGATCCCTCGTTTTTCGCGGTTAATAGGGACCAGAACCTTTGGCGAAAGCTGAAAAACCGCGAAGTAGGATTTGCCCCTATGAATTTTCGTGCATGCAGGTATACGAATGTTTTAAATATGTAAACAGTATTTATACTTTACACATTTAAGACAAAAATTACAACAGTATGCGTTTTTACTTAAATGTGTCAGTGCTAAATTATAAGGTTAATTACAAAACCTTATACAGTAATAAACATTAATCAGCATGATATGATTATGAGACCCCGCGGTATATGTACTCAACTCATCTCTTTGTTTGACATGCAGGGATCCTTCTCTCTCGCGCATCAACATGAAAAAGCGCTCCTTTCCGCAATGTGGCTGCCGACATGGTTGTATTTTTTCATTTTTATTTTTTGATGAATACTTTGGAAAAACTCGTGAAGCACTGAAGCTGCAAGACATGAAGCTCGAAGTGGCGAGGGAACACTGTAGTTTTATTAATTGTAATTTTTTTTTAAAATTAAAAGATTTTGAAAGAAAAAGCGTTGTTTTATACTTTGATATTTAAACGAATGTTTTGAAAGTCTACATAATATCAAAGTATTTACATTTAAGCAGAGTAATTGAGTAATTTGTTATTTTATATATTTATCATGATTATTAGCAATATCAAGAAAAAAGTTTTGAAGAATGATTTTATATTCTTTCTACTACAAAACCCCCACATGTGTTCCACCGCTATATTTAGCACATTAATTTCAAATAAATGAAAATCTTTAATTAACAAAGTTAAATCCTATGTTCAGCACTTTTTCTATTGTTGTTTTTCTTCTAATGTCAAATTTCACAAATTTTTATTTATAGGTCAAGTAATTAAATACTCAGATATTTTATTATTTGATCTGGGTTTTTTATCTGGTATTATATTATTTGGTAGGTCAAATATCAAAATTCTCAATTTTAAAAAATAAAAACATAAATAGCCATTTTTAAACTTTTGCATCAAAAATATTGATTTCTATTTGTATTTTGTGTATTTGACACATACATAAATAAAAAAAATTGTTTTTGTTATAAATGTCATTAGATTTCTGAATAAACACTTAAAGGGAGATATAATTGTTTTAATTAACACCTAAATAGTTTGAAAATTTAAAATAACTGTTTACATTTCTTCAATTTCATGATTTTTGCTTAAGAGTATTTTACAGTTTCTTGTTATAATCATTAAAAAAATTCTCTTTCAGAATTTATTATTAGAATCTTCAAAATTCAGGTCTGATGAATTACCTAAGCGTCAAAGAGATAAGCAGAGAATTTCTCTTTTACATCGGGAAATTCAGGTACTTTTTATGAATATTTAATGCTTTTTGTGAGAAATATTTTTATAAAATATATCAAAAAGTTAAACTGAGTGTATGTCTTCTTTTTATGTTTATTATTTATTGATTTGCAGCTACACAACTTCAAATTACTTAGTAAAATCTAGGATTGGTATATTCTAAATTTGTAGGTCACATTTTTCCTGCCCTTTTTATTTTCTTCCCCTAATTTCTCTGTTTTTAAATTATAACATCCTTTATTTTCACCTTAATATTTACTTCTAGTTTAATTCCTTATTGAATACATTAAAAACAACAATACTAGAATATACAGAAACATTAAAAAACTGCTGATAAAATATTTTTTATCTATTGAAACTGTTTCATTTAAAAACCTGGCTTTGTAAACTTATGTTCCCCTAACTACTTCCTGGAACTAGTCCTTAGACTTCTAGAAATTAAAGTGTTTTTAAAATACAATAAAATATGTTTTCCCTCCATGGCTTTTGATTCTAAGCTGTTTAATTGATGTGATGGAAATTTATAAATAAATAGCTTTGAAAATATTGAATGCAACAATATTTTATACTATCCTCCAATTTTTATGTATACCTTTTTATCTTGTTTTCCTTGGTTTCCGTTGTTAAAGTTACATCCTAGTAGTTAAGAAAAATTGCTGTCAACCCATATCATATAAAAATTTTATATTATTGTACTAAAAATCAATCTAATTGATATATTTACTCTTTTCTATGTGTTTCAGAAATTAGGGCATCATTCTAGTCAAATTGAATTTCGTAAAGATTTGAATATAGATGAAATTGATAAAAATTGGAATAAAGTTATGACATCTTTACAAGATCGGGATAAAAAAATTAAAGATGAAATATGCAGGTTTGTGAATTATACTTTTAATAGTAGAATTATGCTTTTCTAAAGAATGTATTTAATAGTTTTATTTATGTTCTTAATTTTAAGTTTGTCTAATTATAAGCTCATATTATGATAATCTTTTCATGATATGGTATGAATGTAACAAGTTACTTATAAAATTTTATAATTTGATTTGAAATGTAAAAGAACTGTTGGATTTTAATATGAAAATAATAATATTCTCAATATCCTGAATTGTTTTTTTTTTCTGCATATATTCATACTATAATAATTATTATTTGGTTATAGTTTTCATTATAACTAGCAAAACAAAATATTAATTATAAAATAAGTATTTTATTATTTATTTTGTGTAAAGAACATTACATCTATCATGAAAGGTTTTTGTTCCAAAAGGTAGTTTTTTAATTAGAGATACTGATTAATAATTAAAAATTTTGTTTTTGATAAATTTACCTTTAATACCTGAAAATCCTATGTATGTAAAATACACTGATCAAGTCAATTAGATCATATTCAGTTGTTCAATCAACTCCCAAATAAGTTTTTTTATGAACTAACCTTAAAAACAGAGCACAAATCGTCAATTTTTAGGACTTTCTGACGTGTAAAATCTGAAAACTAACTCCATAATTTTTTATGTACGTCTTTTTAGGAATTTACTTATAAGCTTAATATCAATTAATGATAATGATATATCTTTATGTTACCTATTTTAATTTTCCTTCCTCAGGATTTTGTTTCAAAATAAGATACAGGCTTCTAGATTTCTCCTCTTTTTTGTGTTCCTCTTTTTTCTTTTGATTTTGAAATATTCTTGGTTTAAAACATTACTTAATTTTTTAAGTATTTAATGTGACTTTAGTTTGGTACAGTACAGCTGCTTCCATCTCTTTTGCCACTATAAACTCTACAAGGCCCTATGTGATTGCCAGATAATAAGATATTAATTATTTTTGTTGTTACTTTAGGTTAGAAAAATTACAAAGACTGGCTGAAAAAATTGGCAAAGACTTTAAAGTTTGTGAAGGCAAGTTAGAAGATGTTGAAAAGCGCATGAAAGAAGTAATGATGCTTTATTTTAAACATTTCTAATATTGTTTTTTAATATAGAATGATATGTCCGATTAAGTTATCTGCGGAAAGTTAAAAATATTCCACACAAAAAAATCATGCATATTCTACTTGTGAAATTCGAAAAATACTTCAAAGAAGATATTTTATAATAACTTGTTATTATTGCTCATTATTTTTATCAATTTAATACAAAGTCCCTAATGTTTAGTTACTTTTCACTGATGAGATATCTTCTCTATTATGATTCATTACCATTTGTAACTCATTAAAAAAATCAAAGATTATTTTTTAAAAATACTTGGCTAAATTTTATATGAAATGTATTGTGTTACTTCATTATTAATAATTTTACTTCTTATTTTTTACTATACCACTGAAATCTCAAAAATTTGAATCTAGTTCTAAAACTCAACAAGAGATTTCTTTTCTTGTTTTAAAAATTTAGTTGTTGACAAATAAGAAAAATAATAACTTCTAATAACTTAAAAAAAATAATAATATGCAACAATTTAAATTGAAACAATTTATATAGTGATAAATAAAATTTTACGGTAAATAAGCATTTATATTTAAGATGTATAAGTTACTCTAAGTGCCTTCACATCTGGAAAATGATACTCCGATACAGAGATAAAGCTGCAGGAGATTTTCATGCATTTTTGTTGAAAAAAAAATCACAATCTTCATTCTTTGCTATTATAAAAGTTCTGATAAATTCTTTTCGTTAATTACATATTTCTCGAATCTGTCATTTAACGAATTTTACTACAGCAGTTTATTTAAGGCAAATAATTTAAGTTTTTTTTTTCTCCAATGCCCACCCTTACATTGACTTTTGTCATTCGGGTATTAAAAGGGTAGATTTGTTGACCACTCTCTCGGGGGCACCATAGTAGGTGGGCCAATGTTGCTCCCGTAGTTAGAAGGACAGGTAGTAGAGAAGGAAAGAACATCCATACCTTATCCAGAATTTGAACCCAGTACCTTTCTGACTCCAGGTCAGCTCCTTGACCATCATACAGTTTTGTCTGCAATTAAGTAACTGATGTAAAAAAGTTCAACATTTGTTAGGATATTTTTATGTTTTGCAAAACTTTAAGACTTGATAGGGCCATTATTCTGACCAGTGTCAATCTAATTAATAATGCTTCTATTTTATTCTCATGTTATACTAGTTAATTATTCTTTAAATATTTAATTTTTGATGCTACAAAATGTCAAAAATTTAATCGTAATTCTGTTATAATTTTAGGAAGAGAAACGAATCAGCAAACTGCTATTTTTAGATGCCAAACAAAACTGTGATCAAATTGAGAATGATTTTAAATACATAGATTCGATTCTGAAGTCTTTGCAGAAAGAAGTGGCATCACTAGAAGAGAAAAAATATTATCAAATTTCTGATCTTCAAAACAGGTATCATTCATTTTTAAAAAGATTACCAAATTTGATAAAATTTTTAATTTTGCTTTAAATCATAACTACTTTTAAGTTATCAAATTTATTTATTTCATTTATGTATTTATCTGATGAGTAGTTTACTTTACGAGGTTTCTGTTAACTCATTGTTATAAAGTTAAAATACTGTACAGCAATCATTTTTAAGTAGCAATAGCATTTAAACACAAAAGGTTCCATAGAACAAAGCAAGAAAAAGAAGAATTCTTTTAAAACTTAAATTTGTCAAAAATTTATTCTGTTTTTAAGAAAAATTATTAGTTAATTATTCAATTCTGTTCTGCTCTAAAGACTGCTTTGTACTTTTGTATCATTTGTGTCGAAATTATAACTTATTTACAATATTACTAATATTAAAAGCTATTTACAATTATTAGTGATTGAGTTTATTTGCATTCAAAATTTTTATTAAACAGTTTGAATCTGACAATGTTAGTAATAATTATCTAAAGTACGCATAGTAAATTTTCTTATGACAAAAGTTTTTATTTTAATAAAGTATTCTAAACACATTTGGAGAAAAAGGCATTTTAATTTACTGCAAATTAATCAGCTCAAAAGTGACTGTTCCAAACAGAATATAACTACTGAATATACTGTTTTTGTGTATGTTAGAATCCATTTATAGATTATTCATATTTTGCTTCGTGTTTATTTTTTACCTTTTTACATTTTTAAATAAAATTAGTTAGCATAAAATATAATATCACTATCCTTAAAATCTTCTTGTTTTGTTTTATTTGTTGATGCAAAATTAATTACTACAGTCAATAATTTTTCATATTCCGTTACAAAAACAAATTTCAATGCATGAACATATCTTTGTTTCAATTGAATTGTGTTTTTGACCTTGAGACTTGATAATATAATAGGATACTCAACATCTGGAAAATATGAAGTCCAAACATTAAGTTTGGGGCTTTTAGAATTATTAAATATGTGATATTGCAATATGTTTGAAAGTAATTATGTGAATTGAATTATTTTGTCTATTATTACAAAAATCTAGTCATGCAAAAAAATTTTAAAAATAGGTTATTATTTTTATTATTAAATTTAAATGATGGTCAAAAATTTGAATTGTATGGCCTCAAAGTTTTTACCTTGAATTAAATCATATAATTTGTAATGTTGAAATTTGGGAAACCAATTTGTTGAACGAGAAATGAAAGTTAAGAAAATAAGATTTTATAAAATTTCGATTGCATATAAGTAGTATAAGTAATTTTTGCAAGTATATATGTATATAGTCATATTCTATGGTATATAAAAATAATTTAATGGATTTTTAAGTTTAAAATTTTATCATTACAAATTTTGTTGATTCACTTGATATAAAAAAAAACGTATATGCTTTGTAGCTCAAAAATTTACGCTTCATTATTTGAATAACTAATAGAAATAAATAATTAAAAAAAAAAAAACTTTGCAGGCAAAATTAGTTTGAAACTAATGCCCTTTATAACTGTGTGCAAACATTTTTTTAATTCACACAATTAGTAAATATAATGTTAAAAGGCTTAAACCTTTGGCCACTTTTTCTTTCAAGTGAACATATTCATTAAGAGGATATATTCAAAATTGAAGCTATTCCTTTTGTTTAAGTGTTAAATATCGAAATCTAACATCAACAGAAAAAAACTACATGTCTAATTTTGTAATTTATTGTCTGCACTAATTAATAATCATTTTTAAACAAATTTTCTCATCCTCAGACATTTAGTTGTATTTGCATCTAAGTACATTTTATCATAATTTTTTACATTTGATCACAAAATAAGGAATTAGTTGTAAAGGTTCATTTTATATTTTTGCACTTTTTTATTCTTAAAATTTATTATCAAAAGTGTGGGGGTACTCAGTACTTAATATATCTTTGTAATGAAATTGCGTTTTTAGCTGCATGGCTCTATTAAAACTTAATTTTATGGAATATCTTTTTGTAATTTTTAATGAAAAATACAATTATGTAAATTTTATTTTCAGGTTAAAAGTTTACATGGAAAAATATCAATGCTTAAGAACTATTTTCCAAACAAATTTGATTCTTCTTCTGTCAGAAAAATCAGACAAAAGTGATGAGAAAAAAGTTATCAAGCAACGGAAACAAAATGTTAATGAAAAACCATCAGAAGATAATAAAGCAGCTATTTCTTTTAAGGAATATTTTGAATGGATTGAAAAGAAACAGGTAAATTTTGTTTAATATGGAAATTGTTTTTTTAATATTTTAACCTGAAAAAAACCTTTATTATGTTTATTTTAATTTAATTGCATTTAATTTAGAAACGTATCTTGGCCATTGAGCTTGGTGGAGATGTTCATTCCATTAAATCTAATTTGGAACAGCTACAAACTGAACAGAAGACAGTGGAACAATACAATAAGAAAATAAGTGCTATTTTATCCCAAACAGTATGTTTCAATTTTTTAGCTCTTCTAATTCAAAAACAAATTTTATTATTTATAATTATAATTTTATCACAAACAGTATGCATTTTGACATAGATATTTTGAAGCCTTCTGTTTCAAAACTAAATTTTTAATGTTATTAATTTTTGATTTTTTTTCTAAATTGTTTAAAAATTAATTGAATAATTATATTACTTTTTAATTAAATGTTAAGTTATAGCATTAGTAGTATTGGATTAATTATTTTTTATTTCCCAATGCCATTGCAGAAGTAAATATTTTAATTTTAAATAATTCACATTTAACTGTTTTAGAAATTACAAAATTTTAATCATTTTTATATTACTCCTATATGCTCCTGTGAGTCATAAAAAATTGAAATCCGTTTGAAACAGTATGTTTTAATTTTTAGCTCTCTTCTAATTCAAAAACCAATTTCATTTTTTAAATTTATAATTTTATCACAAACAGTATATATTTTGAAATAGATATTTTTAAGGCTTCTGATTCAAAAATAAATTTTTATTGTTATTATTTTATTTTTATTTTTCTAAATTGTTTAAAAATTATTGAACAATTATATTACTTTTTAATTAAACAGTTAATTTTATCATTAGTAGTATTGGATTAATTATTAATATTTCTCTATGGTTTTGCAGAAATAAATATATGAGTTTTAAATAATTCACATTTAGCTGTTTTAGAAATTACAAAATTTTAAGCATTTTTTATATTACTCCTATATGCTCATGTAAGCCATAAAAAATTGAAATCCATTTGAAACTCTTCAAGTTATTTTGTCAAGTGTCTTTACATTGCTGTGAAATTGAAATGTACTTTCAGGAATATAGTGTGTGCTAAAAAGTTTTAAATTTACTTTGAATGCTTTTTACTATGCAAAATTTTTAACACTGCAAATTCTGTGGAATAAAAGTAATTGAATAATGGATGAAATCTGAAAATTTAATGTAGTTTTTGGCTGTACATGCACTGTTCTCTCCCCTTCTTTATAATAAAATATTACAGAAAAGTTTGTTAAATATACTAAGTATCTACATGAAAAAATTTTAAATTGTAGGAAACATTATGTTCTTTATTTTTGTTATTCTTTGAAAAAGCACTGAATGGTAGATTACTATATTGCTACTGAATTATTTAAAATGAATTAGATATTGTAATTACAAAAAGAATGAAAAAATTATGCTGAACATTTATGATCTAATTTAATTATCATAATAGCCATTGATAATGATCAGTTTAAATCTGTGTTGTTTAGAAATCGTTATTTGATTCAAATTATGTTGCATTTTTTTGTAATAATAAAAAGCTTATACAGTTTTTTTTGTTGATAAGCAATTAAAATATTCATTGTATTTTTGTTTAATATTTTCAAAAATTAAGGCTTTTCATTAATCTAGGTGTGATGTTTTTGAAAATATTTAAACAAACAATTACAATTAAATGCTTGTTTTTATAACTATTTTAAATGCTTTTTATCTGACTTTCTATGTAAGCTAAGTTTACAAAGTTAAAGCAACTGTTGTTCATATTTTCAGATATCAAAAGATAGTGACAACTCTTATGCTACCCAGGCTGAAAAATTACAAGGAGCTTATAAACAACTTATTGTAAGTGTAAATTTTATCTCTGTAATTAAGTAGTTTTATAATATCTATAAGCATTTAATTAAGAAAACTCTTTTAGTTTTATTAAACATTGATTTATTTTTAAAATTAATTCTTATAGGAATTTTTAGAAAATATTTTTTTCAGGATTCATATATTTATAATATTTGATATTTCACAGTACCTTTTTTTCCATTTTTAATACAGCATCAGGAAACAAATTTCAGATTTCTTATTTATTGATTTCACATGTTTTATGTCCGGAATTGAATATGAATATTTTATTCTGAGTTTTAATTATTTATTGACTTATAAAATAGGAAAGTTTATCTTTTTTGCTGCAAGGTATTTACAGAAACAATGCATCAAACACTAATAAAAAGTAAAAGCAAATAGTAGCTGTAAAGCTGTTAAACATCTGAGTGTTAGTTCTAGCTTTTTCTGAAATTTAAGCTGGTGACCTTTCTACTGTTAAAATTGTTTTCTAATTATTATATTTAAGGAGAAAGCTATGCTTGGTAAAAAAAAATTCAGTTTTCTTAAGAACTGTTGATTCTGGAATTGTTTACAAGCACACTTTATTAATTTAAGTCGACTACACATGTGACATAAGTGGAGTACATATGTGATTCGAATAAATGACAACTGCACTTTAATACATCATTCTATGGCTTGAGTTGATCATTTGTGTCCCAACATAGAAGAAGGCCTAGATTTGAATAAATTGATGATACTGAAAATTACTTTCTTTTGGTGGAATTAAATTGGAGATAAATTGCATCAAGAAAAGATGTTTAGTTATGAAGAAAGCTTTGGTCTGCAAACTAGGATGATAATGATGAAAAATATTGTTTTTATTTATCATTTTGTCTGTTTATACTTGAGTCAACCTTATGTTAATTATTCCATATTGATTTATCATTTGCAGACTTTAACAAGCAGCAGAGTTAAAGAATCTGAGAGTTTATTAGACTTTGTTCAATTAGCTACTAAAGCTTTGAAGTGGATGTCTGATAAAGAAGATACTGAAATTTCCAGAGACTGGAGTGCAAAAAATTTAAATATATTGGATTTAGAACATCATCAGGAAGTATGTTTTTATATTCATGTAAATAACACTTTCTTTCTTTTCTTTTCTATTCTGAAAATCTAATATCATGATGTTTTATTTTTTAGATTTTAACTAGTGAGTTGGAGAAAAAGGAAATAGAGTTCAATTCCATTCAAAGTCGAGGTGAAAATCTTCTTTTCCAAAAACACTCAGGATCAAAGTGCATTGAAGTAAGACTGAATGTTTTTTTTTTCTATCCCTTTAATACGCAGAGTATTAATATCCATTAAATTGAATTATTTTAATTATCCATTAATTGATTTATTAATATTTTTATTTTTATCCATTAATTCCATTAATATTTTTATTTTTAGGACTATTTAAGTCAGATGCAAAATCAGTGGTCATGGATTTTACAACTGACTTTGTGTTTAGAAATTCATCTTCGATATGCTCAATTTTATCATCAGGTATGAAATTCAAAAATTATTTTATTTTTGTAATACTGAAGAATTTATTTATGAAAATGCTAACAAAATTTATGTTACTTTGTTTTTGCTTTATTCCCCTTTTTTTGGTCTGTTATATTCCTCCATGTATTCTTAATAGTTTTTTTTAGTTTTGACTCCTGTGACTGATATTTTTTTAATATTGTTTTGTCTTTTGAAATTTTTTTTTTATCTTAACGTTACTGTTAAATATTTGAGCATAGATTTTGTATGAGTATACTTTTCTATTGACCTGTCAATACATAATTTTCATCCAAAACTATCATACTCAGAAACTTCAGCTCTTTTCCAAACTTGATAAATTGAATTCCACTTCAGAAAACTGCCAATTACAGATATTTTGTGTAATTAGTAATAGTTAATTTTTTACAGATGATTTTTTTTAAATTTTGAGTTCAAAACTGGAACTTTGTTTATAAAATTTAACTGTGTAATACTAAATGTACAGGTACTATTCAAATGAGTGTTTTCTAAGGAAGTTGCAGTAAATGCAAGATTGACTGCAGAATTTGGCTTCCTTACAAATTTACTTGTCTCATAATGCACTATCTAGCCAAAAGTGTCCTAACACCTAGTGTTGCAAACTCAGACTTGTTTACCCTAGGGACTATATTTTGCATTTTCCAGTGTATAATTCGTAAATTATCTGTCAAAAAGCATTCCTTGTTGTTGCTACAGGTTATCTGGCAGTACGGGTAATCTGCCTAAATTATTTTTCAGGTCATCAGACATCATGCATTTCCTATCTACTTTCAGCAGCCATATAAGTGAAAGGGCCCATTCACACTGGATGCCAAAAATTAGTGAATGCAAATTCAGAGATACAAACAAGAACTTTATTGGTTAAACACATTTCCCAGCAAAAAACGCACCAATGAGGTTCAGGTTCCCATCTCTGAGTTCGCAAATAGGATTTTTGTATTTCTAGTATAAATGCCCCTTAAACATGATTCTGTGTCTGCTCACCCATTCCCTGCTGATGTCCAGTGGCTCATATTTGATGTAGATTCGCTCACTTAGATGTAAATTCTTCCGATGGAATTAGCTTGTGTATTAATGTTATTTTCATCATAAATGATCAAATAAATGAAAGATCATCATAAATGAAAGTAGATTGCCGTGTTGAATAGACCGACATATAAACCATGGATTATCCTATCATATTTTTCTTTTTGAGCCTTGAACGGAGCCCCACGGATCATTCTGCTGGAAACTATGCTAATATTATGCTTGTCCCTATTTTGCCTGTACACCACTAGGAAGATTTTTTGCCAGTTTCTTAAAGGCAACTGTGGCAGTTTACTTCTTGGAGCCTATCACAACTTAAGTGGCAGTAAGGATTGTTAATTTAGTTATCTGTGTAATTTGCGATCTAATTTTCCTCATTAGTATTCAATGAGATTTAGGTCAGGGCTCTGAGTCAGGCCTGTCTAGTTTTTGAAAACCCATTTCATCAAACTATGACTGTGCAAGTCTCAAAGTGTAAATGGAACAGTTATAATCATGAAAAATCGGCCTTCACTAAAATATTGCCATAGAATAAAATTTGGAGATCAGTATCCGGAATGTCCATACCTCAAATTTTGTGTTTTCATCTACAGTATCTAATGGACCCAGGCCAAGACGTGAAGAACACCCTTATATCCCCTTCTTTTGGTGGATGTCTGGATACTCTTGGTCAAATAATGTATTCATCAAATTTATCTTTTCTTTTTGTAAATATATCATCATTTAGATAATTTTTATGTATAAAAAATTTTTTAGAAATCTTGTTTTATTTCTTAACAGTCTAAGCATTTTGACTGTGGCTACATTGTACAGATTTTCTGATGAGAAAAAGCAAAACTTATGCTCAGATGGCTAAGTTCAATTCTAATAATATTTTTCATTTGATATGAATGATAATAAATTGCTTTTTTCTAAATTCTGTGGCTTTCTATGATTTCACTGAAGTTCATGCAATAAGGTTATATATGTTTTTAATTATTATAAAATTTTAACAGTTTTTCAAAGAAACTAAAGAGAGTGAATCATGGGTCAAAAAAGCTGAAGACAAACTGAACACTACATTTTCTAAATCTGTTACTTCAGTTGATGAAGGAGAACGATGTTTGAAGCAAATGGAAGTTATGAAAGATGACATTACCCAATATAATGACCGTATTTGTGATTTGGTATCTCGCAGCCAAGAAGTGATACCTTTAAAACAAAGAAAGTCTATTCAATCTTCTAAACCTGTAACTGTCTTATCATTGTGCAATTATAAAAACTCTGATGTAAGTATAAATTCTCGCTTTTTAATTAAATTTAATTTCTTTGAAAAGATTATTGTGGTGGAACATTTTATAAGAATTATTATATTTTCATTTAAAAACTAAATAGTTAAAATAATCCAATAAGATTTTGAACATTTATCATGTTTATTTTTGTATCATTGCATTTATACAGCATGAAAAGTGATTTTTTCATTTCTTGTACTCCTAAAAGTCTTATTAAACTTCAATTTATTTAGGATAAATATTGATAATTTTTCTAATCCAACTAGAAGAAACCTTCCTTATCTAAAGCCCATTTATACTACATGCTTTGTCAGGTGACTCCTTTCCAAACTTGCACTACCGTATTTTTCGGCGGAAGCGCCGCGGCGCTATTGAAAAAAAAGTTGTTTTTTTCCTACATGCGGCGCTTCCGATGCAGCAGTCCGACGAAATATTTTTTTGTAGGAAAAAAATTTTTCAAGGAAAGTTATTTAAGATTAAATAATTTTCTGAGAGAAAGACTATTAAAAAAAATTAACAACAAAGTCGACGAAATATTTGCCCGTATCGCGATCTGCTGCAGAACATCGGCAATTGTAATTTGAGCGAACAGAAAAGGAAGTAATAGGACCATAAATCCGACACTCACGGGACGAAATGCCGAACTTCGGATCTCTTTCGAAAATTAAAATATGGCCCCCTAATATTACTATAATTCAATTCCATTGTTAATTTCAGAATAACCGATAAATTTAGTCAAGTTTCGATCGTAGATTATGATGGGGTGAATTTAAAACTGGCCCATCTTAAGAAATTTTACTAATCAAAATANGAATAGGACCCTAAATCCGACACTCACGGGACTGACGAAATGCCGAACTTCGGATCTCTTTCGGAAATTCCAATATGGCCTCCTAATATTACTATAATTCAATTCCATTGTTAATTTCAGAAAAACCGATAAATTTAGTCAAGTTTCGATCGTAGATTATAATGGGGTGAATTTAAAACTGGCCCATCTTAAGAAATTTTACTAATCAAAATAATAATCTATATAATATAATCAAGAAGAAATAATCCGAATCCTATGAAGAAGAAATAATCGTTTCTTCTTTGGAGCGAGATCATAGCTCTCGTTTTTTCTTTTAGATAACATTTTGTTTTAACAAAAGACGCTTACCTCGCAAGAAAAAGAAAAAAAAAGCTAACAAGGAACTACAAAAAAAAACAAATGAAGGAGAGGGCATTCTACCCACTAAAATTCCACCCCCTAAGATTGTGAAAGTGAAACTTATTTCTTCTTCGCTCATTCCTTCAGAATTTTTTCGGGGCCTGTTTAGTTATTTCTTATTCTTGTTATTATTACTTATTTCGTTATTATTAGCTGTTTCGTTATTATGTATTAGTTTTTCCTCAAATTGTTAACGGTAATAAATTTTAAAATCTTTCTTTTAATAAATTTTTATTTTACTTTTCTTATTACATTGTGTTACTGATTTCTGTAATCAGTTCAGCGTTAATTCAGCTACTGCACATATAAATAATTTTTTTTGCTGTTCTTCTGTTTTTTGGCGCGGTGCCAATTGGTAAGAACAACTTTATTTTATATCATTTTGTTGTTTTCTTTTTTTTTTGCTGAAAAAGAAATTTTTTATTATAATTTAGAAATTAAAACTTTACTTTATGAAATGCATACAAAAATGTAATTTTTTATTATACAGATATTCTAAATGGTAATTTAAAGGTCTCTTCTGAAAGGATGCTGATATGCCCGGTTTGGCGCCATTGCGGCGCTTACTATAACTTTATTTTTAAAAATTTCCTTTTTATCGATGTGCGGCGCTTTCGCCGAAAAATACGGTAACCATATTTAAAGGAAATCACTTAAATAATTTCATTAAAATAATTTTTTTAACATTTACTCTAATTCTCCATTTTCTTGTTTTTGATAGCAGTGCTTTTTTTTACTTCAAATGGATTTTTAGCTTTTATGTTGGATATATGATGTGTATATTGATTCATACTTCAACTGATAACTTATTTATTGAATTTTTATATTTCAGGTGATAATAAATAAAGATGAAATGTATAAATTAAGAGAAATTTCAAAAAAACATTGGAAAGTAAGTATTTGAATTTAAAATATTTAAATCATCCTTTCAAATCTTTATATGATTATGATATTTATGAATAATTGTGATTTTTAAAATTGTATTGAAACATTTTCTTTGTGAAGAAAATGGAATTTAAAAGAAACATAAATTAATTATTTTTTATTTTCTGTATTTTTTTAATTTAGGTATTTTTTTGATTTATTAGCAAATATTTTCCAATACATGTTATTCTTGACTTCATGGTTTTAATCTGTTACTTATTTTATATTGCCAACACTTACAAGATGCAATTATTGAAGTTTTTAAAAAAATAGGTTATTAATTTCAAAGTGAAAAGAAAAGTAAGAACGTAAGGAAATTTTTATGTTAAATTTAAAACAGACTTTAATAATATTGATGATTAATAAGTTAAAATAATTATGACAGCTTGAATTCGAAATAAATAGTTAAATTACTATAAAAAAAATTTTGGGTTTCCTATGAATTTATTACTGAATGAAATTATTTCTTGAAAGAATGGTTAGTTTTTTCTTTCCAACTCGAAGAAAATGATTAATGTTATCTTATTAAAGTTAAAAAATAATGGTTTAGGATCATATGTCACTTTTTTGATGAGATTTTGAATATTCAAACTAAAAACTTTATGTATTCAATTGTAAAGCAATTTTAATAACTTTAATTAGCTTGACATTATACTATCATAAACGCTGATTATGAACACACTAACAAAAAACTGTCACCATTTTTTTTAAAGAAATACACAGATAAGTAATAATTATATATAGCTGTCAAATATTTGGTGCCTTTTCTATACGTTGTATTTTTATTAACCATCAAAATGCATTTATATAAAAGAGTAAAATTTTTTATCAATATTTATGAAAATTTCATTGTTTGAAGCATACCATTAATACTAAGTTATTAATACTATTAATTATAGAAAATAATTTTAGATATTATTTTACTAAGTAATTTGTTATGTTTCTTTCTGTGTTATTTATGTATTTAAATATTACAGCAAATAAATTTTCTCCATTCTACTAAAAATGAATCCGTTACTAATTACATTGTTTTTTAAATTTATGCTTAGATATCCATAAATTATTTTTACTCAATTATTCAATTTAAATTTATTAAAAATCTTATTGTAATAAAATATTTGATTTTAATTTTCAAAAAAATAATAATAAAGATATTAGTCCATCTTTAATTTCAGTGTTAACTTACTTGTACCTTACAAGGTCTCTTTATGCTGATTACCTCTACATAAAAGTACCAATTTAATTCTTAAAGCTTAATATAGTATGAAGCGTAATTCATCTGTCGACTTATTACTTATTCTCTACCTAGAAAATTGTAGTAAAATTATCATGAAGAAACTCCTTCTAATGACTCTAGAATCAATTTATATACCCAAAAAAGTACAAAATTGAAAAGTTAAAAAATCTGAAACTTATTGTCCTTATGTGTGATTTTTTTAACCCAACTTATATGTATATTAATATATATATAATAAGTTGGGGTTTCTACCAAACGGGCCACTCTTCGTGCATATATATAAGATATGCCAGCGGAGTCAAAGAAAGACACTATGTTCTCTTTGATTTTTTTGTAATTTCTATCCATAATTTTAAAATTTTTAAGTCTTGTTGTATTTACTTTCTATTTAGATTTCAACAAGTAGTGGAAAGGAAGTATTTGTACCCGGTGTTTGCTTTGTTATTCCTCCACCTGATCCTGAAGCTGTAGAAATGGCTCAAAGGTAAGTACTCTTTTGTTATACAATATGTTATAGCTTCTTTTTATGAGTCCATTGTAAATAAAATCCTCTATTTTAGCTTAAAGAAAAGATATGAAGAATTATTAAAGTTGTGGAGGCTGAAGCAGAAAAAATTGCGCCAGAGTCTGATATTTGCCACTATTAAAGCAGTGAAGTCTTGGGACATAACTCAAGTAATGTTTGTTTTGTAATTTCAGTGAGAAAAAAGTTGTCATTTAAATTATTTAACTTTTATGAAAAAATGTCGTAAGATAACAATATAATGCTTACTAAAATGCAAGTATCAAAAAAGTATTAAAACATATGTCTTTCCAATAGTTAGACAATTTTTTATCCAGCATCAATGTTTATGAAGTTAATGTTCTTTTCATGTTTCAACTCATTAAAATATTTTTTTCTTTAGTTCTCATTGCAATCACTCTTATCTGTCTAAAATAAAGAAAAATTTCATATAAATTAGAAACATTTATTTTTTCTAAGACATATTTTCTATATTTTTTGTCTTTGCCTTTTTTTTAGACACATTTATTATTACGTTTCTTCTGATATTTTCTGCATTTCTTGTAAAAAGTTTATTTTTATTTTGAAATATTTATTTAAGAAAATAATGAATAAAAGAAACTAATTTGGTTTTGCTATGCCAATAAGCTATATCTTGGTTATTGCTATGCTAATGCATTTACTTTTTAGTGCTTCAGTTTTAAATGCAAAATAAAAAGATAACTAAAACTTTAAGAATATACAACAGTGTTTAAGTTATTTTCATGTGGAAATATTGTAAAAGGTTATTTTTTATTCTTTTGAAAAAATATTGTCATATTTATTTTGTTTTTAAAACAAACGAGCTGAAGAATTTTTGTTCACAAGTCAATTTTCTAAGTATGCTAAACATGATTTTAAAGATAAATGCTTTTTAGTTTGCTTATTCATATATAAAATTCTGTTCTGCATTCTATTATGTTCTGATACTTTGTTTATATGTTTAAACAAGTTAGCTTATTTTCATGATATATGGAAATAATACCCATAATTCTTCTTTTTTTTAAACATTAACTAAAATGTTTTGATAAGAATTATGATTAAGCATAAAAATCTTATATTTTTTAACGGTGAAAAAATCTGTGAGTATTTTATTTAGATTTTCTTTCGTTAAAATTTCAATTATCTAGCTAATTTGTTGTATAAAATATACAAACCTATAATTTTATTTATAAGCTCTATTAAGAGATTTTTAGTACTTAGTAAATGCTTTTATGTCAGGTATATACTATATGCATGATATTTTATTAAAATATTATAAATATTTTTAGATTCGCACGATGGATATTTCTCAAAGAGAATCTATTATGTCTGCACTGAACTCTGATGCTCAAAAACTTCTTCTGGAAGGTTCTGAAACTGATTCTACTCTTCTAAAATTAAAACAAGAAATGGAGCAGTGTAATTCTTCATATGAAACATTGTTGAAGAAAGTTTCTGAAGAAACTTGTATGTATTTCATATTTAAAAATTCTTTGTTGTTTAAAATTTTATGCTGAAGACTTTGCTTTTTTATGCTTTTGTAAATCTAAAAAACGCATTTTTTATTTCAATTATTTATATCCTGAGAGTTCATCCTGGAATCATATCAATTTTTTTAATTTTAACCAAACCTTGGCTCTTTTTTTATTAGGTTCAAAATTATTTTCCTTTCCTTAGCATTTCACATTGCTTCAAATTTACTGGCACGAAATTTATGTTTCATGTTTTATTTATTCTATTTAAAATCTCCACTATATTTTCATTACCATTTATTTTTGTTTGTCAAATTTAGATACTACTATCATATCACTTATACATGTTGCCATTTTTTTAATATGCTATTTTAAGTAAACTATTGTTTTCATTAGTGTAGACCAATTTGAAATAATTCTTATTGATGATTTAAAATGGATGTTTTAATTAAAACACAATACTACTTCGTATTTGTAGCTGTAACCTATTCTCGTTCTTCTATTTTTCTGGTGAGATATGAAAAAAGCACCGAAAACCACTGTAGTTATAGGTGTTATAAAGAATTAATAGTGGATACCTTCTACAGTTTTTCTATAATTAATGTGTTTATCTTGTGTTCACCTTGTTTTCAAAAAAGCATTCACATTCTACATTTTCTTTGTGGTTTATGTTACTTGAAATAATTTATTTGAATTTCAATCGAATTTCAATTTGGATTAAATTTTAAATTTACATTAAATAAATAGAAATGAAAGCAATGTTACAAATACAGGAATCAATTATGAAAATTTGTAATCAGTAGTATCAATAGCTGAGTTATAACATTGAGCAATCATTTTTAGAAAAACCCTTTTTTAACACTGTATGCTCTAAATAACATTGCAAGTGTATCAAATTCATGAATATTACAAAATTGAGGCTCAAAAAATTTAAATTGAGCAAATTAAAGCTTTGAAAAATTTTAATTTTGTTATTTATTATATTTTGAGCTACAGTTATAATTGTTCTGTGTATTTTTTTTCTTTTTTATCTAGCTGATAAATCTCCAAAAAGTGTTGGAAGAAAATTAACTGACACAATTGCTGGTCTTCAAAATGTACTTAATGAAAAAGAAAAGTTCTTAAAAAATAAGCTGCAGTCTTCCATTATCTGTGATTTAGATGCATTGGAAAACTCCGTCATTGAACACAAAGTACGTCTTTGTTAAGTTTAACTCTGTATTTGAATAGTTTTAATTTTACTCATTATATACATTGATGTGGATTTTAATCTACTGCCTTTTTCTGTCTTTTAAAAGTCGTATTTTAACTTGTTGTCTTCTCCACATTGCAAAACCGATTTTTCCATGTTATTTGGTAAGGAAATAGTGTATTGAAGAGAATCAATTATCCAATTTTGTCCATTTGCTAAAACGCCAGTGGGTTAAGAAATATTTTATACATTGTTTCAAATAAAGATATGGCTGTTATTTAATATTGTATAGTACAATACAATACAATACAATATTTACATTTTAGTTAGGTTCAACTGGAGAGATAGATTTCTTATTATCAAATCTTGTCATAAAATATGTATTATCATTATGAGGAATAAATGTAAAAATAAAGTATTTATTACAATTGGAAAAATGTATTTCAAGTATGTTATAAATCTGCACCATAAATATGACTAAATTATGAATATTATTAAGAAATTAGTTCAAAGAAATCTGTTTTAATATTTAATATTATTGTTACCTACAAAATATTAAATTTTCATTTCTTTTTGCTTAACTTATTTAAGCAAAACAGTAAGTTTATATAGGGAATGCTCACTTGAAGATGTTTAAATGTAAAGAAAATTTCTTTCTTTTTCAATTCTTTATAAATATTTCTTATTGTTTAATATTTAAAATGATAAAATAATAATAAATTTTATTTCAGGATTATGAAATTAGTTTAAGAAACTTAGAAGATCAAATAAATGAGACAGTTCAAATGTATAAATCTACTAATAAAAAGACTACTGCTGTACAGTTGAAATATGATACTCTTATTGATACATGGAGTAAATTGTGGGATCTTTCTAACTTGTACATTGAAAAGTAAGTCAATGCATTTAATAAAATATATATAATTTTTTTTCAAGAGTTGCTTTGTTATTATTTTATTTTGCATTATATGAAATATAGTTTTCAATCTTAGACACATACGGTAACTAAATATTAATCCCTCAGATGTTAAACATGTCGGCAAGTTCGTGTAGAATTTTTTCGTCAATGTTTTCAATGTTCCCATTGAGAAAACCTTTTGTTTTCAGGAAAGCAAAGCAGCTAGTTAAATATGCAGAAAATTCTGGTTTATACATGATTGAGTGATCTATGTAATTAAAAATTAATTGCTTTGTTCTCATATTATTATTATATCTATATTGATGTTTCTTTTCAAATCTGTAATACATGAAAATGCTAAAGATAGTTTTTGTATTATTATATGAAAAGTAGCTTTTATTAATGAATTATAATCTAGTTTACGAGCATCATATGACATAATTTTAATGTGTATATGATTAATCTACATGAAGTACTTGTAAGTTTTTACTCAATACTTTTTTTATTTTTTAGGTATCTTCTTAATACTTTTTCTTAATACTTTTTTATTTTTTTATGGTGTCTATTTTTAATTATACAGTTGTATTTGCTTAAGTTAAAATGATAGCTTAAGTTTATCAAAGTTTATATGAAACATACGTTAGAAATATTTAGGTACTATTTTGCCTCATTATTTATTTACATTCAATTTTACTTTTATTATTTCAGGTATGATTAATTGATTAATGAAAGAAACTTTGTTGTAATACATTAATTTAGAAACTGCAAAAGCATTATTACTCATATTAGCACATTTTTTTTTGTGCTCCTCTTGGGATTGCCTTATTCCACCTAAATCTAATTCATAGATACCATACTTTGCTTTGAAATTGCTACATACAACTTTTTTTTTCTTTAATGCAATCCAGATAATTGATACAGGGTATCTGGGCACCTGGAAAGTCATGAAAAATCATGTAAAGTCATAAATTTCAATATTGAACAAAATTTGTCATGATTTTAAAGATTTTTTTTAAAAAAGTCATAGAGTTAAGTCGCAGAAAAATCTAATTTTTGAAATGGAATATCTGAATTTGTATCAAAATCCTCACTCATAGTCATATTTTATTAAAACATGAAATGTTTCTAGCATTTTCTTTAAAAATTATGGTGTTCTTTCAAAAAAATGAAAGAAAAACATCAATTCTAGAGAGAATTGTCTTTTAAACTTCTGTGATTTCAGAATTTTAATTATTATTTATTTATTTTAATTTTAATAATTTAAAATTCTAGCTGACGCAAGCCAGTCATTGGCGAATTTTTTTAAATTTGAAAATGAAAACTGAAGAATCAGGAGTATTTCTATCCTTTCCAATAAGCAAGAAAAGTATCTTTAGAATATAATTCTGCATAAAATAAGAAACAAAAATTATTTGCTTTTGTTTTTTCCCACTTATTTTATTGCTTCAACTCTTTCTTAACTCTGTTTTTTAAATTTAAAATCTATAAATATGAAGATGTAGTGTATAACAGTTTTGGTTATACCTATAATTTCAATTAATGTTATTAAAATGCTTTTTTAAATTTATTAATGTGTTTTTCTCAGAGAAAATAGTAACTTCGTTAAGTCATGAATTTGGAAATATAAAATGTAGCAGATACCCTGTTGAAATTTTATTGATTGTGCCTTATAATACAGTCATGAAACTGATTAATTTGGGGAAAATTTACAACTGAAACAACTTACAACTTTTCTTAGTGTATCTCATTTCTGTACATAAGTCTAGAATTTTGCAGTTTGGCACCCTCATTTGTTTTAACGCTACTTAAATATAACTTTTTTCCAGTTCTTACATTTTGGCATCCTAGACAGATAAATTTATTATTACAATTACAACATTTACTAATGTTGGTGACACAATTTTTCACCAGTATATTTTTATATTGATTTTAAAAAAATTATGTACCTAATTAAAAAAAAACTGTGACGAAAACTGAAAATATAAATAATTCCTTGATTTTCTGATATTTTTATAAATTGTATTAATCAGTACCAAAACTTTAGACCCATTTAATGCTGATGTCTGAAATTTAAATTTAACTTAAGTGCTTTTCTTTGCAGGTTAAAAGTAACCGAAGTAACTCTCAATAAACTCAATGAGGCTCTTACATCTGTGTCTAGTATTGAAGTGAAATTAGCATCTTGTAATAACATGTCATCAAAGTTAGATAAACTACAGAGAAGTCATGATGATCTTCTAGTAAGTGAATTATATCAAATCTTTGCAATATTTTTTGTGTTTCTTACAATTAGCAATACTGATTGCATAAAAATCAGAAATGCATTTTTTTCTTTTTTGTTAAAAGTCTTGGATTCACTATGTTAATATTGTATGCAGTATTCAAAAAAATGAAAGGATGACACTTCTACATTCTACACATATTACATCCCTTATTCAGTTATATTTAGATTTGAAATACCACATATCTTTGAAATATCATATTTTAATAAAAATATGGCTTTAGATTTATTTTTTTGATTATTCAATCTAAAATGTTTCATCACCAGAGTTGGCTTTTTGCCGTCAGAAACTGGTTTTTGCAATGTCAGTGGCTGAAACTGGTTATAACCGGTAAAAACCGGCATGACCAGCAAAAACTTTCTGTATTAGTTCTAGTAATTGCTTAATGACATTTTGTTTAAATAAACTGAAAAATTTAACTCCATGTAACTGTAACAAACTTTTTAATTCATTGTTTCTAAATATATATTATTTTGTTTACATTAAATATAAAGAGTGCAGTATATCAAATGTTTAAATAAAATAAAGAATAAAGTAATGTAATAATAAATATAAATACTAGATTTTAGTTTATTATATTAAACTCTGAAATTCAGTAATTATTATCATTTATCTCTTAACATAACTGAATAGAGCTATTTTCAAATAGTTTTTTTCTTTTCAAGACATAATTTGCATGGCAACAATCCAATTATTATAACAGTAACAGTTGTAATCTTTTGTGGATGGCAATGCCTGCTAGTTCTGCTGGACTTGAGAGAATCTTCTCAGATTTCTCGTTCGCGCATAGCAAATTGAGAAATTGTTTAAGTTTAGAAACTGTATCAAAACTTGTCTTATGTTATAGATAACTGCAGAGTGCAAACCATGTAATATTTGATATTGAATGGTGATAATTTTGTAAATAAATTGTACTTTGCTTAACATTTCATTGTTTTTTCTATGAATTATCCATTGTATGTCAATCTCAGTATTTACTTTTATGTCATTTTCTGAATTTCTGCCAGTTTCTGCCATGCCAGTTTTAGCCGGTTTCTACCAGTGGTTTTAACCACAGGGGGCAGAAACTTGCTAACCTTGTTCATCACTTAATTTTTTTTTCCCTATTCTANTTTATGTCATTTTCTGAATTTCTGCCACAAATGTGGCAGAAAAAGGTCTCTGCCATGCCAGTTTTAACCAGTTTCTACCAGTGGTTTTAACCACCGGGGGCAGAAACTTGCTAACCTTGTTCATCACTTAATTTTTTACGAGTAATAAGCTTTATATTTGTCATTAATATGGTATACAATCAATAATGTGGATTTTATGAAAAATTTCCAAGCAGCTGTTTATAAAGCCTATGAAAGTATAATGAAACTTGTACAAACTCAATTGGTTTATTTGCTAATACTATAATGAGATAAAGATACAAAATTAAAAGTGTGGTGCTATAATGAGATACGTCTATTGTTAATAGCATGCTTATATCCTGCATTAGCAAATTTTCTAAAGCTACAATAAATGGTGCTAAAGTAAAAATAGATTTTGCTTTTAATAAAATAAAATAAAAAAAATTTATTTAAAATTTGAATAAATTATACTAAGAAAATTTTATTTGCAGATTCTTTATTTATACAGGAAATGATTATTGAAATACTGTGAATTTCACTTAAATATTAAGTTAAGATTAAGATAAATATTAGTTGAAATTCGAATTAAATTACATTAAGAAAATATTTGCAGATCCTTTTTTATAAAAGAAATGGCTATTGAAATACTGTGAATTTCTCCTAAATATCTCTTTTTTTGCTGATAGACCAAAGATTACTAAGTAATTGGGAACAGAGATGTAAGATGTTGTTCCCTGTTCAAACTTACTTATTTGCACAACAGATTGTTATGATAGGTCTCTTCTAATCAATTACTTATTGTTTTTTATGTGTTAAATGCTTATTGGAAACAAAATTTTGGTTCCAATGAACTGTTAATATAAATCTAAATAATAATATAAATCTATTTTGTTTCAAATGTTTATTTTAATATAAATCTAAAAATATTTTATATATTTAGTATTTTATTGTCAAGAATGAAAGAGTAGTAATGTACTACTAAAAAAATATAATCTTGTAGAATTTCCTGTTTTGTTCTCGTTATAAGAAAAGAAACTAATTTTTTCTTCTTCTTATTTTAAGCTGTTTCAAGATGAGATGCAACTTTCTCAATCTGTGATAGATGAATTGCAAGATTCATCAAGAAAGTTAAAAGCGGTTGTACAAAAGATAAAAACTAAGCAAGGAACCAATGTTGACTGCAATAGAATAGAGACTGACATAAAAAAGATACTGACAAGATGGGATAATGCAAGATCTCAGATTGTGGAAAGGTAGAAATTAAAAAAAAAAAAAATTTTAACTTTTATCCAAGTGTTGATTTCTATTCTTTTATCTAACTGTGCTATAAAACTGAACAACTAATTCATTTAAATTAATTAACATTGACCATTTTGAATGCTTTTGTCATAATTTTAAACACCTTAAAATTTACTTAATATTTTGAAAGCCTAACATTATAAAAATAATGAATTTAACTAAATTAAATTCATTATTTTTACGATGTTTTATTTGTCACTAAAACAAGTGTTGTCAGTTTTTTTGTCTAATTAGTTCTCCCTTTCAAAAGCTCAAACTTGTTTATATGTAACTAGTATATTTAGAACACCAATTATTATTTGATTTCTAAGCATTAACCCTTATATTTTATATGTAGTTTCTAAATTGAATTTTTTTTAATTTCAACTATTCTTTATGCGCTTATTTTGTTAATTTACTTTTTTGAAATATTGTTTGCTTTCTTTCACTTTTGTTGTTTTGTGTTTTCGTTCCCCTTTATGTATTATGCATATGATTTATACTGTGAAATCTCAGCCTGCGAAATATTATAGGCAATATTGTAGGCAATATTCACATGCAATATTTCATAGCAATATTCATATGCAATCTTTCGTACAATCTTTTCAAAACTATTTTATTGCTTTTGACTTGAATTTTTATCTACATTTTATGATTTCCTTTCTAAATTTCTATTTGTTTAGACTAAGAAGCTGTGGGGCATCTTCAGAACTTCTACAAACATATAAGAATAAAATTGAACAAGAGAATGTTTGGATATCTGAAACAACAGTAAAAATGAACAGTTTGAAAACTGTGCAAAAACTTACTACAAAAGAAATAGAATTGACTGTTGAACCAGCAATGGTAAGGGAAAAAAATTCAATTTTGCAAGATGTTATTTGTATAATACCAGGTAATATTTTTAAATTTCAAGAATATAAGATTTCTCTGAAAAATACTTTTTCCTGAATATAATTATAAATATGCTTTAGAATTCTTTATAACTGTTTTATGCCTTATGTGCATAGTTAATTTTTTTAAATTTCAATCTTTAATAATCAGTGATACCTGTATTAATTTAGCTAAATATAAAAGAAATTGTATTACAACAATATGTAATGTAAATAAATAGTTCCTTATAAATTATTTCTTATGGTGTAAAGAAATAATAAATATCTGTTAAATTATGATTTACAACTTTAATGAGATGGACTACATTGGCCAAAATTTTTCTTACTTATTTATATAAAATTATTTCGAAACAGTTATAAATGTGGCTACCTTTAACATTGATATATTTAAGAAAAAGTATGTCCACTAAGCGCTTTTTTTTTCATTAAAAGCATGCTGGTTTATTTTTCAATAAAATGAAAACTTATGTCTTAAATGTTAATATTTTTTTTTTTTTGATTAACATTAAGTGAACTAATTTCTTTCATTCAGTTATTTGACTTAAAACCACTATTATGTCAAACTTCATTAACTTATATTTATAAAATTTAGATGCTTTGCAAACCCAAATTTTAATCTATAATATTATGCTGGTGTCTTATGACAATAAGTCAGTTTAAGAAGTTTTTGTATTGCAAGAAAACTTGTTTCACTCAGTAGTCTCACAGTCTTTTAACACAAAAGTGCATACAAAGATTTTAATTTTTCTGGAAGAAAAAAATCAATTTTGCAGGTGACAAATTTTTCTTATATTATTCAAATTCTCCATTGATTCCAATCAAAAGCAGCTTGCCTAGCCAAGTTCCAGCTAGACCATCCAAGCATATCTCTTTTGCACACTATAATGTTTTGCCATGTTGGTTTCGGTCTTCCTTCGACCCTCCAATCTCCAGGTGAGAGCAGTTACACAAGGAAATTCACTGGCAGGTATTCGCAGATTGCCCATCCACGTCCATCTTCAATATTTGATTTCCTCAGTAATGGGTCTCATTTTGGCCCTTGTCATAAAGCAAAAAATATACCATTAATTAATCTATTAACTCATTACTTCCTATTTTTATTATCAAGGATTTTATTTCGAACCAATAGAAGTAAGCTGCCTTTAATGTACGCAAACAATTTCAGAAAGGGAAACATTGCACAAAGAAGATCTTTTATTATTTAAAAAATAAAACTTAAGTAATATCTCTTAAATGTTTCACTTTGCTTTTTACTAATACGTGCTTAATGTACTGCAGAAAACTATATCTGTCTAAACTATATTTTTTAGGATCTGTATTCCAATATATCTGAAAGAAGTTCATCCATAGAGGAGACAAATACATTGGGATCGAGATACATTAGAGAAGCAAAGGTAAAAAATAAAAAAAAAAGAAACACTGCAATAAAGCAATTAAAGTTTTTAACCTAATTGTGAGTTCTAAAGCTAAAAGTGTATAAAATCAAATTTTTATGCAAAAAATAAATAAAAAACTGTACTTATATACTATTATTTATTTATTTTACTTTTAGTACAAACTGTTTGCTTGTGATTTGTTCTGTTTTTACCTGCTTTTGCTTTGAACATGAATCTGTTATATCTTTTTCTTTGCATGTTTATAGATTCAAGTTAGCGTTTTCTTTTGCTGATCTCAATGTAAATTGTATATTTTTCTTTGCTGGGCAAGCAATAGCATGTTGCCTTTGTTCTTGTATCCCTTGATTGTTTAAAGCCAAATCAGTTATGTTTATTTAAATGTCATAGCTTTAGATTTGTTATATTATGCCTGTTTTGTGTGCCTAGACCTCTCTTATTGTTTATTACAGGTGTTTTAGTTCTTTGAATTTATTCAAAATTTATGTTTTATAAAAAATGCTGTACAAACTACTTTTATCATAAAGCACTGTTTAACTTGAAAAATATTGTTTTCTGTTAAACTAAAGAGAGGCCTTGGAGTGCTTTTTTGATAAGTCATAAATTAAGCTTTTTTTGTATTTGCTCTTCAATCTGCTTTTCAGTTTGGTGTCTTGTTTTTTTTTTCTTCAAATAAAAAGAAAAGCATGTCTTTGATGTGGGCTTTGCTGCATTCCCTCCAAAAATTCCCAAGCACCCGTGCAATAGCTATTTTGCGAATGGATTTGTGCATGCTTCACTTCTTAAATGGTGTTCCTGTTATCCCAAACAATTTCATACCTAATGTCTAGGCTATAAGATTATTTGTCTCCCTAGATTTACGACCTCAGACTGAAGCATTATAAAGAAAATTTAGAAGAAGAGCATCCTAGTCTTGATGCTAGCTTTCCAAAGACTGAAAGAGAAATTATTGGAGCTTGCGAAGTTGAACAGGAATTAGAAAATTTGAATGAAAAGTACTCATGTTTAATGAGGACTATATTACAATATATTGAAGAATTAAAAGAGATGTTTACTGCTCAACAAAAGATAAAGGTAAGTTATTTTTTTAAAATTTGCTTACCTATAGCTTCATAAATTATGAATTGCTGGATATAAAAACCTGCAAACTCTGTAAGAAAAAATAGACTTAAAAATGCGTTTTAAAGTATTTTTATATGCTTTCAATTCTGTCTTTTTATGTAAAAAAAATATTTTGCATAACTGGAATCAATTTAATAAATTTTTTTGTGTTTAAATACAAAAATTTTCATTGCTTTTCAAAATTTCTTGGTATTATTAATTAAAGGTTTTAATCTTATTCAAATTTCTAATAATTTATTTAATGTCTAAATTACAGTTAAATATTTTTCTTCTAATACAAAATTTTAGTTTGAAAAATTTACAAATTAGAGTTACGTAATGTCTTGGCTTTTTTAAAAAAAAAATTTTTTTAACATTTTTGTCTAGCTTTATGAATGAATATTTTCTCCAATTTGAATACAGAAAAATTGCCAGCTTTTGTTGATTATGCCTACTTGTTTAATAATTCTTAGAAAGTTTTTTAACAACCTATGATATAATTTATAATGGCAATATATAAGTTTCTAAGCGTAAAAGGAAACTACATAGAAAATTAAATATGAACTGTTAATTTTAAAAACTTTTCTTAAACTTACTATCTATGACACAATCCTCATATTTAAATGAAATATTTCTCACAGCCTTTTAAATCTTCAAATTGTGTTCTTTGATATTTTTTGCTGGCTCATCATATTAAGTTTTAAATCTTTAGTGGAATATCATACTATGATTATTATGCATTTTTTATGTTTTCCCTTAAATCAATTTGCTGCATTTTTATTTTTAACTTTTGTTGCACTTTATTTTAAAATCATTACTTTATCTGAATTTTAAGTTCATATGCATGCTTTATACTTTTGGTCTATGGGCTGTACTTGACCTATTCTTTCCTTTTCTGAATTTCTTAATAGTGGCAATACATCAATCAAGCTGTTCCAGTAACTTTGAGGACCTTTAAAACTATCATTGCCCAGGTACCATCATCAAATGAGGAAAACATTATTGAGCAGAAAATTCAAGTAGATGATGAACCATCTGTAAAATACTTAAATAACCAGGGCTTGATATCAACCCTAAGTGAACCACCTCATGAAAATACTTCAGACAATTTGAACATGAATATTGAAAAGAAAGAAATGCCTCTAAAACTATCTTATTACAAAGATATTCAATCAACCTCTCCTATCTTTCAAAGTACGAGCACTCTTAGTACCATGAGGGGAATTATTGACTCAAGAACAGGGGATATAATTACTTTAACTGAAGCTGTAGATCGGAATGTTATTAATTTTGAAAATGAAAGCATAACTGATTTCAAAACAGGTCATATAATGTCTTTTTCAGAAGCTGTTTCTGAAGGATTTTTGGATAAAACCATTCATGATAAGCTACTTAGTAAATGTGGTATTTATTTGCCTGAAACCAAAACTGAATTATCACTGATTAAAGCAATACAAAAGAATGCTTATGATATTAGGGAAGATACACTTTTAAATCCTTGTGATTGTAAACCTATTAGTTTAACAGAAGCTTTTCACACTGGCATGGTAAAAAAATCTGGGATAAAGACATTGATTGATATGAAGCTAGTTAAGACAACAAATTTAACTCTAACTGAGGCAATACAAAAAGAATTTATTGATCCTAAAACTGGTGTTTTCCGTGAGCCTATTACTGATACTCCAATTGACTTGAGAAATGCTATTAAAAAAGGTTACATAAATATGGAATCTCCAAAGCCAGATAAACATGGATTCTCTCTAGCAAAAGCAATTGACCATGATTTCATTAATAATGAAGATGGTTTAATCATTGACTCTGAGTCTGGAGAACAGTTTTCTGTTGAAGAAGCTCTTTTAAAAGGTTTATTGTTAAAAAATACTTTAGAAGTATATGACGTTGCTGCTGAAAAACTTATCCCACTCTCTGAAGCTGTGAAAAAGGGTATTGTGAATTCACACTGTGGTAAATTTATGAATACAAAGACTTCAGAAATGAGTTCTTTCAAAGCAGCTAGAAAATGCAATTATATATGGAAACCTTTAAGCCTGAAAGAAGCATCAGATTTATCATTATTTACTAAACAAAACATAACTAATCCTATCAGTGGCAAAACTTTAAGTATTTTAGAAGCCATGTCTCAAGGAATATTAGAGTGTGAAACTAATTGTGTCATGGATACTCTTTCTCGAGAGTTCGTATCTTTGCCTGAAGCACTGAATAGAGGAATAATATTGCCGAACTGTAGTTTTGTAGACACTGAATCAAATCGTGAAATAGAATTGCCATCAGCTGTGAATGAGGGCTTTATAGCCACTGTGTCTCAAAAAAGTATATTTGATATAGAAAGTATTCAAAACGATGCAAATGAGTTCATTAGTTTTAATGATGCTATTAATACTGGTGTTATAGATTTAAACCAGGAATTATATGTAAACAAATCCTCAAATGAACACATTTCTTTAGAAAATGCTGCTTCCAAAGAATTAATTAAACCTCAAATTTATGATTTACTTTGTAAGCCTATTGGAGTAAAAGCTGGTGATAAGGACTTAAATCTCATAGATTGTTGTAAGCATGGCTACATAGATTCTAACTCAGGGAAGCTAATGGATCCAGTGTCAAAAGAACCTATTTCCCTTCAAACTGCTGTGAATAATGATATAATAACACCAGATGGAGCTGCTTTACTGAAAGGGCTATTGAACATTACTCTTACTTCTGCTAATGTTGTTCAAAGGATTGAAAAGCATGTTTATGAAGAAAAATACTCGCTGAAAACTGATGAACCTTTGAATACTGAAAATGATGTGTCTCAGTTGTTGGATCCTTCTCAAAGCAATGAAAGAACAATGCATTCAAATTCAAATGCACATGATTATTCCATTAGTTCACAAAAGAACTTGCATGCCCCAGAGGCTGAAACAAATGCGAATAAAGAAATATGTGAGAAACACATGAAAGTAAATATTTCCGGCATAAAAACTAATCTTGATAAAAATTTGACAGGTGTTGATAGGGAGTTAGCACCATCGTTTTGCAGAACTTTAAATGAATCCTCAAAAATAAATCAAGATTCTTTGAGTCTTATTACTACTCCAGAAGATAAAATACATGAAAAAATAGATGTTTTAGAATTGCCACCAGATGGTTGGAATTTCAGTGATGCAATATGTAAAGACTTATTTGACGTAAAATCAGGTTTATTTACTGTGCCTGGTACAGATCGTTTGGTTTCTTTTGAAGAAACTGTTAAAATGGAAATAATAAACCCCAAATCTGCCGTTGTTCTTGTTCCAAAATCAAATGAAACAGTAACTTTAGATCATGCATTAGAAATGAAAATTTTAGATAATACTGGAAGTTACAATACAAAGACTGGGAAATGGATTTCAATGCATGAAGCTATTGAACAAAATTTGATAACTTTTTGTGATGATAGTTTTAATACAAAAATATTGAATCAAAATAGTTATAAACAATCAACTAAATCTTTTGAAGAATCTGAAAGTGCATGGAAACTGACCACAATTACTTCCATTCCTTCATTTGAAAGCTGTGATAATAAAAATGTGCAGGTTCATGATACTTCTTTACATTCGTTGGATCATCATGTCAACGCTCCTGAAACATATTTTTGTTTAAATGATGCTCTAAATTTTACCTCCACACCTCACAGAGAAGTAATATTACAAAAAGTTCCTAAACGATCTCTAACTCCTAATGATGCAGTTGCTGAAGGTTTTATTGATCAAGAAACAGCTGAAACTTTGACTAAGCTATTTCCTAAACACTCATCTTGCAATAATAGTGATTTCCTTAGCATTGCAAAATGTCATAATCATTTGATTAAAATTCCTGATTTCCGTAAAGGTAAAATGATAATGCTGGAGGAAGCTCTTCAACAAGGACTAATAGATAAGGATACTGGAAATATAATCGTACCTTTAGCAAGATCATTAAGTATGGATGAAGCTTTTTATCAAGGACTACTTAGTGAAACCTCACATAAAATTATTCATCCAGATAATGGAATTGAACTTGATGTTGATGAAGCAATAATTTGTGATATTCTAAATCCTTATTCTACCTTTATAGATCCTATTACTTCAGATTCTATGACAATTTTGGAAGCTATTCAAGAGAAAAAGATTAATCCTAAATCTGGTGAGATATCATCTTCAACAAATATAAATATTGTTGAAGGAGTGCGTCTAAATATGTTTAAAGCTAAGCAGACATTGCCTAAAAGTCCACCACTTCTTTCATTTACATTTCCTACTGCCTTACAATACGGTTATATTGATGTTCAATCAAAAGTTTACATGCATCCAACTTCTCATAATGATATCCCTTTGCACAAAGCATTTGATAACTGTGATCTTTTAATCATTCCAGTTCAACCTCAAAGAGAATATTTCTTGTTAGATGATGCTTTAAATCAAAAATTAGTTGATCCAAAAAATTTTACGTTTAAACATCCAGTTACCAAACAAATCAGCGATTTGAGAGAAGCCATGAATTCTGGGTTACTTGTTGCAAAACCTGCTAGGCTGGTTACACCCTCTTCTTTTACTAGTAGTTTGAGTCAATTGCGTAATTTGAATTTATCAGAGGAAAGCTTAAATAATTCAAAGCAAAATTTAAGCCATTTTGTTAGTCCTAAAGACTCTGCTGAAAGTGCTATAAAGAAAAGTAATTTGAATTTAGAGACTGGAGAGTTTTTTGATATTAATTCTCATCAATCCTATTCAATACCAGAAGCAATCAAAATAAAACTTTTACAACCTATCAATGATATTGAACCAATGAAGTGCATGAATTACGATCTTTCACAAGCATTCCTTTATCTATATAATGATAGTAAAAATTTGTTTACTGAACCTAAAACAGGAAATCTTGTTGATTTTGAATCATTAGTGAATAACCAAACTCTTGATTGTAATTCACTATTATATGATGTTCAGAGCAAGAAAGTTATGACTTTAAGTGATGCTATCAAATATGGCTTTGTGAATGCACAAACTGGTTTTTATAAGAACAAATCAAATGATGAATATCTTAATCCAATTGAAGCTGCAAAACTTGGATTGCTTGTTTTTATTAAGGACCCTGATTTATTTCAGTCTCAAAGTATCATTCCCGAAAAACCTTTGTCAGAAAATATCTCATCATTCCCAAAAGAAAGAAATTTACGTCCTAATTCATTACCATTGGATCCTTTGATTTCTGAGGCAGATCATATCTCTCCTGTAGAACATAATTCTTTTAAAGCTACACAAGCCCTTGAGGAGTGTGAAAAAAATCATTCAGATCAAAGTATCATTTTGAATACTAAACAAGACTTAACCAACATTTCTGAAACAATACAACCTGTTAAATTAGATATAAGTCCTAAACTCAACCCAGCTGAAGCAATAGTTTGTGAAAATGAAGAATTTTTAGAAGTCAACACATTAAAGTCAGGTGAAATTATTACTGATGAATTGACAATCATTCCAATCAGCAATAAAGCTGATACACAGGAACTTAATCAGCAGATTCCAGAAAAAGTAGATTCATCCTTTTATGAGAATGAGACAGAAAGTTTATTTGTACTTCCCAATTCATTAAGTAGTCAGAATATTAATGATAGTACAGAAAATTTGTGTCAGATTTCGGAAGTTGAAAAATTAATTGGAGGGGTGAAAGGCTTATTTAATGAAAATACTAGTATTCATCCTGAAACTCATGTTAATGAACTGAATGCTTATGACCAAGTTGTTCCTTTGTCAGTTAATGATGATAAAGATTTGCAACTGAGTCGTAAAAATATTGTTGAAACAACTGTTGTTTCTTCTGTGTCTGAAATCATATCAAAAGTTCAATCTCATTCAACAGTTACTGCTACTGATAGATCAAATGACATTCCATCTCCACACATTTCTGAAACTACTAATGAATTACCATTTTCACCTGAAGATAAAAATTTATGCCGAGATAGCTATGCTGACTTATTGGAAATACCAAAAGAGAAATCTTTGTCTTCTGAAAATAAATTGTCAGTTGGACCAAAGTTAACACTAGATGAAAATGCTTCATGCAAAGATATAGATTCCAATATCTCCAAGGATTTGCAAGTCATGACAGAAAAGCAATCAGAAGACGCAAATATAGGCCAAGAAAAAGGAAAGATACAACCTTTAAAAATATTGGATACAATTACAACAGAAAAAGTTACTTCTGCGAGGCAAATAGAACCTCTTGTGGATTCCCAATCTTCTGAGATTTTATCAGCTGTTGACATGAACTTGAGAGAAATAGTGTCACCAACCCAAGAAAGAAAATTAATGTCTGAAGATAGTCAGTTCAAACCAACTGAAATTGAACCCACAAACATAAACTATGAAATAGAAAAGACACTATCTTCAAATAAAAAAGTACCAATACTAGAAGATAGCAATCAAGGTCTAAAAGAAAGGATGCTTGAGAAATATGGTAATTCTTTAACTTCTGTTGCTGATCTTTCATTCCCCGAAAAAGTATTATTGACAGCTGGAATGATATTGTCTGTTAATGAAAGTAAACTATCTACGGATAAAAGTGAATCTGGCATAGATAAAGATGAAACAAGAGCAAAAAATGTTTCACCACAAGTCATGACTTCAAAACCTTCTTCACCGGAGACAAAATCATTTTTAAAGGAACATGAAGGTCGTAAGTTACCAATAATTCCTACAAAATCAAATGTCACTGAAAAAGAATTTTCTATGCAAGAAAGTTTATCTTTTGAGGTAAATGACACTTTAGAAGAACCCAAATTATCAATCCAAGAAAATATTTTCAATAGTTCTGGTGAAAAATCAGATGTAGAAGAAAAAGAAAGTCCTTTGAGACAGCCAGAGCTTCCATTAGATAATAGTAGTCTAAGTTCCAATGTGACAAAATTAGCTGCTGGAGAGTTACCTTTAAAAACTTTAGAGCCTGAAAGTCAAGAAGTCGAAGTGATCAACGATGACACTAAATTTTTAATTACTGAAGAAGAATTACAAAAGAAAGTAAAATATCATTCAACTGAAGGAAATGAAACAACTGTAGCAGCTTTACTGTCTCAAACCAAAGACAATGAATTTCCAGTCATTGAAACTGGACAAATAATTGCTGAAATTGAGCTTGATGATACAGAAAACGAATCATATATTCAAGAAAATGAAAGTAAATGGCCAACAAAATTACCTGAAACCAAAAATGAAATAATTGAGAATACAATTGAACTTCAAAATGAAAAAGAGTTTGAAATTAAGGAAACAAAGCCTTCGGTCTTAAATATACTAACTGAAACAGAATCACTTACTAGTGTCAACTTCATACCTGATGAAGAAAGTCAACTTACAAAATCCAATATCAAGCCAGCAGTTGTAATGAATGAACCTAATGCTGCAAGAATTAATTCTGAAGAGAATGAAAATATTATATCTGCTGAAAATATTTCTCCATTAAAAAGTATTGAATCTCCCTCAAAAAATTTAGCATCTGTTGCTGATGCTAGTACATCTTTTAAATCAGAAAATAAAATGAGTTACATGGAAGGAGATATTAAAAGAATTCAGCCATCCCCCATGGATATCAACCCTGAATTTAATGAGTTAAAATCTGAAACAACTCTATCACTATCTGTAGAAAGTAAATTTTCTACAAAAGAAGATAGGTTGTCACATAAGATAGATAAATCACCTTTAAACAATGATTTCTCAGTTGATGAAACTGAATCATTAGTTTTGAAAGAAGAAATGGGTAGAAAATATAACAAATTAAGTCATGAAGAAAGTGAAATAAAAATTAGTGATGACAATACCTTTGAAAAGGAATCTAAATTACCCTTGCAAGGTGTGAATTCAAATATCATTGAGGAAAATACATTTAGGGAATCAGATTCCTGTGACAAGAAATCTTTATCTCAAGTGCATGACCGCAAGTCACCGATTGATGAAAAAAAATTTAGTGAAGAAACAATATCACCAATCAAAGAGTCAAAAGCACTAACCAGTGAAAAGTCCCCAATCAAAGAAGTAAAATCTCCAGTCAAAGAAGCATCACTTATCAAAGAAGTAAAGTCTCCAGTCAAAGAAGCATCACCTATCAAAGATACAAAGGCACATGCAAAAGGAAGATCCCCTACTAAAGACATAAAAACTTCAGTCAAAGAAAAATCCTCTATTAATGAAGCTGAATTATCAATGAAAGAGAAGTCTCCCGTCAAAGATATAAAATTGCCAGCAAAAGTCAAGTCTCCCACCAAAGAACTAAAAATGTCACTCAAAGAAAAGTCTCCCATTACAGAGGTAAGGTCTCTAGTGAAAGATAAGTCTCCTATTAAAGAGGTAAAAACTCCTGTAAAAGAAAAGACTCCCATTACAGAAGTAAGATCTCCAGTGAAAGATAAGTCTCCTATTAAAGAGGTAAAAACTCCTGTAAAAGAAAAGACTCCCATAAAAGGGATAAAATCACCAGTTAAAGAAAAACCTTCTATTAAAGAGGAAAAATTGCCAGTAAAAGAAAAATCTCCCATTAAGGAGGTTAGATCACCAGTGAAAGACCAGTCCTTTGCCAAAGAAACAAAATCACCCATCAAAGAAAATGTGCCTTGCATTAAAGAAAGTGATTTACAACCCCAAGAATTTTCTGACAATATCACCTTAGAAAATGTGTCTTCTGTGAAAGAGTCTAAAGTATTTACCAAAATACCTGAATCATTGGTGAGAGAAAGTGGATTTGTCAACCAAACAACTGTAACAAGGTCAATAAAGAGTGAAATACATTATGAAGAAACAAAATCTGTTGCTGAGAATAAGATAATACATTTTAAAGAAGAAATGTCTAATGATGACATTAACAAAGGGAAGGAAACTAAATCAGAATTTAGAAGTAATGAGACTCAATTGGATAGACATGCAGACATCCACAGTAGTAAAGCAGCTGAACAGGATTGTGAAAGTCAGATGGAACAGTTAATGCTGCCAACTCAAGAAGTGACATCAGCTGACTTAGTATCCCCACTTTATAAAGCAATTGAAACAATATCAACTGAAAGTAATTTTCCATCAGAAGAGAACTTGCAAAAGCTAAAAAATAAGAGCAATGTCATATTAAATTCAAAAAGTGAACAAATAATAGCAGAAAGAAAACTATCTGCTACAGAAGAAGTATCAAATTCTGGAGAAGATTTATCTTTGCTGTCAGGTTCAAATATCATTCCTGGTTCTTTTATTGAACAAAGAGAAATTAAAGTTTCTTCATCTATGAAAATCACTTCAATCAATGATCAACCAAACCAATCAACCAGTATAATGTCAAGTGAACATAATCAACGTACTGAAGTTTCTGAAAAATCAGATTCTCAAACTCCTTATTATACTGACATTAGTTTATCCACACATAAAGCTTCTGTTGATAATATTTCTTCTCTCAATGATAATGCGAAATTCGTTTCAGTTTCTACCGAAAAGACCAAAGTTTCTTATAATGAAATTGGTGATGATGGTTCAATAATTTCATACTTGCCAGAAAATAAAATGTCTTCAACAAAAAAAGATTTAAGACAAATTGATTATGTTTCCAATGTACAGGATACTACAACTGATAAAACATTTTCTCATATTAAAAAAGTTGATTGGTCCACCAATGAGACTGCTTTTTCTGTTAAAAGTAATTTGTCAACAGAAACTGCAATTAAAGAGGGTTTTTCTGCAGATGAAAACAAAGCAAACTTAGTAAAATTGTCAAAAGTTGAAAGCAGTCTGTCATCTTTTACTGGTTCAACAGACATTCCAAATAAGGAGCTTGAATTCTTAAGCAATGAGACTGATTTACGCAAGAAAAGTAATAATATACTTGTAAAAGAATTTAAGAAACAGATATGTGATGAACCAGATATAAAAACTAGTTCAGAAAAGGAAATTTTAGCTAATGAAAATATTTCTATCAACAGTGTCATATCTTCTTCTTCCAAAGCTGATAGTTTAAAAAGTATGAGGTCTTCCACTGTGTCTTATTCTTCTAATGTGTTCACTGAAACAAAAATTACATCTTCAGTTGATATAACTACCACGAAACCTGAAGAAGTTTCATCCAGTTTATCATCCACTCTATCAGAGACTTTAAACACCTCTTCTACAAGGGACAACTTTAATCATAAAATAAATGCAGTGACTTCTACTAAAGTTTTCTCCTCTGTTACTGCATTTGGAAATACCATTGAGAAAGATAATGAGACATTGACTCAGCTTGAAAATGTAAGTTATGCAACGAATTCTCAGAAAAAAGATTCTAGTTCAAATGAGGAGTATCCTTTTCCAAGTCAAGACACAAAAACATTCCTTGAACATTGTAGTTTGCCTGGTGAGGATTCAAATCTCATCAAGCCTGTTGACTCTAAAATAGCTTTACCAGCGACTCGTAATAATGCTTCATTTTCAAATGATTGCTCTCTTGCATTTCATGAGTCAAATTCCAATGACCAGCACTCTAATATTCAACAACCATTTAGAGAAAATGCTTCTACTATGAGTATAAAACATCTTCCTCATGGAGTATCAGAAGAATGTGTTTATTCTGATGTACTTCAGAATGAAATCGAAATGTTGTCAGATAGCATCTTGCATTCTATAGATCCAGATGTAAATAACTCCATTATAGTGCCTGAAGACTCATTAATAGTCTCAAATGATAATATTTTATCAGAAAAAAGAACTGATGATTTTATGAAATCAGATTTCAAGGAATTAAAAGTGTCACAAACTGGCAAAATTGTTTGTGCAACTAAAGAAACTCCAGAATTCTTCAATAATTTAACAATATCTAGTTCTTCCAAAGTAGTTCATTTATCTAGTTCAAGTGAAACAGATCCAGAGCATTTTGAAATACCAAAATTTCCCCCAGATGTTGAACATTATATTAGTGATAAGGACAACTTGCAAACCTCTACTACTCCATTTGAAGGCCAGAAGTCTGATGTTGTTGAAACTGGCTTGAGCTATAATATTACAGAAAAACAAAAAATGTTGCTAAGTGAGATCTCCCCTTCAGATTCTGCAACTATTTTGGATAAAAAAGAATTCAGATTGGGTGATGAGTCAGATAAAGTTCCAGGTGAAATTACAGCAGTAAGTATTATTGTTTTGTTTGATTTTTTTTACTTTCTGAGCACCATAGGATTTTCTAGCACTATTTCCTGATTTATGTTTTATGTAATTTTATATGCTGTTTTTTTCCCAAATGATATCTTATTTTTATTTCTGAATTTAAAATGTTCTATTTATTCAAGGTAAATAAAAAAGAAATCTAGTCTTAATCTGAAGGTTATCTGATTGATCCAACTAAGACATAACTATAATCAAACTTAGAAAAACAAAATGACGATGCAATACAATCATATGATTAATGATTATTAAAAATTTTATAGAACTTCTGCAAAATTTTTATGGATCTCATGCAAAGTCATTTCCTTTTTTTCTAATTGTACAGAGGCTTTCTCTACTATATGATAGGTTGCAACCGGGCTTTTTTGGACAATTTACCCTCTCGTGTGTTTATCTCTTTGTTAAGGTTATATTGCCAAGATTTCACTTCTGAAAAAGTATAATTATATGTATAAGTTGCGTGTTCTGCTGAGTCTTTTAGGTAAAATATTCATTTACCCAAAGAAATTTGATGATTATTTTCTTGCATATCAATATTTAAAATTAGTTCATTTAAAGAAACCTTCTCGCTAAAAATATGAAGTAATGTATTACACCTACTAATTGGAAAAATTAATAAGTTTGTTTACTACTTTTAAACCTAAAGCAATTAATAAGCATTGACAGTCTAAAATCTTTTAGAGCTTGATGTGCAAATTTCATTTATTAATCATGGTAGTTACTAAAAATTTTTATTCAAATTTTAAACTGATACAGAATAAATGTAATATTAAAACTTCACACCACAAATTTAAGAAGTTTGTACTCAGATGAATATATTTTATTTGAAATAATTTTCCTATAATTATATTGGTTTTTAAATTGTAAACCACTACTGGCTATGGATTTAAACTAGCCTTGCTAACTGTAAGTAGTATGTGATAAGAAGATGTGAATTTTTACTCTTAAACTATCTCAGATTTTGTAAATAGTACTAAGTTAAATTGAAATGCTGTTGTGAAAAAATCTAATATTTACACCTATCGTATTATTATTATTTGACGTAATTTTATTTTGAAATAGATATTATTAACATAACTTAATGTTTTAATAACATGAAAGAAAACAGAGAACAGTTCCTTGCAAAATATGTTTTGCTTTCAATTCTTTATGTAAAAAAAGTGAACTTATTTTTGTGATAAATTTGAAAATGCTGTAGCTTATTTCATAATGTGATTTATTATTTTTTTTTAATCTTCACTATTTGAACTTTTTATCAACAAATATTCTTAGAAATTGAATTTTTTTTATTCAGATATGTTTCATTTTGATTAAGCAGTTTATATCATTTCCCCATGTCCAAAATTCAAAATGCTTTCATTTTAATTTGAGATATTTTAATTCAACTGAATATTTAATTATTTTCTATGGTAAGTGTGTGTTTTTATAAAAAGAAATAGCTGTATGTTTCAGGAGAATTGAAAAAAAGTTTTTTTATACCTTTTTCATGAGTATATTATTTGTTCTGTATTAAATTGGAAAAAAATTTATTTGCGTTATTATGCTTAATGAATTTCAAAAATAATCCATAAACTTTTTTTATCTTTATTTTGTATAAAGTACTTGTCAAATACAAACCTTTTTTGTATATATATTTGCTGATTTCAAACAGTTTATTTGTGAGTACTTTAAAAAAAATATACTATTGAGATTTGAGATCAACAAAAGAAAAATATATCAACTTGTATCTAAAAAGTTGTTTTTCCTTATTCGAAAGGGTCTGCTGTTCCTGTATTATACCTTCAAAATTCCCCAGTTATATTCAATGCATATCTGAATATTATCTTTACTAGCAAAACTGACTTACACCTTAACAAATATTTTTCTCAGTATTTACTGCTTCTAATGTTTATTCAATATGCATATTTGGCATTAAACAAACCATTAACCACTAATTCTAATTTAAGTGTGAATTAACTATTAAACATCAGCACTGTATACTATAATCTATACTTAAATTTAGTAAGTCAATCTTGATGCATTCATTTATATTTACCTTGTAATAAACTTGTTAGCTAGAAAATAAAATTTTTTTCCAAATAAAATTTTCTGCAAGGCGGCAGTTCAAGGAAATTACCAAGTGTGTGAAGAAAATGCTGTGAAACTAGAATCATGGATGAAAGATATAGAATTAAAATTGGCTGAACTTGGTGTGATCCAAGAAACTATTCCTGGTTTGCAACATCAAATTGCTACTGTTAAAGTAAGTAATATTCAATTCATGATTTGCTTATACTTTACTGTATTCTCAATAACAATTATACTGCAAACGGACTTTCTTCTAATATTGCTGTTTGAGTATAAACAATATATTGAACAATATGAGGAGAGTGCAAATAATGCCACACATTAACATTTTACTATAATTTTGGTATTTTAATGAAGATTCTTTGTCAGTATCTTAATGGGGAATAAAAAATAGTGTGGAAAAGGATAAAAGATTCTGTTTTTCATTCTATGTTTTGACACTGAAGAAGGTTCTTAATCATAGAGTCAAACGTAGTTTATCTGTTTATATGGTATTTTTTGTGCTCTTTTTATGTTGTTTAGTTTTATTAATGTATAGCACAAATTTAACCGTTTCTTTACTTGGAAATTAGTTTATTTTTCTTCAACAAGGTTTTAAAAAGTTTAAACATTTTTTAATTATATTGAAAGTAAAGTTATTGATTGAAATTAATACTCATAAGATTTAGGAAGGATTTAATATATTATCTATATATGCTATTAGTATGTTAACTAAAACTTTAAATTAAATTTCCAAAAATGATTTTAATTAATTTGATTTAAAAAGAAGTGTTGTAATAAAATTGTATCTTGTTTAGATGTATGTAAGTTGAAAAACTAAAGAAAGATAATTGGTTATTGTCCATAAAATTAACAATTGTTTTACAAAATATAATTTGCATGCATATCTAAGCTCACAAATTTATTTATTAATGTAATTATATAATTGAGCAAAACCTTAAAGTTGACTATAAAAACACAAAAAAAAAAACATTCTTTCAAATTAATATATGAAAATTTTAATATTTTCTTAAATAGAAATGTTTATGAATTTATAAAAAAATGATGAAAGGGTTTTTCTAACTGAATTCAATCAGAAAATATCTTGATAATGTAAAAGAAAATTAATAAAGATGTGAGATGGAAAGTTTAGACCAGTTATTGTGGTTCTATCTAATTCTTTTTATGTAAATGAGAGTGATCATGTAAAGCTAATATAAGGTGTCACAAAATATACCTACCAAGATAAAATGTAGTTTTTTCCGGCAATTTTAAAATTTAGTGCAAATTATTTTGTGGGATGTATGACTATAAACAGTTTTGGTGCACAACATTATAGGTGGTCAATAACTGATAAATAGCTCAGCTGGTAAAGAATATCTGTAGAATTTGCTACCAGTTAATGTTTATATTCAGTTAATCAGTTATATTTATGCCAGTTAATATATATTAATTATAACTAAATATTTATTTCTGCAGAAATTTATTAAAGTTTAGAAATGTATGTGAGGCTTGCACTGGTCTTGATATTGAGGCTCTCAATAGTCTTACAATATTACAATAGTCTTATAATATATATGAGGCTTACAATATTATCTTACACACAACAGTTAAAAAAATAAAAAGCTAAAAATAGTTTGAGGCTTTCTTGTTGATATGTTTTGCTACAAAGTCATTTCAGATTATTAATCTTTTTAGTATTTTCCTGGGTTTAAATTCTTTCTTTTTAAATATAGGTTCTAAAAGAGCAATTAGAAAGTCAACAAATGTTGGTAAATACCTGTCTTGACCAAATGAGACAGCTAGCTCAAAGAGGATTAGAAATTCTGACAAAAGAAGAAATTAATAATCTTCAAAAAAATTTAATATCCTTGAAAAGACATTATGATTCTTTGTTAAATGACAGTGACAGACTTTTGAGGCGTTTAGTAGCAGCATATGATGAACTTCTAAAATTTAAGGTAATTTATAGTTTTTATAAACTTTATACATATTCTTTTAACAAGTTGTATTTAGAAAGGTTATCTACAATTAAATATATGTTTGTTTGATTTTAGATTTTTTTAAATATCTTTTTTTTTTGTATATTATAATGGATAGTGTTTTCAATATAAATGTAAACAACAACAATCTAGATCTCTTGACCTTCTCTATTTCCGGTCAGAAAGTATACAGCTGCTTACTACAGCTTATTCTGCGAGGTGATATTTTTAAACAAATAATTTTGTTTTTAATAAAAGGAAAAAAATTGTATAATTTCTGAACTCAAATCTGATGTATTTCATAAGATATTAATGATATTAAGTAATTCTGGAGAGTTTGAGGTGAAAATTAATTTGTTTAGTTGTTTATTGATGTCCTGTTAAAAACGGTGACACTAGACTTTGAAAGAACTTGATTTTTTTGGCAGTTCTGATTTAACCTCTTTTAACTTGTTTATTACTGTTTCTAACTGGTGCAAACCGTGCACCATCATAGGTTAGTGTTAACATTCTTCGAGTAGCGAGAATAAGTTCATTTTACAAATTATCGTATAGGTTTAAATTTCGAACTTTATATAGTGTTAGCAAGGTAAGAAGTGTTTTATAATGATTCTTTTTTCAAATGACAATTTTTGCGTTTTGAAATGACCGATCTTCAAATGATGATTCATTAACAGGTAACATCATTCTCAAAACACAATTATCACATTGTAAGCCAAATGGCTTCAAAACATGCCAAAAACAATAACCCGGAAGTATAGGCAGTCAAGAGCTTGCAGCGCTCCCTAGTGTAGAAAACACCACCCTTAAAAAATTTTGCATCATCATTCAAATTGGTTTGCATCAGTTGGAACGAAAATAATTTTAAAAACCAAAAAAAAACGGGGGAATTTAGTTTTTTCTCTCCATATAGTTTTGTTTGATTAGGTCGCGTCTATTTCACATTCCACATTGATGCTTGCTGTTATTTCAAACAATGTTATTTGTCTATTAGCACTGACAATTCTACGCACACAGCGATGATCTCAGGTATTAAGTGCTAACAGTGGGCCACTACGTTATCCATGGTGGGAGGATAACGATGGTGGGAGGTAACATGGTGCCTGAAATTAGGTATTCTTGGCATGGTCTTGGCATTGCAAATCTAGAAATGTTGAATTCCCTCACAATTTCCGAAATGGAATGTCCCATGCTTCGTGCTCCTACTGCCATTCCATGTTCAAAGTCAGTTAATTCTTGTCTTGTGGTCATGATTACATCAGAAGCATCCTCACATGAATAACTTGAATACAAATAAAAGTCCTGCCTGTGCACTACTCATGTATACATTTTGTATGTCATACTACGGCCATCTGTATATTTTCATATTGCTATCCCATTACTTTTGTCACCTCAGTACATATATATATATATATATTGGCTAAGCAATATTGATGTCTGTGTAATAAATTTTTAAATTTTTTTTCAGACTGAAATGAAATCACTAGTAGAATGGCTTAATCAATCCAGGCGTCAATTTAATGTTATTGAATCGTCCATGGGTGCTCTTAGTCAACTTGAAAAAAAATCTGAACTTGTTAGGGTAAGAATAGTCTTTATTTAAATATACTTTTAGTAAACTTTGGATATAAATCTATATATACAGAAAAAAACGCTATTTGCTTGGATAAATACTAAACTTGTTACAATTCCATGATTTTCTTTACTGCTAATTTAAAACATTTGGATGTAATTGTGTTATTTATTTTATTGGGATATAAGTGTGCAATATTTAAAGATTAACCTATTTTATTTTTAGAATGATATATTAAAATCTATCTCCATTATTTTACTCCATTATTAAGTCCTTAGATGATGTTATTGTTCAAAAAGCAGACCTCTTATTCAACTCAATTTCTTTATGAGTATTAAAGTATAAATTTTAGAAAGATTCATTAATTTCTACTTTCATTATTTTATTTCTAGTCCTTCTCCAGTGATGTTATTGCTCACCAGGCAGACCTCAGATTCATTACTATGGCAGCTCAAAAATTTGCTAATGAATCCCAAGTAAGCACATTTTTAAAGTTTAAGTTAAACGTTTTTCAACGTAAATGATTTCTTATTTTTACATCTTTCTTTGTTTACAGGATTATTTAAAAGCTTTAAATACTCTTCGTTCTAACTTGCCTCAAAAATTGCCTTCTATCCCTGCTGGAGAGAGTGAAGTAAAATCAGAAGTACAAGAGATAACATCAGTTTTTCATACGTTCTTAAATGAAGTGAATAAGCTTACTGATAATTATACTTTAGTTTTAAATAAGTATCGTTTATACAGTGAAACTGTTGAGAAAGCTAAATCATGGATTACTGAAGTAAGGAAATCAGCTAAATCTGCAATTTCTGAGCCTCTTGCTGATGAGCCTTCTGCTTTACAAAATCAATTGGATAAAATTAAGGTTATTAACATGGAAGTTGTGGGACAAAGTAGATTAATTGAAAATGTATATCAATCCGTTAAAAATCTTACTGATACTTTGGAAAATTGTAATATTGCACCCACAGAAACAAAATCTATAGAATCTTCCATTAGTTCACTTCAAGAAAACTATTCAGAACTTTGTGATCAGATAGCTAATCGTATTAAAGAACTACAAACTGCTCTTATACATTCTCAAGACTTTCAAGCTGGATTAGAAAGAATTTCCAAGTGGTTGATGGAAGTTGAGTCTTCGGTAAAAGCACATAACAAGCCTATTAGTTTATTAGTTGAAAAATTGGAGCAACAGGTAAAATATATTTATATATTGTTTTAAATTATTAGTTTATATTGTTATTAAAATTTTAAAGTATTATTTTTATAAAGAAATAATAAAATAATATTTTTTTTAGGTTCAAGAATGCAAAATTTTAAAATCTGACATCAGTAATCAGAAACAAAGTATTGACATGCTTATGGCAAGGGCAAATGAATCCATTGATGCTAATCCTAATGTTGCAAAGAAAGTTACAAATAAGCTGAATGATGTATCACAACGATTTCAAAAATTATTTGAGACTGTTTCAAAACGATTTACTTTGTTAGAAGAGGTATACTTTATTTTCTAACTTAAATAATAAATGACTTCATATCCAATCAGCATTATTAGAAATATAGTCAAATTAAGCAGCTGTGTCATAAACAGTTCACAGTTTCTTAATAAATAAATTGTTTTGGAGTGGTTTAAGACCTCAAATTCCAATCCTTTGAATTATAAAAGCCCACACTTAAAAAGTTGTATATTTTCCGTTATGCATACTTTTATTTAAAAAAATATTTTCTATTTAATTTTAAATCGAAAATCCTTATTCAGCTGCATTTTTGTATTATGAAAAAAAGATGGTTGAATAAGGTAAAGCAGTGAAAATTATAGTTAATTTATAATTTTTGTACCTTTTGAAAGAAGTTCTAAATTATTTTTACATAAAAGCTCTTCTGATACATGAAACTACCACTGTTCATGAACAAATATTTTAAAATGATAAATGTCAAACTAAAAATATTTTTACATTTAGACATTAACCCCTGGTATCCTACCATAAGCTCCCTGGAATGAAACCTGGAAATGACGTCACGTCAAGGGAGGTACCTTTTTATACTCCACAAACTTCCTGGGAACTGTTTCTTGGCAAGAAACTCCACTGGTTTCTCACTATTGTGCAGTATCCTCATTATCATATGGAATGATGATTTTTGATGGCTAAATACAATATAGCGCTGTTTTTTTGTTAGCTTTTCTATTCCATAGTATAAAGTGACAAAATTCCTAAAAAAAGGCATGTCCAAATAATTTTTAAGGCAATATTGTAGGAGAAATATTTTTTTATTATGTTGGAACAAAACAATAATTTTATAGTTAATAGAGAATTTACGGACTTAAAAACGTAAATTATTCTTTCATTTTGTGATAACTGATAAAACTTCTAAGAAAAGAGAAATTCTCCCTGGCCATTACTTCTTTTTGAAGGCACAAAAATTTATTTTTAATTTTCTATTAATATATAGACTATTAAATCAACTGAATTTTAACTTTATTCTGAGTGGTGTTTTTTTTTATATAGTCCACAGATGGTGGCACAATAAATCAATAATGTATTTTATATTTTAAAAAATCTATTAAAAAAATGCAAAAAAAAATTAAAACATGACAAGTGTTCTAGGAATATAAACATTTCAAAAAGCAATAATGAAGTACAGATTTATTTCTGTTTTCCATTTAAAAATTATTTTTTACTTGTCATTTATTCATTGAAATACACAATATAACATTTGCAGGGATGTGATTCTTCCGAAGATTTCTGCTTTTTTTCAGATTTTTCCAGCTAATTTCCGCGGGGAAAAAAATTTCGCGCAGATTAAAATATTTTCATTTTCCATAATTATAAGAATTTAATTTTCCGCGGAGCGAAAGTATTGAAGTCCTCATTCCTCCCTCTGAAGTTTCTCAAAAAATCATTTCCTTGGGATAAAACTGGTTGACCTTTATACAGGGATGAAATTTTTTAGCGGATTTTCGCTTATATCTCGAATTTCAGCCTTTTTATCAAAAACTCCGATTCTCTATAAGTTTCGTTTTTTTTTTTATATAAATATCCCTCTTTTTTTTTTAAAAAAAAAATTCAGTCGTTGAAATGAAATAATTATATTTATTTGCGATTTTCAAAGAAAAGCAGAAAATTCAAACTACGTCATATCTGCTAACCCTTCCTCATTTTTACTTATTTTATCTATTTTTTCTGCTTTTACGCACGGAAAATAAGATTTTCCGTATTTTTGTCCGTCCACCGGATAACTCGTATTTTCATAATTCAGACGTCACTGCTTCCTGTTTTCTGGTGTGAAAGCAAACGAAAAAAAAAAAAGAATCGAGGTGGATTTGCGGGGAAAATATTTTTTTGCTCATTCAATTAATCTTGTAAATTTTTATTTATTATGTCTAAACAAAAATAATACAAACAAGCCTTTTAGAAATCCCAAGTCCAGACTCTGCAAATATCTCGATTCTCATTCACGCGATTTTAATATCAATCATCGATTTTCGTATTTACCTGATTTAAAAAATGCGCATTATGATTCTTATTTACGCTATTTAAATATCGTGCATTACGATTCTTATTTACGAGATTTAAAAATCTAATATCGCGTTTTGTATTTGTGCATTTTTAAAATCGCCATTTTATTATCAAACATCGAATTTTGTATTTACCTGATTTAAAAGTTGACCATTGTGATTTTTATTCAGGCGATTAAATATCGCACATTGCGATTCTTATTTACGAGATGTAAGAATCCAATATCGCGATTTTTTTTTACGCGCTTTTAAAACCCTATGTAGCTATTCGTGTTCACGCGAGCTTAAAATTCAATGTCGTGATTCGTTTTTGTGGTTGTAATATCAAACATCGATTTCGTATTTATACGTGCTTTAAAAATTAGACATTGGGATTCGGATTTGCGCGATTTAAAAGTTATGCATAGTGATTCGTATTTACGTGATCGAAAAATTACGCATCATAATTTTTATTTTTGCATTTTTTAAATTGGATATAGAATTTCATATTCACGTGATTTAAAAGCCTCATATCGGGATTCATATTCTCTCAGTTTAAAATCATGCATGTGATTCATATAATTTTAAAAATTAATCATCGGGATTTATAATCACATGGTTTACAAGTTTAAAAATTAAAAATCACACACAAATATATATAACTATATATATTCTTGGATTTCCACTTTTTTACTTTCTGACTACTCTCATCCCTGCATTTGTGAAAGTAGACCCCTTGAATTATTTACAAGTTTTTTATAGGTAAAATGATTTTACAAAACAGGAGAAATTATTTGAAACAAATATTATATGAACATATTTACTAACTATCAGTAAAAAATATCTAGATTCATAATTGTAAATATTTTGCTGTTGATGAGTAAAAATGTATTTTCAAAATGTTCAAAGCATTTAGTCACTTCAATGAGGTAACAAATAAAATAAATTAATAAGTAAAGTAATAATTTAAGTAATAATGTAACAAATAAAAGGGAAAACTAATGAACTTTTCTAAAATTTAGTAAATCAATCTTTAATAGACAAATACGTAAATGTTTTTTTGGTGCAACAAAATTTAATATTGTTAATTAGTTATAATTTAAAAGCAAGTATAGTTAAATATTCTAGCTGTATCACTATATTTTTTACATGTAGTTTTCAGGTATAAAATTTTGTATTTTCCCTAAGAATTAAAATTTATGCGTAGTTTTAAAAGTGGAAATTCGTAAAAAATAATTTTAAAAATAACAATGAAACGTAGTAAATATATTTTAGAAAAAAAATGGAAATAATCTTAAAAAGAAGAAAAAACGATGAAGTAATACACTAATAATTATTTCCAAAATGATGGTAAGGTAAACATCTTTCGAAAAAGAGCGAAAAATCCTAAAATCTTATGAGGAAAAAAAAATTTTTTTTTTAAATGACGGGAAAACTAATCGAATTTCGTTCCGGTTTTTTGGTTTTCCGGTTTTCTGATTTCCAGATAACTGGTTCTGTACTGTATTTTAATAGTTTTTAATAAAAAAATAGTATTGTAAAGTATTCACAATTAACATTCTTTTAGTCTGATGAGTTTAAGATACATTATATAAAAATAGATAGCCAAAAATATTATCTAAATAGCTTAAGTTCAATTCTTAATCTTATAAATTTTTTCAGTCTCATTTTATTCATGACAATGTTGCCATACATAAAAAAAATAGTTCGTATATTCTGTGGTTGGTTAAATTGTTTTTACCTTTACACCTTTTTACCTACAACACACCTTCAGGCCCAGGTATTGTGGAAATTCTGATTCCAAGTGAACGTTCATGGTACTGTATAGAACATTCGTGGAACCAAGTTTTCCCATTTTTACTTCTCAACCAGGAATCTTAGTTCCATTGTCGGTAGTTCGTGGTTAGGCTCCTAAACGTTAGTCTCAGTGTTTCCTGAATTTTCAGATCAAAAAACTGATTTCTTCATGTTATTAAAAGGGAAAATAGTGCATAGCAGGAAATTTTACCCAGAAGCTCAGCGCTTTTAAGGTGTAACTGTTTTAATATGTACTAATTGTATTTTTAAATTGTTTTGTACGTAGTAATTATGTAATGAATTGTCCTTTTCAGATTTTTTTCTGAAATAAAACTTAAATTGCCCTTTATTCTTACTTTAGTTAATTTTCTCTAAAATGTAAATTTTCATTAACACATTTGATAGTTTGTGTACATATTCTTCAGGTATCTGAAAACGTTCATGCTTTTGAAGAGATGGTAATACAGTTTGAAGAATGGCTTACTTCTACTACTGAACGTGTTGAAACAACTGACAATATTCATTTGGCTGATGTTGATGGCTTTTCATCAGTAATTGAATACTCTTTAAATCAAAAAAATTCAAAGAAAGAGGAATTCGATCGAATGATGAAAATTGGAAAAAATTTAATTTCTCGGAAAGATACTTCTGATGCAGATTTTGTAAAAAATAAGATGAGTAGTTTAGAAAAACAGTGGAAGAATCTTAGTGATTTGCTAAATGAAAAGAAAAAACTTGGACAAGACAGAGCAGAACAATTAAACTCATATGATAACTTACATGCCAAAGTGTTAGACTGGTTAATGAAAAAGGAAAAAGATTATGAAAAACTTGAACCACTAGTTTTGGAGGAAACAGCATTAAAGAAACAAGCTACTGAAGTCTCGGTAATGTACTCACAGATTTTTAACATCTCTACTTTTAATTTAATTTTTGTATCAGTTTATCCGTTTTAAGGAAAATAACTTGCCGTTTAAGATCAAGAATCATGTCTATAATTTTAAGCCAAATTGATTTACTGTTTCATGTTTTATTTTTTGTGTGCTCTACATAATGCAAAAGATTCGATTGCTGTATGTTGATATACATAACAGTTTTTGAAGAAATTGTTTTGATCAATCTCATGAAGTTAAACTTGGAATCTAAATTTCTTTTTTTTAAATCAATTAAATATGTCTTCTGTGTTTATCATTACATAATAAAACACTTCTTTCTTAACTCCTACATGATATATCAATCGTGTCTAGTTTGGCCGACAATAACTTAATAAGTTCTTACTTGTTTAGTTCTACAATATTTTCGTACTTTTTTTCATTCCATGTCTCAGCTCGTATGATGCACTGAACATTCCAAAATTATTTCCATTTTTTAAGATCATAGATTTTTACAAATAAAATCAAACAAAGCTGAAACTTATCAAGTAACTAAATAAAATATGTCTTTACGAATAAATGTTACAATTATGGAAGTTTTGATAAATTAGCAATATTAATAATTTTTTTAATAAAATTATTGAAAATTTTATAATTTTTTCTTATAAATTTGGAACTTTAGTTAAACATCAGAGATTTTGTGTAAGCAATTTTTAGACATAGTCAAATAACCTTTTTAAATGAATATTTTGTATGATAAACTTTTTCTCAAATAAGAGTTTGAAAACAAAAATTGTGTCATTTATTTGAAAACAATTTTTTATAGAACTTGATCAAGGAACATACAGAGTATTCCACTGTTATGGAACAACTGAATAATTTAGGATCATCTTGTGATGCACCTCTTAGAGGAGACAGTATGAAATCAAAAGCGAGTAGTCCCGTGAAAAAACTTTCAAGTCCTATCAAAAAATCTCCTTCAAGTAAATATATAATTTATACTTTAAACTATATTAAAACTGCATGCAATACATACATAAGAGTAGTCCCGTGAAAAAACTTTCAAGTCCTATCAAAAAATCTCCTTCAAGTAAATATATAATTTATACTTTAAACTATATTAAAACTGCATGCAATACATACATAAAATATGTTGGTATAAAATGAACGTTGTTTGCTTCTAAAATATTAGTATTAATGCAGTTTTGTATTGTTATTTCATTTAGTTGAAAATTTGAGACTATATTTAAATTTCAACATTACTATGTGAATAAGATATTATTTACTGTTCCTGTTTTTATAAAAAGCAGTGTTTGTATCTAAAGTAAATGCTTAAAGCATAAGTATTTTTGTATAAATGATTCAAATATGTGGCTGTTAAATTGACTGAATTGTTAGTAAAATATTTTATTTTTTGTAGTTGTTTAGTAAAACATATTAAATGTAAACCTATATATGTAAACTCACTCATAAATGCAACCAAATTCTTAAAATTCAAAAACAAAGCATTTATATATATTTTTTTTTTCATGCAAAGGCATCAACTCTGAATACATACTTTTAAATTGTATTGCATTGCTTAGTTAGCTAAAAGCAATGGTATTTTTTTTTTAAATCGAATGAATTTTAGTAATTGTGATTTGGTAAGTATTTTCATTTGTTAAGCTTTCTTTTAATGTTCAATCAACATTTTTTTCTTTTTAAGAAGTTTTCTCACAAATAATTGAAAACTATTATGAAACGCTTGTAGTAATTTATGAAAACATTTTAAATTGTAGTGGCTAAAAGTAAAACGCTAATGAACTAATAACATTAACTAATAGCATCTAATTTACTACATTTTTTATTGCTTTTGTATTAACAGAGTCAAAATCTACTGATAATATCACATCATACACAGTTCGAGGTCATATTTCAGCATTAAGTCCAGTTTCAACTATATCAAGTGGTTTTAGCAGCAACAGGAGTTCCACTGATAATATTGGTGGAATTGATGGTAATTTCATTATTTTAAAACCCTTAAAATATGCCATGTGTATTAGCTTAGTTTTTAAAGCAGTCGGTCCCAAATTCTGAAGCATCTTGTTTGGTTGATTGTAACGCAAATAGGTATTTTATCCAAAGGAACTATATCTCATGCTTCAAATGCTTGGAAAGTGCTTTTGCAAAAATTTTACAAAAGTGTTCTTTTTATTTACAGTTATGATTTTAATATACCATATTATATCTAGATGTATTAGTTATGTTTTTAATGGATACATGTTCACTTTCTTATCAATGGGTACATATTAGTTTTGTTGTTAATGGATACATACTAACTTTACTAATGCAAACTATACAAATTAGTTCTGTTCTCTTTTATATTCTAAATAAATATTAATTATCTCAGTTTTCCCTATCTCAAAATAAAATTCTAGCTTCATAACAGTATAAGTGGAAGATAATTTTAAAAGGTTTAATTGACAGATGTGTTTCCATAAAAAATTGGAGTACAAAATTTGTTTTGTTGATTTGTGGGTAGTATTTGTGGTTGACTTTATTTGGGCATGAGGTTAATGAAGAAAAGTTATTTACTAATAGAGTTAGAATGATAAAAATATGCAATTAGCAGCTATAATATTTTAATCTTTAAAAGTGATCGCGAAAATAAAAGATGAAATTTCATTATAATGGTATCGCACAGAAAACACATGTGTATAAATCCAAGTAGCATTAAGAACAAGTAATTTTTTCACTATCTAAGACCATTTTAGTGTCATTGTAAGATCTTAAAAGAAGTATGATCAGTTTAAGAATTCTTTATAAATTTAAATTTTACATAAATTGTGATTTTCAAAAAAACTTTAGTTTTAAAGCTTTTTATTGAAAAATCAAATACTTGTAAAAACAAAAAAACAATGTTTATTAATGTAAATAATCTCTATCACAATAACTTTACTTTTGTAATTATTGTGAAATTATGCTTTAAGGCAATTTTGTTTGAATTGTATAAATTTACAAATGAAATAACACTAGTAAATTGTTGCTGGTTTTTTTTCAATAAATTGTATTTTATAAAGTTACTGAAAATAATATATTAATAAAAAACATGAATGTTTTAGAACTTACAAGTTTAATTTTTTCCTTAAAAATCAAAACCACTGCCCATTTAAATTAACTGTCTTCTAGGAACGTACTATTTTTTAAAAAATGGCTTATTTTATAATCAGATACTTTAAACCTTTAAGAAATATTTAAAATTATGCAATTAAATTTTACAAGCATACATAAACATACATATACACTACAAGTTTATTGAAATGCTGCAGTGTTGATTATCTTTTATTTGTTTAAATGTATGTTTACCAACTTAATAAGACAAACTACATAAATAATGTGCACAAAGATTTATTATATTGTTTGAATAGCAGAGTTACTTTGTTAACTTGTGCTAACCTTACTTTTTGTTTGATAAAATAACTAATCTAAGGATGTTTTATTCTTTTGTCCTTTGAATTATCTTATTGAATTTGAAAAATAGAGTTTTGAGAAAAGTTATTCTATTTTTTTATAATGCTCTAATAGGAAGAGTTTCTGGAGAGTTTTATTCCAACTGACTTGAAAGTTAGAGAAAACATTCTTAAGATGTTGTACTATTAGATAAAAAAAATTATAAAATGAATTTTGTTGCATATTCAAAACCAAAATAAATGGGTTCATAAATAACCTAATGCTGGCTTTGCATGTTTTATTTATGTGATTTTTTTTTTTTTGAACTTGCTGTGTAGTTTACAAATTTTATTAAAGTTACTAATTCTATTAAATTAAAGTATACTAAGTTATATGTACTATTAGTTTACTAATTCTATTAAATTAAAGAATTTTTGAGGCAATGTTTTCATTTTTCTTATCTGATTTGATTGAAAATAAGTTACAAACTACTTGATATTTCATTACTTTTTATCAATTGAGTTTTTACAACAAAATCTTTTTAATACAAGTCACAAATAAATCACAAAATAATCACATCTTTTTTCTTTTCAGATTTTAGTGCCATTCAGCAACAAGTTTCAGAAGTTAATGACCGATACAACATTTTAGGATCAGAACTCTCAGAAAGAAATCAAGAAATTAGTGAAACTTTGAAAGAAGTAAAGTCTTACTTAAGTATTGTTAAGACATTATCTACCTTTGTGGAAGAAAAAACAAAAAAACTTCCTAAAGAGGGATTGCCTTCTAAAAAAGGAGCAATTGAGAGTCAATTAAAATTTATCAAGGTAAAGTTAAAGTACTCTGTTTTTGTGTCTAAAAAATTGTTCATTTTTTATATGAAATTAGTTTATTTTAATTTCACAATGTCTATATAGGGTCTTAAACAAGAAATTCAGGATAAGCAATCTGAAATGGATACTCTTAAATCTAATGTTAGTAACTTGGTTACAAGAAAGAAAATAGTTAAGGGAGGAACAGAACTTGAAGAAGAGGTTCTCACATTAGGTAAATACTTACTATATTACTTTATTTGTTGCCAAACTTATTTCCATAGCAAGTTTTCTCTTTTCTTAACTCTTTGGAAATAGATTTATTGATAAAACTTACGGATAAATTCCCGAAATTGACTTGTTTAATGAGAATTACTGTTTAACGAAATAATCTTGTTGTTTGACTTGTTTAACGAAATAATCTTGTTTAATGAATATGAATTCAATGATTTTACCTTGTTTCTTGTAACTGCATTCCCTCTACAACTTTCGAAATAAATTCTTTAAAAAAATTAAGAAGTATTTAGTGTATAATTTATTATTCATTTTCCTAGTTACGTTAAAGGGGTAAGTGATAAATGCAAACTAAAAACATTTTTTAAATTAAACTTTTCGTTTTATATTTGGATAAGTATTATCCCATAAAAATAATAAATAGGGTAAGGCTAGTTTGTATTTATTATGTACTTCTTATTAAAGAGAGAAATTGGCTGTCACTTTCAAAGAATATTGAAAAAAGATTGTTTTTCCTCCAAAACCTGATTGAGTATCAAGATTCTCTTCTAAGCATACAGAACTGGTTAAATCAAAAAGAAAAGATGCTTCAAGTTCTTGGACCAATTGCATCTGAACCACGTATGGTAACATCTCAAGTTCAACAAGTTCAGGTATACTAAATGCCATTATTATTTATTGGATCATTTTAAATTTCAGCTAACAATTTTTTTCTTTCTAAAAGCTATATGAAAAAATCTTTTATTTAATTGTGATTCAATCATTTAGAAACTCGTACAGTATTAATTTTTTAATAAAGCTATTATTAAAGACTTGAGATAGAATTAAGCAAAAACACCAATTCTAATGTAAAGTATGTAGACTGTATATAGACAAATTTAAATTTTAAAAAAAATCACAGACTAAGACTTCTTAAATATTTAATAGAATTTTCTCAAAAAATATACTTCACCCCCCCCCTCCAAAAGAAAAAAAACTTTTTGTTCCAATTTGGATTAAAATTTAACTACACATATGTATATAACTGATGTAGTTTATAATGAGCTTTGTTTAACTGATTTAGAAACCATGTCTTTAAATTCATTTTTTGTACATAAGCAGTATCCAATGCAAAAACACTAAAACCTCCAAACAACTGACTCTTTGGAGACTTTGCCTATGTGACCAGTGTTAAATTGTTGCTGCTATTCAGAGTCATAAATGTTCCAAAAGATAAATACAAAAATAGCAACATGTAAAAAATGGCAAAATGCATAGTTATAACTCAAAGAAAAAATCATAGTTTATAACTCAAATGAATAGTTAACTTACTTACTATTTTTTATAATTTACTATTATGATCACTTTTTTAAGATGTCATTGATTTGTATTTTCCATAACCATATGGAAGCTAATTTTCTCAAGCTTATTCCTTTTTTACTGTCCTCTAAAAATTTTATTTTATCCTTCAATGTAATGAATTTTTGCTTGTGATAATTACTCAAATTTCAATTATTCATTTTCTAAAGTTTTTATTGAGACATCAATCTTCCAGTGTCTGGAACATGAAGATAAAAAAAATGAAATTGCTCAACAAATACTACTTGCCTACTATTTTATATCATTATTATGATTTACTCACATTTGATTATTCATTTTATTATTGCACATTTTTTTATCATTACACATTATTTCTTTAGCGCAAGTGCTTACAATTTCTACAAACTGCTTAAATTGAAACCGACCGATGAGGTATTGATAATTATCTCTCATAGTGCATGTTCAAATAAAATTCTACAGACCACCCATGAAAGTAGCTCCTTATCTCTATATCTGTAGTAGGCGGAATTGAACTGTCCAAAACTATGATTGACTTCTGTATGAATACTTAAAAAATTCAATAGAAGAATGCTGTCATTTTTGCAAACCATCCTTGAAAGATGCAGCTTCATCTGTATTTGGAAAAATTGAACTGACCAATGTATGATTGACTATTGTATGACTGCTTAAAAAATTTTATTAATCACTTGAATATGATAAACCACAGGGAAATATATTTAATAATAATGAGCTAAAATTATTGCCGATAGGAGGTGAAAAATTGGAGAAAGGTAACTAAGACACCCCACGTGACAAAATTTTTGCTAGAAACGAGTGACCTTTGTTCAGAAATCGTTGTTCAGAAATTCCTTGTAATTTTAAATCCCATGGAAGACTTGTAGTATCATAAACATGGTTGCTCCTTGGAGGTAGCCGTTGGTTAGAGGCAGTGGTTTTACTGTACTACCAATAGTGTTTTGCATTTTGTCTAAATCCTGATTTGCTGAGGATTATTTGCTTAAATTAAAGTGCTTTTAAATTTTTTTATTGGCCTTAATTTTGGTATTTGTTTTATTGTTTTTACATAAATCTTTATTTAATTGTATTAATTATCTGTTATTAACTAAACAAGTTATCTTTAGGTCATGAGAGAAGAATTCACTTCCCAAGAAGCTTCTATTAATCGTTTGAAGACGTTATCAATCACAATTATTGAATATTTACAAAGTATAGGATCTAATACTGAGAAAGTTGAAGAAGAAATTAACTTGATTCAGAGCTTATACTGTGATATGTCAAATAACTTAATTGAGCGAGAGAAAAACTTGGATGCTGCCATGGGTGTCTCTAAAGGCTTTTATAAAAATCTTGCTGAGTTGCAAAGCAAATTGCAGCAACTTAGTGACAAATTTGAAAAGTTTGAAGAAGAAAATTACAGTTCTGATGTGCTGTTGAAGAAAATAACGGTGAGTCTTTACCGGAAATTTTTGCTCATTAATTCCTAAAATATTCTATAATTTTTTAACAAAACAGTAAACAGTTCCCGACAAATTCAATTTGTTATAACTATTAAAATTCATTTTGTTATTAAAATACATTTGGATATAATTAATTTACTATTAAAATAAAGCATTCTTGCTAAATACAATTACAGTGGAATCTCATGCAGAGGTGCCAACTGCCACAGACAGAGTATTTTGAAAAGCGGTAGAGAAATAAAAACGAAAATTTTCAAATTTTAGGTTAATTTTGCTGACTTTTTAAAAAGGCTCAACACAGCTTAACTGCAGCAAAAGGGCATATAATTTAAACCTTAGAATTATTTGGAAGCAGTGGTATGTAAAAACCTTATTAATCGAATTTATTAAACCAAGAAGCATACATTAAAAGACTACCCCTCGAAAATATTTATCCACTGTCCGGAGCAAGTTGGCATCTCTGCCTCATGTTATGAACACTCCTGCAAAGCAGATTTCCTCTTATTACAGACATATTTTAATTCTCCATAAATCTTCTATGAATAAACCATTGTGTACCTTCTCTGCAAAGCTTACACTTCTGTGACAGGGCGCAAACAATCATTAATGCCCTGAAACGTTATTTTCTATCTCTTCAAACTGGACATCAATTTTTCTAAATTGACCAATAAAGTTTGATAGAAAATAGAATTAAAAATAAATTTTGAAATTTTTAATAATTTCCTATATTTACAGTTCTGTAAAGTAAAAATAAGGCTTTCAATTTTTGTTACATTTGAATTTGCAGCTGATTTTTAATTGATGCTAATTTGTGGAAAGATAATTGTTATATTGCAGTTCTAGTAAACATTAATTTTTTAAGCATCTTGTACCTATGACTAAGTAAAAGGAAAGTAACTTAAGTATCACTAAAATTATGTTTATTATTTGTAGATTATTACTGCTTAAAGTTTATTACTAGTAGTAGAAATTTTTTCAGTATTATTAATTTATGAAAATTACTGCTTCGTGAATAAATTGAGAATAAAGTTAATTTATAATAATTTTGTAATAGTTGATTTAGTAAATAAATTAATATAATTGCAATCACTTGAAGTTTGATATTGTAATAAGATATTGCAAACAACTATAATTTACAATAAAGATATGGGGAAAAAAGTTGGTAAATGTGGATTAATAATATTTAGCAGACCTATTTCTTTAATTAAAATTGGTTATTTTTTAATGAATTTTTAAAAATATATTGTTCTAATGTAAATAATGTATATTTTAATTAATTAAACATTTATTTTAACTGGAGAATAATACTAAACATGTAAGAGACTATGGGATAGAAATACTAATCCATATGTTAGTACCCACCAAAAACTACAGTAACTACAAGTTAAATCTACAATAAATTTGACTCATTTGATGATGCTAATAAATTTAGATACCTTCATGAATCATGATCACATTTCCAGTGATTTGTAATTATGGTGTTTTAGTCACCATGAATTGCTTCCCTTTTCTATATTTATAGATTTTATTTGCTCATTTTTTAATAATAAGTAATGTTATAATCCTTCTACTTAAATAGGAACTAGAGGATGAACTTGAAAAGCTTCGACCTTCATTAACAGATGCCTCCAGTTCTTCTGTTCAACTTTGTGAAATATTAAGTGACTCGTCTTCTAAAAACGAAATCAAGTACAAAATCAATGTTTTGGAAAAATCCTATGCTAATATACAAAAGAAAATTGGTAAGTATGAATTACCATTTACTTACTCATTACTTATTCTAAATATGAAACCTATATAATTTAATTATAATTATAATTTTCTTCTTCTGGACAAAACATAGCAAAAAATAAATTTTACTATGTTACAGTACCTGATTCAACTCACTTTAAAAAAAAATGACTCTCACTTATAAATATATCTTTATGAAAAATTTATAAATATTCAACTGTTTTGTGTAATTTATGAGTTATGAAAAATATTCTTATTAGTTTTGTTTAAAATAATTAATATTTGTTACATTTATGCTCAAAATGTATTGAGGAAATTTTTCTCCAAAACTTTTTTAATTTCTTTTAATTTTTTTTTTTTCATTTTATAATAATTGTAACGACATATAATTTTGAATTATTTTCAGAATTGAAAAAAGCTGAATTAGAATCTATACTAAATGAAGACAAACTGTTTTATAAAGTATGTAAGGATATCCAACAATGGTTGAGTGACATGGATTCCAAACTTTCCCGTTCTCTACCAATTTCCACAAGCATTGAAAAGCTATCCAAGAACTTGAAAGAATATGAGGTAATTTTATTTTTTAGATTCTCAGTTAGTATTGAACTTTAAATTCGTATATAATTGACATGTAGCTATACAATTAGCTAAGTAGAGTATTAATGTATATCAGAAATTTTAATATTCTTAATGCAAATTACATTTTGAATTTTTATAAACATAACATACATGAATTATGCCTTCTGTGAGTAAATTCACCACTATATAAAATAAATTTAATCAAAGCAGTATACCTTTTGTAGAACAAGTAATATTTATTAAGTGTAGTTATATCCAACCAAACGAAAAACAGAGTATGTTTTTCTAATTTTTATGTGTTTATGTGATTATGATTTCGATTCTTGTGTTTGAATATTGCTTTTGGTATTTTTGAAGCAAATAATTCTTTTTTTTTTTTTTTTTTTTTTTTTTTTTTTTTTTTTTTTTTTTTTTTTTTTTTTTNTTTTTTTTTTTTTTTTGCTTAATTTTTGTAAAATATGCATGAACATTATAAATGAATAATATAAAATCAAAATATTTTAAGGCTTACTATAAGGAGGTTATTAATAAGGAGCATGAAGTTTACTTGTGCCTTAGCAAAGGTTCTGATATGTTAACTAAGTTATCTGGAAAACAAGAACCATCTTCAGTAAAGAAGAAGCTTGACTCAATTAAAACACAGTTTGAAAAAGTGAAAAAGACTGCTACTGATAAGTAAGCTTTATTTTATGTTAATTAGATATAACATTAAATATGTTCAAGGCCGGATTAACCTATAGGCACACTAGGCACGTGCCTAGGGCCTACGAAATTCAGAGGCCTACGAAGAACTTGGGAGAAAAAAATTTGTTGACAAAAATAATTTAGCTTTAAAAACAACAAGTGTATTTTGCACAAAATTATGAAGATACAAATAAAAATATAATATTTTTCGGTAATAAATTATTTTGCAGAATCTTATGATCTAATATATTACTTTTTCGCGATTTTTGGATTCAACGAAATCTTGTATTAGCTGTCGAATTCCAAGACTACGCAAAATGTCGTATTCAATAGACATAAGTGCGAGCGATGCTAAACGATCTTGATTCATTGCTGAATGCAAATAATTTTTTATCAATTTTAATCTGGAGAAAGATCTTTTTCCTTCTGCATTTGATCCAAGAATCGACAAATATATTCTTAATGCAATGTGAGGAAAAGTATTCACAAGTTTATCTTTAATTGCCTAGGGCCTACGAAAATTGGCTGTGCCTAGGGCCTACGAAAGGTATAATCCGGCTCTGAATATGTTTATTTCTTATTTTAATGAAATGTGGATTTTTTATTGAGGTAAAAAAGAGCATATGATAAAAAAAAAAATTCTTAAAGACTTCCATTTATCATGAATTTCTTTTTATAATTATTTCATTCTGTAATTTCATTAATGTTAAAAAAAAAAGTGTTATTTTGTGAAAAATATGTTATTTTAAAATTACAGGCAGATACGAATAAGAAAATTATAATTCATAAAATTAAATTTTGAAACACAACTGCTTCATTATTCTGTCAAATTACTTCTTAATATGTTGAATATAATGAAACTTCGTGTAAATGAATAATGTTAGTGAAATGATTAGTTATGTGTATTCATGGGGTATAAAGCTAGAGCTGAAAACAAGGCAACCAAAATTGCAATATGCAATTACCACTTGCGAAGCAATAGAAAGATGTTTTTCTCAAAAAACAGATATTATACGAAAATATTAAATTAAAGGAAAATAGAATTTTAGTAATAGCTATTGAAATAATTTAAGAGCGTAAAGGTAATAGCTATTATGTATACAAATGTGTAAATATAACTGTTTCCTGAAAAAGAAAGAAAATATGCATAGTTTATTTTATGTTTTAAATTTAGAAATTATGTAACTATTTTTATAGAAAATGTATATTTCTCCTACAATTTTATTCATATTTTTCTTTAGAAATACTGTTCTTCGAAGTTGCTTAGAAAAGTGTAAAAATTTGAATGCTGCAACTGAAACCTTTGAGCCTTGGTTAACATCAATGCAAGAGAAAATAACTGTATTCAATGAACCTACTCTCAAGCGAGATGCCTTGAATAAAAAACTGAAAGAAATTCAAGTAAATTTTTACTTATATCTGTAAATTCAAGTAAATTTTTATTATATATTATTTATTTGTTTAATTTCAATGTGTTATATTATCTGGAATTATTAGATCCAATGGCTTTCTAGTTTCTGTGCGTGTTACAAAGCAAATCTATGATGTTCTAGATGTGTGTGTTTTTTTTAAATAGGAGTTTTTCAAAAACCATCACTAAATTGAAAAAAAATACGTAACAAAAAATATTGATTTTTAAAAATTGGTTGTTTACGGATCCCTAGCTATAATCAACAAAAACTACACTATATATACAATACATATTATAAAATTTTGTCATTGTAATTTCAGTAGTTATAAAATATATTGCAAAATGTAGTAATATAATATTTATTACAAAAATATGAAATGACTATCTATATTTATGTCGTTTCTTTTATTTCTCTTTTTACTTGCCTTTCATTTACATGTATTGTTATGAGATCAAATGTTTTAATGAATTTCTTGCTAATCACTTATTTTATTACAGTTACTTACAAAAACATACAAAAAGCTCATTTTTTAAGGAAATTTTTTTTTTTCGTTTATAATTTTGTTTTCACTAGTTAAAAAAACATATTCCTTCTAGATTTTGCGTGGTGAAATGTCTGTCCATTCTCAAGAATTTCAAAATATTCAAAGTCTTGGTGAAGCAATTTTGACAAGTTGTGATTCTGATAAAGATTTATTGAAAAAACGTTTAGATGAGATGAGCAAAAAATGGAAGAAGCTCACTGATGGTAAATTCATTTGTTTAATATTGTTTTCCAGTTTATATATTAAAATTCATTTGAGCTTTTAAGGAAAAATGCAACTATTTTAAATGCTAGAATTAATATTTTATAAAGTATAACTTATATTGTAAGGTCTCAATTGACTTTAGTTATTTTATTCTTTTTTTTTCTGTAGTTTCCTGATTACTTCAGGCCTTTTTATTTTGAGCTTAAATAATTTTTTTAAATTTATTTCTATTGTGTTAAATTTTTGAAGTGGTAAGATATAGTGCTGTCTTTTAAAGTTGTGTAAAATATTAATAATAATGTAATAATTTTTTTTTAAAAACATTTTACAAAGTAATTATGTTTTTCTTTTAAGCCCTAAATTTTCTCTTATATGGGATTGCTTGTAATGGAGCAGATGCTAGTTATTAGAATATGCAATATTTTTATATCAATATTTTTATATGTTTATTAATTATTACTAGTTTTATTTGCAATGTCAATATCACATTTTAGACCATATGCACTATTTTATTTTGAATATTAACAATTAAAAAATTAACTTGAAGTTACTAATTTTTTACCATGTTTTTCTTGTCATTCAAGAATTAAACAAGTAAAACCATTTTAGAACAAAACATCAAGAAGTTAAAATTAAAATATTTTTTTTTGTTTCACAATCCCCACATAGAATAATCAGACATTTTAGATGCGAAACATTTATAAATTCTAATTTGTATTTGAGTTAATTTCATTTTGCATTTTTTAGAACCTATAATGATTCTCTATCTCTATATATTTTCTATATACTTGTGGTTTTTAGATTCTATTCACAAGCTTGGAAGGGTGATAAAATGTATCCAGATAAAAACAAAGTAATACAGCCTATTCTCTTTTGTTATGGATTCTATGTTCTATAAACGTCCGATATAACATCCAAATATCTCAACCAAAATTAAACTTTCATTATTTTTATTCACCAGAAAATCTGTTCTAAAACTAGTATTAATACTTTTATGTTTACAAGTGTTGCCTTTTTAGATTTTTAACCCACTTGAAATCATTTGTTCATTACATTTCTTATTTATTTTAGTGTTTACCTAAGTTATTTGATAAGTTTAAACCGTTCTATAGACATAATGATGTAAAACTCTGGCCTTAAAGTTTTTTATGCCTCTTATTACTCAGTTTTCTACCTACTCTGTAAAATGATAGTTTACTTTTTTATTAGAAATATCAACGAGAAATCAGCTTCTGGATGACTTATCTCAGCTTTTATTTGAATTTGATGAAAAATTCAGAGATGTAGAACACACTGTCCAACGTATAGAGGACAGAATTTGCTCACATGATACATTAGAAATCTCTGGAGATAGAATTATGCTAGAAAGACTACAGGTAAAATAATTTTAATTAAAATTCTAATTATTATCATATTTTTAAACCTAACTTTCTAATTACAAGTATCATTAAAATTTCATTTCTTTTATGCAGTATTTATTTTTGTTTACTTTATATACATATAATGCCTGACTACAACTTCATTATATGTGTATGATTTATGGTTCCTTTTTTTTTATTTATGACACCTTTTACTGCCAAAACCAACTAGCATCATCTTGCGGAAGTTACAAATTAATATATATATGTGTGTGTGTGTGTAAAAAGAATTATTTTATTTATTTACATATATTACTTTGCAAATAATTTATTTCCCTTCTTAATTTAATATTGATCCGAACAGTTTAGCATATTTTTAGAAAATCCCTATAGTGCATGTACTAAACAAACCATGCATCACTGTTGTTTGCTTTGTCTCAATTTTTTCTTTCTTTGTTTGGATTATTCTAAACTTAAAAGTCTATGTAATGACAATATTAATAATCTTAAGTTATAAAAATAAAAAATTGAGCAATACAAAAATTTTTCCTGAAACCAGAACAAATCTTATTCATGAATAATATTAGGGCATTAAAATAATTACCCAATGATTACAGTGGATGAATTTTTGAGTTTGCCTATTTCTTCATGAGTCAACTGGTTATTAGAAATTTTCTACCGCTATCAGTCCCCTCTTACCACATTGTTAATTTTTTCACCTGCTAACAGAATCCTAAAATATAGCCTTGATAAAAAAAAAAGCATTGCATGGAAAAGTAACTTTATAATCGTATAAATTTCATAAAATTTAATAGTTTTACTCTAAATTACTGATTGATTTTCTTTTTTTTCTCATATTTAATCATTTCTGTTTATAGGCATTGCTAAATGAAACTAAAACTGTTAAGGAAGAAATAAGAAATGTCAGAAAATTTTCCAAAGTTCTCATTGATAAAGCTGGTCCAAATGCTGATGCTTCTGAAATAGTGAAAAATTTAGATTCGATTGAAAAGCGTCATCAGTCTCTTCAGAAAAAGTTGGAAGAAAAATGTTCTTCAATGAGTACATCATACAAAGTTGTTTCAGTATTTATGGTATGTCTCAAATTCGTTTTTATTTTCTGTAAAATTTTTGAAACGATGTAAATAGCATTTTAATTATAAAAAGCATTATAGAATTTTATCAAAGTATTTACAGAAAATTAACAAAACCTTTATTACAGGAAAGTATCAAATCTCTCCAGACAGAAATCAACTCACTAGAAGAAACGTTTGATGATATGCATTCTATTTCAAGAGATTATCAAGTTCTCAAAACTCAACTAAAGGAGCTAAAGGTTTGTTTTCTTGTAAACAAAAGTTTCTTTAACTTTCATGATATTATTGTTTAATATTAATCAGCAGATTTATTGTTTCAATACTCTTTCTTTTAATAAAATTTTAAACTATTAAATTTATTTATTTTTGCTGGATAAAGTTCCCAAACTAAACTCATTTAAAATATTACTGATAGAAAGAAATATATGTTTTGAAAATTAGCTGCTGAATCACATTATGTACGTTGCAAAATAAGTTTAAAAAAGAGTTTCTATTGCCATAAACTGTGTGACTGTACTTTTAAGGTGCAATGCAAAAGCCTCATCTCACTAGATGCTTTCCCAAATAAAGTTGTTTCATAAAAAGTCTAAAATCTCAAAAAGATAAAAGTGATGAGTTAAAGACGTTTCTCTGTGCATATTTGCCTAGTAAAATTTAATTTGACATTTTGGCATGCAAAAAAATAATGTTTTATAGCTTTTCCTTCATAATTTAGCACCTTTTTCTTTTTTTTGTTTTTTTGTATAGGCATTCTATTCGAATTTCATGAATTCTTTGTGTGCTTAGCTTAGAAATGTTTAATTGTTATAACGAATCGCTAAAACATTTTTGTATTTAACAAATATAATTATTTTCTCTAGACATTCAAATCCAGTATCTCAAAAACCAAGGAGAGCTATACTTCTGCCAAAAAAGTTTATGATGATATGGTTAAAAAGAACATTTGTGACACTAAAACTTATTTGGAACAGGTAATAGATTTTATTTTTTAATTTTCTATCAGAAATATTATATTTTTTTCATATCCACTTAAAAAAATTATTCAGTATTTACTAGTATTGAATAATTATGTTATAAAATTGTAACCTTCAATTTATATCAATCTTAAATGCACATTCTTTTATTTAAATATTTAAAACCTCAGTTGAAATATTTTATGAAGTTATCATTATTCACCCCTAGCTTGCTTACAAGTAACTAAATTAGAAAAAAATTATTCTGTCACTGAAAAATTAATTGTTTATTTTCAGTAGTTTAAACAATTTTATGATTAATTATTTTTATTTTTCAAACTCACTTTCACAGTTTTATACTAATTTTAAAAAACATTTAGAAAAGTTTCACAGTTTGAGGGCATTTTAACTTTAATGAAAATTGTAGATAGTTTTAATTTTTAGCCATGTCAACTGTAAAAAAAAATTACATGTTAAAAATTTAAAGTTTTTACTGAATTTCCAATATACTTTATCAGTAAATGCTAGTAGTATTGCACTTTTTTCACTTCTGATATACCCAGATTTGAATTAGGCCTCATAGTTAATTATATTACTTTTTTTCATAAAAAAAATTAAACAGTTACAGATTTTTGGCACTTATTGATGCTACTAAAACCTTAACAATAACTATCAAGAAACTAGCCGGAAGTAAGTTTTTTATTGTTTAAAAACTTTGTTTTAAATAATTGTGATACACACACTTCTAAAGTTTTCTTTTAAATATGTTTAGCTTTATTCACTTTGTTTTCTGTAGCTTTTAGTTTCTTATTTATAATTCAGTGGAATATATTTAATAAAGCATTAGATAAAACATGTGTACCTGAGTTTTGATTACTATACTTTGGGAAGTTTTACACAAATGTTGTTTTTTTCAGATGAACAACTTTAACAAAAAGATTGGAAGAATTGAGGAGCGTGTTAAAGAAAGAGAAATTTCTATTGAGACATCAATTACTCGTCTTGAAAGCTTTCAGTCGGTTTATAAAGAAACATTGGATAAGATTAGTTCTTTAATAAATGAAGAGAAGAAAATAGAAATTACACTGGGAGATGTTGATTCTATTCGATCACAACAGAAAACATTTAAAGTGAGTGGTCAATATCATATCATAACTGTTTCATTGTCTATTGCAATTAATAATTCAAATCAAAACTATTTACATTTAAAATTTCATCAATATTTCAGACAATTTTATTAAAATGAATTATTAAACAGATACAGTAAGAAAATGTCTTCTGCACGACATAACTAAAAGTTCACATTAATAAAACTTAGTATTTTAAGATAGTTTTAAAAGAAAAGGTTTATTTTGATACATTAGAATATAGTTCTATCATCCTGTTTTTGTTGTTTTTTGTTTCCTTGCTGTTCTTTTTCTGTATGAAGATAAATTTTTAAGTGATGGCTATAATATTGACTTTTGATATATATATTTTGGAATGAATTCTGCTTGTTAATTATTGATATTTAGAATTTGTATCTATCTTGAGAGATATAAATTTTTCAAAAAACCATACTTTACTTTAAAAAGTTACATGTACTTATAAACAGAGTTAAGCTTTGTAAATTTAAACTCAATATTTATGTAATTTCATCCTATGTTAATAAAATATTATCAAAATTTAAAATATATCATTATAATTTACTAGTAATTTTTGCATAATATCAAAAAGTGAGTTAATTATTCAACACTATTGTTTCTTTACTGTATTATATTTTTGTAACTATAGTTTTATAATTCAGCATTATAAGTTTAGTTTTTCTTTGAAAAATAAACCAAAACATAGTCGAATATACAATAGAAACACAAACAGAAATCTCCTGACATAGTCATGATTAAAGGTAAAAAATGTTGTTAATTATCTGAATAATAAATTAGACAACTTGTGTCCTTTGTTTTAGAAATTTAAACAAATCTTTATTTAATTAAGACTTTATTGCTAGTAATTTTGAAATGATAGAAACTATTTTCAAGATCATGTTAAAAAAAAGTGTAATTTTGGATTCATAAAATTCTAGACACAATAGAATTAATTTACTTTGCCATAGAATATTCAAATTTTCAGTGAATTTCATTGCATCGAATATTTTAGTCATTGTAAAAAAATAATATAGTATTTGATTTTGTAGCAAATACTATGTAGCAAATGCAATTCTTGCCCACCTTAGCAAAGGTCATTTTACTTATTTTTGTTCTATGTTTTCAATGTAGTTTTGTTTATTATGATTTATTTTAATTTGTTAGTAATGATTTGAATTATTTTTTCTAGAAAATGTGTGAGACATCAGTTAAACCTCTTAGCAAAACAGTTATGGAAGTAAATAAGTTAGGACAAGGTCTAATTCAGTCTGCATCAAATGATGTTGACACTAGTAGTATTGAGCAGAACTTGGATGTCATTAATAATTCATGGAATGATCTTCAAGAATCGGTATGAAATTATTTTCTATTTAGTATGTTGAAAACATAGTAAATCTGGAATTGTTCCTGTTGAATGTTAATTTTTTATATTCAGGGAAGGGGAGTAATAGGAACTATATTTAACATTTTATTGTTACAAGTTAGTGTAATTGTGGGTGTTTTAGATATGATTAAGTAAAAAATTTTATTCAAAATTGTAACAAGTTTTGACAATTTTTTTACATAGCTGGAATAAGTATATTTTTTTGTAACTCAGTCATTTAAAAAAATTCAAAATTAATAACCTCAAGATTAATTGTTTGAAATTATTTTCATTATATTATTCTGAAAGCACTGTAAATTTATTCAAGTTTGAGTGTGTTATATTAATTTAACTGCTTTAAGTTTTTTGTTTATATTGAGAGGTGGAAAAAGTGAGCTGGATTAAGCATGGTTGTTTAATATATATTTATTGAGCTACAAAAATTATTTAAAATTACATTGCATCACCTTTTACTACCAAGTATGGTATACATATAATATTTACAAAAGAATGCAAATCTAAAATTTAATATAGACAGCTTTAAACAAATGAAGAGGTTTTATTAAATGTCTGACATTTTTCGTGATTTGTTTGAAACATTTGAATAAATGAATATGAATATTTAAATAAATGTCTGACAGCCGCCTTTTTAAAAATTTGTTGAAACTGTAGACTTATGTGAATAAATGAAAGGGTTGCAGATTGTCATGTTTATTTAATATGTAACACTTGAAACTAGTTCATTAACATTTGTCTTGGCTTACACTTAGAGTGTAGTTTTACCAAATAAATTTGTACCTTCAATAAATTAAATAACTAAATTAAATTATTTTTGTATCTTGTAAAACTTTAATTTATTTACTAATATTTTTTATGTTATGATGATTCTACTAGTATTAATGTGTCTCATTAAATAATGTTAAAAAAATTTCTTGATTGTTAATTTTACAGATAAACGAAAAGGAGAAAAAGCTAGATATTGCTTTATTACAATCAGGAAAATTTCAGGAAGCTCTTAGTGGTGTTGAAAAGTGGCTAAATGATACTGAAGATATGGTATCAAAACAGAAAGCACCATCTTTTGATTTTAAAGTTGTCAAAGCACAAGTTCAAGAACAAAAAGTATGTTTTTTAGTGTACTTAATATTTTAACTGATTTTGGCTATGAAATGCTTCCGAATCTTTGAAATTGAAAGTGAATTTGCAGGAAAACTATAGTCTTAATAAAAGGAGTTATCAATTTTAAATTATGTTTTTTTAATGAATTTTAGTAAAAAAAAAATCTTACTGAGCCAGGTAGAATGATTAAATGCTCAGTGGATCTAGTGTGCTAAATGCTATCAAACATTTTATTTGAGTTCTTAACATTGAACATTCCTTTTTATCAAGCACAGAGGATTAACCTTCTGAGTGTTATTTCAAGCTTTTTCCAAACTTTCAGATACATGCTTTTTCGTATCAAAAAACCAGTTTCTCCATATTATTCAGTAGACAATTGGTGTGCAGTAATTAAATTTCAACACAATTTTGCCCAAAGACTCAACCCTTGGAAGATTATAGACCTGAGTAGATCCTAACTAGATTTGAACTCAGTATAACAGTGTTTCCCAAACTTATGACTTTTGTGTACTCTTTCTAAATTTTTCGTAACACTGTGCACCACTAATAGAAAAATGAATGTATTTTTTTAAAAATATGTTTATTTTTCTTTTTTGGTACAAGTTTTGTTAATAAGTTTATTTCCATCAGTGAGAAGGATGATAATGTTTTTGCTGTGGTGAAAAAAATTGCACAGGAGTTAAAAATCACAACTGGCTGTTGACACCACTAATTATTAACTGTTAACTCTGCAAAAAATAGCCAATAGAAAAATATGTAATCGAAATTTTCATGACTAGCTTTGTTTTTAAATAAAATGTTTTGAAATTTTCGTTTGTTGCAAGATATTTTGCATAAGAATGCGTCGTACCCCTGGGGGTACGGTACCACACTTTGGGTACAGTATAAGAATACCCAACTGGAATGGAGCAAAACCTAACTCTTTCAATTTCAATGTAAATATGGCCTGGAAGGAAGTTCATCCGGTTCTATCATGTAGCAAGCTCTGCTTTGTTTATGCTTGAGGAAGGTAAAAACATCTCCACATGCTTCTGAACCATGTCTTTATTCGAAATAAAGATGAGGCAAATATTTAGATTTTGACTTAAAAATTTTTTTACATTTAACCTAGCTACATCACAAAATGAAAAGCTTATTAGTTGTCTACTGAAATTTAGTTCATGGATTTATAACTTGACAACACTACATCATTTGGCTTTAGACTTTTATGTATTATTTTTTTATAAATCTATATCATGTTAAGATTTTTCTTAATAAGAATAAATATGAGTATTATTGATTTGTTGAGATTCAAAATTATACCAAAGTTTTTCTTAGTATCTTTTATTAAGTATGTTATTAGTTTTGAAAATGTTTTGAGCAGTCACCATGATTATTCTAATTAATTTTAAAATTTGTTCTGTTTCTTATTCTGTAGCTTTTTTTAGTTTAAGCTAGTGGGTCCCATTTTTTTGCAATAAAACCCTATATGATTGATTTTTTTTAGTAGATTGCAGACTTAATTTATTAAGTTCATAAACAATTTTTAACGTTTTAACCAAAGTTATACTTCTTAGTTTACTTATTAGTTTCTTTACATTAAGTCTTATGTCAGATAGATGAAATCACAAGGCTTGAGCGGCATCTAGTCTAGTTTGTTTTCAGCGTATGGATAATCTGAAAATAAAAAATTAAACTAAGCAGAATTATAGTTTCAATGAAATGAAGAAAAAAACTGTTGTCAACTTTGAAAATGGTTATAAAAAATTTCTCATAATTGCTGTGCCTCCTCCACATAACAATATATTTATATAATTCCATAATAAAAAATAACCCTTATTTAAAATCTGATTTCAGTTTCTGAAAAAAATGTTGTTGGATCGTCAAAATAGTGTTATTTCTTTGAAGTCTTTGGGTTCTGAATTTGTTAGTACTTCTAAATCAGCTGAAAATGAACTGGCTGAAACTTTAATGAAAACTCTTTCAAGTCGGTTTGAAGAACTTATATCAACTGCAGAGGAAAGAATGGTATGTTTGGAAAGCACAATGCCCCTTGCCCAAGACTTTCAAACTTCATCTGCTACACTTTCTGAATGGCTGGAAACAACTGAAAAAAAATTGGCTTCCATGACATCAATCCCAGTTGAAGAACCCCGTATCAAAGTTATGATCTCCAACTATAAGGTAACTTTCGATCTTGTTAATTTTATCATTTATTTATATGTTATTGTTAAAGTATAAATTATTCTTTAAGTATTAACTCGCTTTTCTACTGATTAATATTTTAAAAATTTTTTTAATTTGTTTGAAAAAGTTCTAGTTTTTATTAAAAAATAGAAAGTGTATTAGCATGTTACTCACTTTTCAAATGCTCTAGCAGTGGAAACTCTTTATGTTCTTCTTATAAATGTATTCCCATAAAACAAATTCTGTTATTTGACTTGAAAAAAAATCTTATTTCTTTTGTGTTATCAGGAGACAGGATTTTAATATTAGTGTGATAGTTAAATATTTTACTTCATTTTGCTTTAAAAACAGTAGAAAAAGTTTTTAAGCTATAAATTTGTTTCATTTTCACAGGTTATATCTAATGATATTGAGCAACAAAAGAAATCCCTGGAGAAAGTGAACACAATATCACAGAGGTTAAAAAAGGTTGTCAACCCAACAGAAACGGAATCACTAGTACAGAAAGTTGATTCAATAAATGAGAAGTTTAAAGAAATTGAAGTTGTTAACAAGAATGTTGGATCTCTTTTGGAAAGAACTCAAAAAGGAATCCATAGTTTTTCTATTACTTATTCTCAAGTTATTACAAGAATCGAAGAGATATCTACAAAATTGAAAAGCTTTCAGCGTTTAAGTACAGAATCTACCAAGTTACAAACTCAGCTTACAAATTTGAGAGTAAGTAATAATTCTTTTAATCCATTGCCTTTGTCGATATTCATGTTTATGTTAACGCATCAAAGTTTTCGCAAAGCAGATTCAAATTATTCTTTTATTATGTTTGTTGCATATAAATTCTTTTAATTAACTTACAGTTACTAGTAGATAAATAGTATTAGATCATGCTTTTAAATGAGTTAGTATAAGATTGTTAGAGTAACATTGTATTAAATGTTATTGAAAAATAAAACATTGCATATTCTTATAACAGAATGTTTTCAAGGTAAAATGTTAAATTTATTTATTTTCTTACACATTATAAGTTCTTTTAATTGTGTACATATAAATTTTAATCATCTTTACTTCATTAGTTCTGAAAGGAAAAAACTATATTTAAGAGTGAAAATAACTGCCTCTTATATTTTAAACATGTATTGTTTGTTTATTTTCTGGTGTGTCCTGAACTCTTCTTTAAAGAGTGCATATTGATGATTTATGATATCATTCTTCTTCTTGGGCACTACAGCCTATGACAGGCCAAGGCCTTCCCAATAAGTTTTTGCCATCTTGATCTATTCTGTGTCATGGCCTTCCAGTTAGTTATTCCTATTATCTTTAGGTCCCTCTCAACTGTGTCCACCGACCTACTCGGTGGACGACCCCTTTTTCTTGTACCTTATATGATATCATTAGTTATGCATAAAAAAAATTCTATTATTTTCGTATCTTTAATTATTTTTAACAGTTTGTATAGTTTTAATGCTGATATAGCTTCCTATTTCATTTCTAGAACTTAAAAGAGAAGTTGGATGAAGAGAAGACAAATATTAATAAACTGGTTACTTCTGGGGAAGAAATTATGAAATATACATCAGGTAACTTTTTTTGCTGAAATTACTATAACTAAAAATTTACTGTAATAATGAAACATTTAGAGAATATAATAGCTTCTGATTTGAAATTGTAACCTGTTAAGATATTATACAATGAAGCCATGTTTTTAATATTGTAAGCAATCTTTTTTACATTATATAACACAAATATGTTATACTTTATTTACGTTATTTATAGTGTCCGATGATAGTTGACTAAAACTACATATTTAATAACAATGAAAAACTGAATAAGATCAATTGTTTGAACAAATTAAAAATCTAAATACAGTTATTTTTATAGCACCAACAATCTGTCTGTTATTAAAAAAAATAGTTGAATAGGTTGTGGTATGAATGTCCAAAACCATTATTAAAAAGTTACTTGGTTCCAATCATTTGACAGCAATGTTAAAATTGATTAAATCAAAAAAATTTTATTGCATACTTTAAGGCTTTATGTTGCATGTCTCTAAAGACTAGCTGAGCTAGATCAAGTCCATGGTATTGTACATACTAAGGTAATCCAAAAACAATTATGGATTAACAATAAGATCCTATTTAAGGAGCCTCAGGCTGGCCATAAACCATGAGTTGTTTGGTGAAACACTTGGTGGAAATTGTCTAACACTTTGAATCTTCTGTGTATATTAAATATCAAAGATTACCATATTGTTTTGTTAGCATGTTTTATGAATTTGGTTGTCCAATAAATTTTTTGCACACTTTAATGAGTTTTAAACAGTTTTTTTTATAAAATTAAATTTTAAAATTTCAGTTCACATATATAAGTAACTTTATGTATTTAATCAAAACTAAGTTATAGAACTGTTTGAAGAGTAGTTGCCTTTTCAAGGATACATTGCCTTCGCCATGCTTTATTTTCAAGTTTCTGATCCATCGTTCAACTAAGTTGATCCTTATATAATTAAGCATAATATTTTGCAATTTGAAGCAATCGTGGAGTTTTGTTTTCTATTACGAGAATTTTGTATCAACAAATTTTGGATAAAATTTTAAAACCCTCTTGTTAAATGAGTATTTCTATTAAGAAACTATGATCTATGGTCTCAAGCCAAAAGCAACCAATGTTTCAAAATTCATGCAAAAATATTACAAAACTGCTTTTGTATTTATTCTTTAAAATCAGTAAATAAAGTTTTTTTCTTCTTTTTTTTTCCCTTCGCAATTCGACTTTGTTTGCTTACTGATTATGTAATGTATTACTAAACTTTTACATTGTATGTTCATTAAACCACACATTTATTGGAATCTTAATAAAATATTTTATTTGAATCATTGAATTTATTATTATTTATTTTCTTGTTTACTTTTTTTTCTTTAGGGGAAGATGCCATACAAATGAAAGAGAAATTAGACACACTTAGTATGAAACTTTCTGAAGTTTCGAACAAACTTAGTGAAAGACTGAAAACTGCTGAAGAATCATTTCCGTTGGTGGAATCTTTCTATACCTCCATTAATAAGCTTACTACATGGCTTGATTCTATTGAAAGATCACTAAAGCAAATAGATAATAGCTCATTAGATGTACAAAGTGAAACAATAAAAGTATGTGTTTTTTAATGATATTTTGATAGATGTTTTAGTGATTAAAAATCTGATTCAATGTAAATGTAGTTTCAGCTCAATTTACAATTAATTTATATAATTTAATCTGCAATTTAATTATTTATAATGCATCTAATAAAATTTGTATCTGTCCAATGAAATCTTTATCCAACTAAAGATATTTATTTAAGGCAAGAGTTCTTAGGTATAAAATTAAAAAAATATTGCGTCAAAATATGCAATGAAGAGCTATATAGATATTTCTAAAAAATTACAACCTAAATATGCTTTGGTATGAAAAAAGAGATATGTATAACTACTATTCTAAACTAAAACTTCCTACAAAATTTATTTAGAAACTTTATAAAGGCTGTTTAAAGCTATTGAATTCATGTAGCCAATCAAATAAAATTTAGTCTAAAAATAAATGTAATCATTTTTATACCTCTTTATTTCACTTTTCTTATGTATTCATTATTTGCTATATTTTCAGAAACTTGAGGACAGTATTCCAGAGTATCGTACTGAGTTAGATAAAATCAATAATACTGGACCTCGCCTTAGTCAACTAGCACCTGGAGAAAGTTCTATGATGTTTGAGAATCAGATCACTCGTGTTAATCATAGATTTGAAAAAGTATGCGAACAAGTTCAACGAAAAGCAGAGAGGATTCAGCTTACACTTCAACGAAAATTTGATGTACGTATGTTTTAATTTTTTTGAACTTGATCAATATTGATTTTTCATCGTTAAAAAAGTTTTTTATCCCTCTTTTGTAACTTAGTATCTTTGCAAACAAATATTTTTCATCACACTTAAAAAACATTTATTTAAATATGAATTAGGTTGTTGGTGATATTGATGAGCTCTGTGAGTGGTTCAAAGAAGTTGAAAACAAAGTTACTGCATCAGAGGGCCTTTCATCTGAACCAAGTTGTTTGTCTACCTTACTCAAAAAACAAAAGGTATGACCTTATTCTAATATTAAGTTTCTTGGTGAGAAACTTTTATTTAAGAATTGTCATAAAAATATTATGTTTAAGAATGTTTATTATAATTTTTTACCCCTTATCTGAAGTTTTAGAACTATTCATAATTGTGTAAAATGGCCCGCAATGCTGATCACATTCTGACCATCATACAATTGGTTTCAATATTGTAAAGCCTTAATTTCCATGACCCACTAGCCAACAAACTGGGTGTTTTGCGAGTGCTTTACTTTATAAATTTTGTTGAGGAGTGACAAAGTTTTGATTAAAATATGTGGCTGTTGTGAGTCTGAGAAATGAAACTTTTATTTTTCAATTCTATTAATGGTACTTATTCATTTAGGACTGATTCATAGAAGCGTAACAAATCGCCATGCTATTATTGACACTACTGGTGCACTGTTTTGGTCATGGGTGCAGTTTTAATAGTTACTATAGATACTAATATAGATACAATTGTAGTACTTTTTGTACCTACTAAAACTGCATCAATACAGGGCAATTCAATTTTAATATAGATATAGTGGAAAGAGTTTTTTTTATGTCCCCTCAAAATAAACAAGTACCAGAGAAAATTGGTTGGTTGTAAATATTTCATTAATGTTTCCATGTTTTCAAAATTTCAACGTCTTCATAAATAAATTGCTTCATTCTTGGAAATTAGTTGGCATTAAATTGCTATTTCCAATAACTAGTGAGTTTAAATTGTATTATTAAAACACTGTATCTGTTATACCTATTATCTATTGTGCATTTTGTTTTCTACATAGTTAATGGATTTCTCATTCATAATTTTTTTTCTTTCTTTTAGACATTATGTGATGATTTAAATGGACAGAAAAATAGAGTAAGAGATGTGACTACTACAGCAAAAAAGCTCTTAAGGGAATCATCATCCGATGATTTGTCTTATATTAATGAAAAAATCGAGACTTTAAAAACTAAATCAAATAATGTTGTTCTTTTATGCCAAGAAAGGCTCAGTACACTTGAACAAGCATTTCCTCTTGCCCAGCATTTTTATGAAACTCATACAGATTTAGGCCAGTGGTTAGATGAAGTTGAAGGTGAAGCTGAACTCCTGGAGGCTCCAGCTTTAAATTCTGTGCAAATCAAGAAGCAACATGAGCGAAACAAAGTATGCATTCAATTTTATTCAGCTGTTAAGTTAATAACTTGTTTTTCATTTTTTTAACAATAAGTGTTTAATGTTTAGATGTTAAATTGTTTATATGTTAACATAAAGAATCGATTAATATTCTTTTAATAATATTGTAATTTATTTTTGAATTTATTTTTAAATATGCATTTTTTAATATTAAATTAATATTATCCTGTATAAAACTTGATTCTAGCATGATCTTGTTGTTTATGATAGTTACTCTTTCTTGGTAAATCACAGCTGTTAAGCTGACTGAGAAATTATAGTGACTTTTATTTTAGATCCTTTTGCAACTGAAACACTTTGAACGTTTTTCATCACGTGACAGCAAAATAGCTTGAGTTTGAAGGCTAAGTTCAATAGAACTATTTCTGACCAATCACAAAGCAGATACTCCATTTAATGGCGGTGGTGGAGAAAAATCAAGGAGATAGGAAGATAAAAACTTGGTTATATGTTAAAAACACAACTAGATATTTTTATGTAAATAATATGCTGATTCAGCAATGATATACTAATTTTAATTAAGTGATGCAAATATTTCAAATTACCTATTTGCGTTTATAAAGTAATTTCGGAATTGAAATTCAATGATTCTATGATTTGATCTTCATCTGTAGTCGTTTTTATTTCATAATTTTTATTTATTACTGATGAAAACAAACTGCCAATATTTATTTAATTATCAATTTTTACAAGGAAATTGCAATTATATTATCTCATTACAACTCTTGATGCAGACTAACATTTTCTGATCGGGTTAGATGTATATGTTTTTGCAAGCATAAGTATTTTGAAATTGTAAATGTTTTTACTACTCGGAAATATTTTAAAAGTTTAAGTAATATAGATGATTACAGACACAAAAATCTATGGTGGTAAGTTCGAAGTTAGGCAAGCAGACACTTTTTTGAAAGTCACAGTTAAAAATTCTCCTTTAGACCATAGTTGAGAAAATGCACATGAATCTTTTCATTGGAGGAGAAAAATTACAACACACCTGCACAACACAAGTGACCTGCATAAAAAGATAGTTTCTTTAATGGGCAACCCTTCTACCTCAATAGTGATCTAATGTTACAGTTGAATTAGAAAGCCAGCCAATTTCGAATATCAATTGAATGGGTTCGAAGAAATCAAAGAAGCGCCTTTTAGTTGCATAAGGGTGTTAATCTTAAAACAATTCTAGTAATTTATGTATCTAAATATTTCTCTTTTTTCTTGTCACTTACATCTCATATTTACAACAATTTACACTATAATTAGTGTTAAATATTTTCTTATTTTAATATTTAGAATTTGTCTCAGTCTGTTCAAGAACACAAGCCTTTAGTTGATAAACTAAATAAAACGGGAACAGCTTTAACTAAGCTTTGTACTGAAGAAGAGTCAGATAAATTAGAAGTAATCTTGGAGTCTGACAATAGTCGATATAATGCTCTTCGCAAAATACTGAGAGAACATCAAGTTGCATTAGAAGAAGCATTACAAGCTACATCTCAAGTAAGTCATAAATTTTTTTGAATCATATATATTGAAACCTAAATGAATACCTGAACCCTTTTCAGTACAAGCCCAACTTGGTTAGTTATCTTCAGAAAAGACTATTTTATTATTTGTGAATTTTTGTAATCTTATTTTGTCAGTTCTCTGAAATTTTTTATATTTACAAACAAGTAAATAATTTCTAAGCCTTCAAGTTACTACAAACTAGACATTTGCAATGTATTCGGAAAGAAACATTAAAGTATGATTTCACATGCGATTGAAGTTACCGAATGTAGTGCTCATGTATTGCTATCTGAAATGAAGAAGCTAATAATATTTATGATTTTAATTTTATTGCGTTATTCTCAGGTTAGAAAGATAAAAGAAAAATCATTTTCACTCCCAAATTTTTAAAAACATCTAAATCTTTTTATTGTAGTGAAAGTTACAATATTTTTTTAGAAATACATGGAATTTTTGTTATGAAACAGAAAGATAAAACCTTAAAATTTAACTTAATTTTAATCTTACTGGTAGCAGCCTTGTAAAAAAAATTCAGTAATTATTTCTTTTTCTCTTGTTGAGTTTTCTTCAACTGCTAGGAGGATAAAATACATATTGACTATAATAAATAATAACTCTAATTGATGTAAATTATTTACCTCTAATGGTGTTATAATGACTAGTAATTTTGGTGTTATTATTCTTACAATAATTTCTATTATGTAATAAATTAATTGTTTGTCAAATAATTGCTAAACTCTTATTTTGGAACTGTCAAATTACGTTTGTCAAATAATTACCAAACCTTCATTGTGTTTTTGATTGTTATACATTTTTTTATGTTAAAGTATTTATTAATTTCTCTCTTTTTATAGTTTTCTGATAAGTTAGAAGGCATTTTGACAGCTCTGACATCTACAGCTGATCAGTTAAATAATGCTGAACCAATTTCTGCACATCCAGATAGAATTCAGGAACAAATAAATGATAATCGAGCTGTGCTTCAGGACCTTGATAAGCGCACAATTACACTTGAAGCTGTTAAAAAAGCAGCCGATGATGTTATTGGCAAAGCTAGCAAAATTGATGAACCTGCTGTTAATGGTAATGTAACCTTTTAATGAATTTTAATTCTTAAAAAACTGAAATTTTTTTCATTAAATTTCTTCATCTCCTTTTTTGTAAGGAACAAAAAACACATTTTATTGTTACTTAAGTTTATCAATAATAATAGTTAATGGCATTAGATATAAAACTTCAAGTGATATAGAAATAAAACTGCAACTAACTAGCTACTGACAAAAGTATTGTAAGAGGTGAAAACATCATACTAATTTCACATACAACTGAACAAAAGATAAATTTTTTACAAGGTTGTTAGTATACTAGTTTAAACTAAGTGAAAAAATTTCTATATCTACATTGAGGTACTAAACAAATTAATTTATATGATTGTGTACATATTTATCTATATTTTATTCCTTGAAATGTTTTTTGAATTTATATGTTAGAAAGTTAAGCTGAAAGGATTTTTTTTTTAATTTCTACAGTTTCGAATTAAATCCTATGAAACAAAATAATAATGAATAAAATTTGTATTACTTCTGTATGTTATAGATATAAAAATGAAATTGGATAGATTAAATGACTTGTGGGCGACCATTCAAACAGCTGCTCATAAACGTGGCAAATCTTTAGAAGAAGCTTTGATTGCTGCAGAGAAGTTCTGGGATGAATTGACTGCTGTAATGAAAGCTTTGAAAGAGTTACAGGGCAACTTGAATGCTCAAGAACCACCTGCTGTTGAGCCTGCTGCTGTTCATCAACAACATGAAGTCTTACAAGTAAAGTCTTCCATTTTAACTTTTTTATAGCGATTTTCAAATTTGTAGTTCCAAATGATAATATATCTAAAATAAGGAGAAAAGCTCAATGTTCATTTAAGAAAATGATAATGGCTCAACATATATTTTTTATCCTTGGTGTTATATTGTTAATCTTTCAATTAACAAATATTATATTGTTAATCTTTCAATTATTCAAAAGATTTTTTTAGGTTAAAAATTAAATGCTTAATATAAAACGGAATATTTTTTTTTTTGCATACTTCTGTTCAAATGTTTTTAAAGATTAAAATTACTCTTAAAATCAGGAGAAAATAATTAAAAAAATATTTTTACTTTGTTCATCAAAAGTCTCAAGCAATCTGAATTTATATCAAATAAATAATTAAATGCTGCAGACTTTCTGCCGACACAGCTTGAAAAATATTTGAACATTGTAAATTTTATATCATTTAATTATATTTTTATTTGGACTTTGAATAAATAAATTTATATTTAATAGAAATGATGTTTAACATATTTAAAGACAAAAACTCATGAGAGAATTAGGTGTAATTTTTTATTACATTTTTTACTTTTGCGCAGCTTTTTGTCTCTAAATAAAATAAATCACTCAATCTGAACACATAAAGCAGATTAGTAGTTTGAGTTTGTACAGATATAACGTCAGATATAGTGATTAGTTTACTCTGAATTAGAGTCATATAATGCATTTTTTGTTTTATTTTTCTGTTACGTGCATATCATAGATAATCAAAAAAAATCAGATCAAGATTGTTTATTTCAAATGTTCTGTTCTTTTTTAAACATTTACATTTTATATTCAATAATTTTGATATTTTATGCATTTTAATTGTTTAGGAAATTAAGCAAGAAATCACCCAAACAAAACCAGAAGTAGATCACTGTCGTCAAGCTGGGCAAAATTTGATGCAGTTATGTGGTGAACCAGATAAACCTGAAGTGAAAAAGCATATTGAAGACTTAGACTCTGCTTGGGAAAATGTAACAACTTTATATGCTAAAAGAGAAGAGAATCTTATTGCTGCTATGGAGAAGGCGATGACTTTTCATGATACACTTCATGTAAGTTAATCTCAAAATGATCTTACTTGCTGTTAATTTTTGCTAAATAACAAGCAAATGTAACATGTTAAGTTTTGTAATAATACATTTAAAATTTTCCAGAATTTGCTTGAATTCCTTGATACTTATGAAGATAGATTTAGCAAATTTGGTGCTGTCTCTTCAGACATTGATTCAGTAAAAAACCAAATCAAGCAACTTAAGGTCAGTATAAAAACTTTTTTTTTAATATAATATTTTTATTTGGAATAACCATGAAATGTATCTGTAAGATCATAAATAATTTATAATTTTTTCAAGGTAAAGTTGTTATATATATCTATAAAACTAAATATCTATGACGTTTCAAATGTTCAGTATCCATTCTAGTGATTAGCATGATTTAACTGCTGCTTTTGACAAAGCTGCGGCTATTATGCCCTTTTTATGTCGTTCTTTTACTATCTTTTTGTTTTGTTATATCTGAATTAATTTATAACTCTATTTGATTTTGAGAACATAATATCATTTAAGTTTATTGCAGTGTGGCTATCTGCTTCCCACTTTTGTGCTTTTAAATTATACACACTAGCTATCAATCTAAATAGGACTGAAAGGATTAGTTATTTTTTTCTAATTTAGATAAGTCTGTCTTCAATGCATTAATCTAATTAGATTTGTCACTAAATTATGAAATTCAGAAATAATTTGATCTTGTTCAAAATTGTGCTAGTGTTTTATAAAAAGAATATAAATGCCTAATTTCTTTATGCTCTCTTTTTATGGAGTTGCAATATATTAAGCTAAGAATTAATTATTTTTTAATTATGTTGTTATTTAAGCTCTAAATAAGCTTCTACTTAATACCTACTGTACATTCATCCAGTTATTTTCTTTTGTAGGATTTTAAAAATGAAGTTGATCCTCATATGATAGAAGTTGAAGCTTTAAATAGATCAGCTCAAGAATTAATGGAACGCACATCATCTGATCAAGCTGTCACAATTCGTGAACCATTAAGGGACATAAACAAACGTTGGGATGATTTACTGAAGAATATTGTTGATAGACAGGTAACTGGTATTTCTTTACCCTTATCTTATCAAAATTGTAATGAATTTTCCTTGCTACATACTTTTTCATTATAGAATAACAAGCAAAATTATTATTATTATTATTATTTACAGAAAAGCCACCAGCTTAAAATTCATAAAATCTGGTAGAAATACTCAGCGACTTAAACTTTAACATCAAAATTAATAGCTCATTCTTGTTGTTAGTTATTTTTAACATTTAAAAAATAAGCTTGCATTTCAATATTATAACACTACAGTTTATAATTTTGTTCCTCTGCCATATTTTAGTTTACGTTTATGCTATTACATCATAAATTATTTTTTTTATATTTATAGCAATACGAACGAAATATTTCTCTGTGTGTGATTATGTGTGCGTATAGTTTTAAAGTTCTCCTGTTAACTACAGCATTATTTAACTATAAGTGTAAGGCATGTATTAAACGTAGACAATTTTTATGAGGTGAAAGTCACTAATAATAATTAAGAGATGCTAATTTTTTCCATCTGACTAAACAGTTTTTAAATATTCTTTGTAGTTAGTAAAAAAAAATTATAGCAGATGACAAAGGCAGATATCGCTAGGAATATTATAACTCTATTGTAAAAATAATCCATTCATTCATGGACACTATACTATGAATTGTAAAAAAGTGATAAAAAATTAGTTAACAAAGATCAAATAAATGTGGAAAACCTTATATTTACATCTTCATTCTATTAGCTGGGAATAATTTTAAGAAAACCTATTAAAGGCATTTTGATTGTCTTTACCCGTTAGTTGTATTTTCTTATATCTAGAAGATTACAAAAATGTATCACCTGAAAATGATCCTGTTTATTTAAAAAATGAAATTTTAAACCTGCCTAATGTCAAAAATTATCAAAATGTCTAATTATTATTATTACATTTAATCGATACAGCATTAGAAGCATATGTCCGGCCACATAATCTAATGCAAACGTGCTACTGCTAGAGATTTTCCCTACCCAAAAACTTAACCAAATATGCATCTTAGGAGAAAAAAAATTTATTCCGTTTATTAATTTATTTTTTAAAAGAGGTTGTAATGCTAAATCGGTTAAATGTATGTAAAATAGCAAAAAATTTTGCTGAAATATCTATTAAATGTAGGCAAATAATTTGAAGTGAAAGAGACTAGTCATTTTCTTTATTGCATATTGAAAAATATTTTTGAGTTGGACTTGAAAATTAAACAACGACTACATTATTAAAGAAATACTGTTAATTTCCAGTGTATGTCCACGAATTTTCTGTTAAAACTTGAAAATCATCACTGTGTATAATCTGCCAAAATTATTTTCTGGGCATCAGACATTGCAAAGTCAGATATAAAAGTGTCAGGGAACCATTTACGCGGGATGCAAAAAATTCATGCATGTGAATTTAAAGTTGTGACCGAGAACCATATTAGTGAAATATAATTACCCTCAAAAAGTACGCGAATCAGATTCATGTTTAAATCTCCAAACTTGCATATGCAATTTTTTCACAACTAGCGTGAATGGCCCTTAAATATTATTGGGTGTCTGCTCGTCCATTTTCCTACTGATGCTCATTGGCTCGTATATGACATAGATTCTGCTAGTTCTGAAAAATCACAGTATCAAGTATAGACTTTAAAATTTGGTGTTGAAGGAATCACCGTATAATTCATGGATTACATGTTGGTGCATGTAATACTTAATAGTTTTTTCCAACTTCTTTAGAGTTGACTTCTGGGGAATATGCGTCATCACCAATAATCCATAAGAAATTATGGTCCTTGTCATATGCAGCCATTAATAAAGTCTGAAAGAAATAAATATTAAAAAATTAACTAAATGAAATTCATGTCAAAAATTAATTCTTGTGTTTTTTGATGAATTTTTAGATCCGTATCTAAAAAGAGAGGTACTAGGTATTAAGGGATTAACATATCTTAAATTTGAAACTTTCTTTTTTTGTAAATTTACATAGATCAATTTGAAAAGAATGTTGATTGTTTGACTTTTCCATTAAAGTAATATATTCATTTACGTTTAATCATATATATTTAACAAAACTAATATTTCTTAATGTAGCAAGAAATGGAGAAAGTGTTATTAAGGCTTGGCCAATTTCAACATGCATTAGAAGAGCATATTATTTGGATAACAAAAACAGAAAAGACTCTTGATGAATTGAAACCTGTTCTTGGTGATCCACAAGTCATTGAAGTTGTACTTGCTAAACATAAGGTAAAACATTTATTAAGTGTGTACTTAAAGGTTTTACCTGCAATTACTTTAAACATTTAATTATTCTTCTATTTATTTTATCTTCAAGATTTCCTTTTATTTTCATGATGTAACTTTGATAATTTTGCATCATTAAACATTTAGAATTCTTTTCCACAGTCTTCTTTTAAAACTTTTTTTACTTTCTGTTGAAACCTTTGTAATGTTATTTTAGGTGATTGCAAACGACATTCAAGCTCACCAATCAAGTATAGATGCTATTCTCCAAGCTGGCAGAGAATTTGTTGATACTGATCGTAGCAGTGAAGATGCAAAATACACACATAATAAATTGCAAGATTTAAAAACACGGTGGCAAAATCTGCAAGATAAATCAACAGATCGATATAGGGAACTTGAAGAAGCATTAAAAGAGGTATTTTTGTCAAGTTTCTGTAGTTTTTTATTTGATTACTTTTAACCCACTGATGGTTCTGCACGTAAAAAGTCATACTTTAACCTGCAGCCTTACATGTTAGTAGATAGGGAAATAGTGTATTGGGGAAAAAATTTTACCAATTTCACCCATTTGCTTAACTGCCAGTGGGTTAAAAAAATCATGAAAGTATAAAGTAAATAAATTTCTTATGTTGATTTTAAAACCATTAGCAATTGATAAATAATTTTATTCTTGATTAATTTTGGAATTTTATGTCAGATTTTTAAATAATTGAATATTTTTTAGATTTGGAAATTTAGATACTTATGAACAATAATCCAATTTTCATTTTTATGGAATATTTTTTCCTTCCTTGAAGTGTTTGATTTTTAATTAAAATGTAATTTATCCTAAACTAACTTTAGTTATTGAGTATAGAACATTGAAATATGATTTTTAATTTAAAAAGTAGTTGGTAACAAGTATACTCGAAGTTTTGCTTTGAAACTCTTAATTATGTTTTTTTTTCTTCATTAGGCTCAAAAATTCCATCAGGATATTCAAGACATGCTCATGTGGTTAAATGAAACGGATGGCCACTTAGTGACATCAAAACCCGTTGGGGGATTACCAGAAACTGCTAAGGAACAACTTAACCGGTTCATGGTATGTTTCAAAAACTTTATTTTTTATTTTTGTGTATTTTGAAAATAATTTTTCTTAGCTATTGTAGATATAAACTATGCTATACATTGTCTTTGGCATAAAACTTACTAAGTCTATAAAAATGGTTTTTAAAAAAAATCATTTTAAATTGTATCTTTAATATATTTCCTTCTTTATTTTTTATTTCAAATTGAAATGACATGCAAGCCCTGCTCTTAGCTAAATAATTTCAGCATAAATTTTTTATTTTCAAATATCTCTCACTTATAATCATCAACTAAGTGTGCAGCATGTAAGCCGATGATGTAATATTCGAGTGAAATTATCAAGCATAGCCTATTAAGGAAGAGAAACAGAAGCCTCGTGTTTCCAGGAAATCAAACAACTAGTAAGAAATGAGAATGTATGTGTGTTATAAAGTAGCATCAATTAATAAATGCTGCCCTTTTCAGCTATGTATTGCTTAAAAGAAATTTAATTGAATTCAAGGATATCAAGTAAAAATGGGTTTCTCAACCCAAGTAGTAGGGAAAAAATGTTTATGTTCTTTAGTCTTGACATTCATACTTTGTTTTAATGTAAATTTTGTTTAAATTGCATGCATTTTTTAAATTTTTTTTTCATTATAGGATTTATACAATGAACTTGAAACAAATCGATATAAGATAGAAAGTCTTTTGGAACAAGGAGAAAATTATACCAAAAAATCTGGTGAAAATTGTACCAAAAACTTACAGCACAGCCTTAAAACTTTGAAACAAAGATGGGATAGCATATTAAATAAAGCTAATGATCGAAAGGTATTTTGACATTTATCATTAAGTATTTATTTCAGTTAAAAATCTGTTTCTCTTTGAAGTTTTTCTATTTTAAATTTATCTAATTTTCAGATCAAATTAGAAATTGCTCTTAGAGAAGCAACTGAATTTCATGAAGCATTACAAGCATTTGTTGAGTGGTTAACCAGCTCTGAAAAGTATTTGTGTTCTTTGAAACCAGTCAGCAGGCATATGAAATCTGTGTTGGAACAAATTGAGGAACACCGAGTAATAAACATTCATTACTTTGAAAATGTTTTAAATATTCTTTCTATTGTAGTCATAGGATAATTACTTGGCAGATTATATAATATATTTTTCATTTTTCTTAACAGATAAAAAAAATTACTTTTTGCTGTGCAATTTTATGTTTAAAATGTGAGCTGTGGTAGCCCAATAGTTAGAGAATTGAATTTAGATCCAGGAGGGCTGGGGTTCTGTCCACAGCTCTGCTAAGACCCACCGAATAAATGTAATATACGTCTCATATAATCTATGGCATCAAAAGTCCTGTGGTCAGTCGCCGATCGGTATCATGCGTACAGAAATCTGAAAATTTCCTTCCTATTCAAATCTATGTCCAAATTTTGGGAGTGGCCTCATGAATGAATGGTACTACCATCTATCTAGGGATTTTGAGCTAGGGCATACTTTCACCCTTATGGTGCTCTCTTGTCAAACAAATGGTACACCTTCCTGACTTAATTCGCAAGGAGCATAGCTGGCTAGCTTTGGCTTGTCCAAATATCATCAGAAACAACAACAGTGCTTAGAATGTTTATTTCAGTTCTGAGAAAAACCTTTTTAATGAGCCTTACTTCCTTAAAAAAATTTATATGGTTTAGAAAACATAATTACCAGATAATCAAACACTTATCTATGATCACACTATTAGATTATATACCAAATCTGAAAAAGAGTTTTTGTTTAAAATTATTTTATTTTTTTAAATAAACACTATAAATGAGTACCGTAATTTCGCGGAGATATGCGGCACCTGTGAAATTTGACTAAAAAGAAAAAGTTTTTCACCAGATATTCCACACAAAATTTTACTAAGTGATCGATCGCGAATTTAACGCATCTGTTTAAATAAGAAGTTATATACAAAATAAATTATTAAATATTTAAAAAAAATTATGAAATTTACAATAAATTAATCTATGCAATCTTACTTAAAATCAGTATTTATGTAGTTCGTTAATTTTCGTCATAACTTTTCAAATGTACATGAAATTATACAGTGTACAATTGTGCTCAACTCAAATGCAACGCAACTTCTAATTCATTACGTTAATAAATACTAATTTAAAATACTCAAATTATATGTAAACCAAAGGATTAAGAATCTAAATGTAATTAAAATGATCTTACTAGGCACAAGATTGTCCCATATAGAACAATCGAGATCGCATCATGTTGCTTTTCTGTAATTTGATTTAAAATACCTAAATATTATTAAATTAAATGATTAAACAGCTAAAAATCTTTGCAATAATTCAATAAAATATTAATAATTACATAAATCTTGTTAAATAAAAAAATTTCTGCACAAAACAATCATGAACAATTCCCGTTTCTTTTACTAATTTTAAATTTCTAAAATTTTTACCTATCAAATGATAAGCAGCTAAAAGCCTTTAAAATAATTTTTAAAAGATAGATATAAAAAATAAACAAATAATCTTGTTTTGTGCAAAATTTAGAAAATAAAATAGTTGCGAGTACATTAATTCTTTTATGATTAAAATGAGCAAATATTCTCATTTTGCTTAAAATTAAAGCTTAAAGAAATTGCAACCACTTTAGTTCTTTTATAATTGATTTATAATATCCCAGTTATAAATAAATAAAATGATTAAGCAGCTAAAAAATTGTTAAAATTAATGTTAAATACAGGTGAAATAAAGCAGTTCACCCTTTCTTTTTTTATCCACATGCTTATCATGGAGCATGATTTTACTCGAACGTTCTGAAATCGTATATTTTCAAGGCTCAGATACAAGTAAAAATAATTAAGTAGAATAGTAAATACAAGTAAAAATTATGAAGTTGACCTTCAACTAAAAGTGGGGATAAACTTGACCTTCAAGATAGATTATTTCAGTAATTCACCCCATTAATTTGTTTTAGAGAATGACTTGCATATTTTACTTTCACTTTTTTTTCTTCACACCTGCAGCAGCAGAAAGAGTGAAGGGGAACCATGCTCTCGTCGATTCTTGTAAGAGACTATTCGCATGGTGATTACGGGCAGGGAATTCGTTGATAGCTTTTTTGGTTGAAAGGGAGAGCATATGTTGTGCTATTGTTACATAAAAATTTAACAATAGTGCAGCATATGCTCTCCCTTTCAACCAAGTGCCAGAATTAACAATGCAGATGAAAAATAGTTTGCAAGAGCAAACTGTTTTTCATCTGCATTGTTAATTTTTTAAATTATTATGTTATTGATTCTAAATTATAAGAATAGATTGCTGCAGAAGTTAAAAAAGTGAACAGTAACAATGACATTTTGGAGAATCAATTCAACAAAATAGAATTTTCAAGCTCAAGTAATAAAATAATAGAACATATAGGCCACCCCATTAGATAAGCCGTACTTACCAAAACTTAATGTTTTAAATCATGTATGCTGCAGCATATTTTTGTGAAATTACAATAGTAGAATTAAAGAATTTATAATGAAGATTCCTGCACTAGTTTCAACTGCATTTAAACTTTTTATTTCACTTTATGATATTATTTCAGTTATTTAACTAAACGATAAGTTGCATGTATGTTTTAAATTTTTGCACATTTAAAGCATTAGATGTTTTTCTTTAAAAAATAGCTCTATACTAAGTTATGTATAACATCTGCTTTATTTTTCAGAATTTCCAAAAAGATCTTAGTTCTCATCGAGAAGTAATGCTCAATCTCGATAAGAAAGGCACTCATCTTAAATATTTCAGTCAAAAGCAAGATGTGATACTCATTAAAAACTTGTTAATAAGCGTTCAGCATAGATGGGAGAAAGTAGTTTCCAAAGCAGCTGAAAGAACTAGAGCTTTAGATCATGGCTATAAGGAATCTAAGGAGGTAATCAATTAAATATATTTTTCCATATTTAATTTAGATTATTGCTATTTGAATTATATTGTTTACTTATTTTAGATGGGAGACTTTTTTTTGTTGCTATTTGAGTTAAATACATTAATTTTTTTGGGGTCAAAAGATCCATGTAAAAGTACTTTTTAAATATCGAATAAAAAGTTTAAAAAAAGTTTTGATTTGAAGCATTTTATTCTGAAAAAGTTAAAATGAGATTGAAATAGATTATTTTTCAAAATGATATTAATGGTGAATAATTACCTCATCAAAAATGTTTTAAGCACATAAGATGTCTCTTAAGAGATTTATGTTATATAAATCCATAAAAGAAATGAAATTGGTCAATTTTTACCCAAATAGTTGAGATGGCTAAGGTGCCATTATAAATTTGTGGGTATTATTTACTGCATGGTAAATGCAGAGAAAAAAAATGTTGGAGATATATGGCATATTGTAAATACATGTCTAAAAATAGGCACCACAAGACAGTAGCAATAAGTAAACTGAGATGCACACTTTTATTTGAAACCAAATGATAGGCACTACTAGACTTGATGGGTTTTGTATAATTATTGGCAAAATAGAAAAAAGAGTCAATTTTAAATGCAAAATTTTTTATTAAATATGTATATTTTTTATGAAAACATAATTGGCAATTTATTTGAAAACAACATCTTTCAATAATATTTCAATTTTACTTTTTCTTTTTCATTCATCATTCATTTAATTTTTGTTTAATTTTATTTAGATTTAAATATCTCCCAAATAGAATACAATGAATTGAAATAGAGTTTAGACAAAGAATCGCAAATTTGAAAAGAAAAAAAATTAAGTTCAAGAATGTCCTCCTCATACCTCGGATTGAACAGAAATCTGTCTTCCAAACTCTCTTGGAGCAAGGAAATAGGTTTGAAAGGGACTAGTGATGAACATGAACCATCAATCATTGTAAAGATGAACAATAGTGTTTTCAAAATTTTAATTATTAATGTATTTAATTCTTTCGGATTCAAATTTAGAAAAATAAATTTGAATTCTTGTTTTAATCATTGTTCTTCAAATATCTGTTCTTTTCATAGTAAAAAAGCTATATTTTCATTTTTTTTTAATTCAGTATCACCGATGTTTTTCAGTGATAACTCATGGTTTTTTTAAGCAAATAGAAGAAGGGGCAAGAGGCGGCAATTACCATCTAGAGGATCTGTTAAAAGCAATATCTGCTATGAACAATCTATAAAAGTTTTTTTAAATAAAAAGTTTTTTTAAATTTGATTAAATCTTAATTATGCAAAAAAAAAAGAGTTATGCAGTAAAAATTCATAACAAATGGTGACATTTATGTGTCTGTAGTTAGATAAAAAATGCTGCAAACTTGACCAAATTTATTTAAGTAACTTGGTTGAAGCAAGACACGTTGGTGTAGAAAAAAGCAAAACTAAGAGAAGATTTTCTTTAATACTGATGTAAATTTTTTTTCCGATTAACAGAATGCTAGACAGAAATATGCTAATGATGCTTAAATAATGTTTTAAAAATGCTTAATTTCATTGTTAAACTTTCATCTTTTACATGGATAAGTATTTTATTTTCAGTTTCATGATTCATACACAGCATTATCTGCTTGGTTAGATGAGACTGAAAAATTATTAGATTCCACAACTCCTATTGGGAATGATCCAGTTAAAATAAAGAAGCTTTTAGCTAAGCACAAAGACTTTCAAAGAACTTTAGGATCTAAACAAGTTACTTATGATGCTACTATGAAATGTGGAAGAATGCTAAAAGATAAGTGTCCTAAACAGGATGTACAACTTCTGCAGAACATGATGGATGAATTAAAAACTCGCTGGAATAAAATTTGTTCAAAATCAGTCGACAGGTAACTACAAATTTTCTGCTTACTTTCTTTTAATCAGGGCTGATTGTGCTCCGGAAAAAATCCGGATTTCCGGATTTTTCGCTAACAGTGATCCGGAAGTTTCCGGAGATCGAAGGTCCAGACGTTTCAAAAAATCATTGATCACAGAAGTTTCTGGAAATCAAATTTTCAAAAGTGGAACTTAAAAACACAATTTATTTTGTTTGTAAGGGAGAGCCAGATACATTTTTTATCAGTAAATAGTTATAATCATAAACTCAAGAAAGTAAGACATATTTGTAAGTTTTAATTACTTCTCCTAGAAAAACCTAGTTTAAATTTTTTTCAATTGAAATTTTTTTTTTTTAAACTCGGGAAATTTTCCGGAATTTTGACTTGGGCTCACAATCACCCCTGTTTTAATACAATACTTTTTCCATGGTTGAAATGAAATTTTTCAATAATTTCATTTAGTTTGCTATTTTCCTATTTTGACATCAAAATATTTAATTTGCCAAATTTTACAATTTTTCAGACTTAATATATGTATTTAAAAAATATCCTCTTTTCTCATCTCAAGTAAAATCATTGTTATTAATGATTTTAAGGTATTGATTTTATTAATGATTTATTATTTTTAATTGGGGGGAACTAATTCTATGTGAACTAATTGTATGTGTTTCTTTTTATGTGAAAATTTAAATTGCATAATCTTCTAAAACAAATTACAAGACGATTACAAGATTTTCAAAAATATATGCACAAATTAATACAAATATTATATTAAAACAATATATTAAAACATAATATATCAAAACTGTTTAGGCATGACAACTTTTTCAAAATTTTGAGTTTGCAATAGATAAGTAAGAAATAAAGAACTGGAAAAAGCTCATAAGGCATGTGCACATTTAAGAAAATGTTTCATTTATTTTACATTAACAAAAAGTTAGTTAATTGTACATAAAACATATTTTTAAATTCTAGGCAGCGCAAATTGGAAGAAGCTTTACTTTTCTCTGGTCAATTTAAAGATGCAGTATTAGCATTAATGGATTGGATTGATAAAACGATTTCAGCATTATCAGTATCAAAGCCTTATCATGGTGATCTTGATACTGTTACCTCATTAATTGAACAGCACAAGGTAAGGTTACAGTGGAATGCATTAATATATTTTTATATACACATGTATTTCTGTATAAATTTTGCAAAATTTAAATTAATGACATATATTTTCTAATTACGTCAGATATATTTTTTGACCACCTACTTGCATTTCTTTTCCTTCTGATGTATTTGCTATTTTATTTTTACCTGACATATGCTTAACACATAGTTCATCAGAAAATTATTCTACTTTCATATTTTCTAAGCAATTTATTAATATTTTGTTAATCTAGGTAAATAGTAAAATCTGGTAATTCATTTGATAATTGGTAAGGCTCGTCCTGAAAATACTGGCTTAATATTTTTTTGTTTTTATTAGTTTTTTGTAATTTCATAAAGTGCTTTGTGCATTATCAGTTATTAATTGTTTTTGTTTAATCCTCTATTTAGGAACTAAAAGTATTAAGTAAAAATTTATTAACTGTAATTTTTCTAAAAAAAATTTTGCCATTTCATTTGTTTGATTTTTGATACACCTTATATATATTTTTACATGTAATTTAAATTATTTACCTTCTATATTTTCTTTATTTTTTTAAAATAATATTTAGTCATTTGAAGAAGAGTTCAAAAATAAAGGCTTAAATTTGGAATCTGTGTGCAAAACAGCTGTCACTCTGAAAAACCAAGCAAGCTCATCTGATGTTGAAACAATAACTGCCCAAGTAGAAGAGCTAAATAAAAAATGGAAAATTATTACTGATCTAAATGAGAAGAAGAAGTCTCAGTTAAAGGATGCTCTTCAATTGGTAACATTAATATCTATTAATAATAACCTATTAACTTTGCTCTTATCAGGTTGATAAAGAAGTTTCTTCACAATTTAAATTTTACTAAAAAGAAGACAGAAAAGTAAATTGGATTGACTTAATCTAATTTCTGTTTAAAAATGTTAGAGGAACACCTGACATTGTAAAAACATATCTGATTTTATTTAAAAGATGCTTAGTTGCATTTTCTTCAAATAATTAAAATGTTCAATAAAAACAATGATTTAATGGCATAAGTATTAATTTAAAAAAACTTAACTTAACATCTATTATAATCAAACAAGCTTTAAAATAATTTGAAACAAATTGTTTTAATTTTTATTTTAATTATTAATTTCACTAAAATATGTTTTGAGCTTATAGTATAGGCAACTAATGTTTATCTAGTTTAATTATTTTTCTTTAAACATGATAGAAGCCTAGAAAGAGTTCCAAATGAAGCTTTTACAATTCCTAATATTTTTTAAACGTCAAATATTATTAATAATCTCGCTACTATTATAATAATACCCATAGAAATTTATTATTTACAACAATATAGTATTAAATTCAATAACTCAGTTTTCAACATCTTGAACATATATACTTCTAAAAGGAAAGTCTTTCCTTTTCTCTATTATTATTATTTTTGCAAGAAATCTAATTCATTCATAAATTGAATCTTGCTTTCTGATTTGTAAGAAAACTTCTGTTTCAGAACCAGTTTAGGAGGAACCTATCTGGAGGGAAACAATATAATTTTCCTTCCTCGTTTAATCAGTAAATACTATATCTCATTCAAAAAGAAAAAATTTTATTAAAATTGCTGAAGAAGTTAAAATTATAGTTAGTTATAGAATTTAACATTGAAACTATTTTTTTTTTTTTTCAAATTTTCTTCCATTTTTAAAATAAAATATTTTGTATATGTTTCCAAGAGTTTAATTTCATTTTGAACAGTATTTGCACTGTCAGTTATTTAGCATAATAATTTACTTGATACCACTGGCAATTTTATTTATTTCAACTATTACAATATATTGTTAAAACTGCATTTATTATTTCATTATTTTCTTTAATTTTATTTTACATTACCTTTAAATTCTTAAATTAAACCACAGGCTGAAGAGTTATACAAACTTGTGCACATGCTACTTGAATGGTTATCAGATGCTGAGATGAAACTGAGATTTTTCGGTTCCCTGCCTGAAGATGAAGAATCTAGCAAAAAGCAAATTCAAGATCATGAAATATTTATGGCTGAACTAGAAAGACAGGAAGTAACAAAAAATAAGACCATAGCACTTGCTCAAGATATTCTAAAAAAATGTCATCCTGATGGAATATCAGTAATACGCCACTGGATTACTATTATACAATCCAGATGGGATGAAGTAAGATTTATGATTTTCTACATGTTTGTTTTTTATTTTGTTTACCTTCAAAGCTTTTAATTCTGATTATAATTAAATCTTATTTTTTAATTATAATATAATCTTCTTATTTTTTATTGTCTATTAAACAAATGCTAAAATTAATTTTTATTATACTTTTAGCGAGACATAATTCTATAGATAATAATAAGTGATAATATACATATGGCAATGCATAAATATAAATCTAGTTAATTATCATTGTCTCATTATGAACAATTGATATATTACTCACACTACCAGGAAGCTAATTACACATTATTTCTGAATGTATTTTTTATTTACTAGACAACATTTCATATATGCTGCAGATTTAAGTTTGCCTCCTGCTCCAGATTTTTAATTTGATGTATAATAGTAATAGTATTTTTTTATTACATTATGTTATCATTAATTTGTTATTACTTCTCAAAAATAAAACAAGCTTGCATTTAAAAACATAATTATTCTTTTTGTCATACTTTCATTTACACTTACTTTTTTCTGATTTAGTTAGATATATTCTTCTTGTTATTTTTTTAGATATCTTCTTGGGCCAAACAAAGAGATCAAAGACTAAGAGATCATTTATTATCTTTAAGAGATATAAGTGATTTGTTGGAGGAGCTATTTGCCTGGTTGAACAATGCTGAGGCTACTTTAACTGCACTTGAAGCTGAACCACTTCCTGATGATCTGCCAACTTTAGATAGACTTATTGAAGAACATCAGGTAAATTCTTGAGAATTTGTGATTTATAGGATTTATATTTTTTAATTTATTACTTGTTTTAAATTATGGATGGTTTCTATTTTATAAAATGAAGAGAAATTGTTAAATGAATCAAATTTGACTTGTCAAATTATTTAGTTTAATTTTAAAAAAATTCAGTTTTGACAATATTTTTATAGTTTAAATTTTTCAGTTTTAAACTTTTACAAGGTTCTTTAAAAATATGTTATAGTTGTAAAACGATCTGAACTGCTGTATACCTGTCACAGATCTGTTGATTAGAAGGCCCACTACACTACAAAAATAGTACATGACTGGCAAAAATAATAGGTGTTTCTAGTAAAAAAAAGCAGCAAATTTTTCATAAAGAAATACCCACAACCTAATATTTTTTACTTAGTGGCTTAGCTTTTCATATCCTGGTAGTGAAGTTAAAAATTATGGTTTAGTATTTTATAAATTTTGAATATAAAATTTAAGCACAAATATCTACTACAGATATATTACTGTAAATCACTGTTCAAACAAAATGTTATGTGTTAATGAATTTTTTTTTTAAATAAAAAGGATGTATGCCTAAAGTAAATATAGATAATGTTATCTAAAGAGTGTTTAAAATCGTGAAAGCATTGTAAATCAAAGGAAAAAAACAAGAATAAATTGATTTAATATTGTAATATATATTTTTCCAGCATTATATTTCAGAGCATTTTATTACTTCAAGCATTTTACTTCCAAAACGTTTCATTACTTCATTACAAAATAAAATCATGTCATTGTTTATGTAATAATTCAGTTCGAATTCTGATTTGAAAAGTGAATGCATATAATTCTTTTATTTATGTATTTTTTCAATAGCTTTTCATGGCTGATATGTCCAAGAAACAACCTGACATTGAAAAAATTTCTAAAACATTTTCTTCTAAACGTCATCAAAGTAAAAACTTGGGTTCCCCTCAAATTAAAGAAAAAGTAAAAGAAAAACTTCCTCGCTCTGGAACACCTACTGGTGTCAAAACATCAACACCTTTGTAAGTAAACACTTTCTTCTACATAAATGCTTGTATTCTTTCACTTAATTTAATTTCATTTTAAAGCAAGGACTACTGGGTGGAATATCTACAGTGGACTAATAAAAATTGCTATTTCTATTATACCATAGAGGGCAGAGCAACACTACCATTTTTAGCATTTTCTATTTTGGTGTTTGACCTGTTAATCCACAGGGGTACATTTTGTGCCAGTCTGATAAATATTCTTTGGCCATTTTGATTTTTCCCAACATGTATTATAATAAATAAAATTAAATTTATTTGGAAACCCAATGTCAAGCTATTGCAAATATAAGTTGTTATATTTAAAAGATGCTGCAATCGATAAGAATAAAAGTCTCAAAAAGGAAAGTTATTTTTGCAGGAATAAAAATTTGTGCTTTTCAGAGTTTACATTTTTTTAACTATTATAATGTGTTATTTTTGTGCACATATTATTTAAAAAAAAATTATTATTGTACTTTTATTACATAACTTCTTAATATCTAGAGCTAATAATTTAACCATATTATTACTTAGGCGAAGTCAATTTGATTCCGATGTGAAGCATCCAAGAGCTAAACAATTGCTAGAGAAATGGAGAATAGTTTGGCTTCTTGCAATGGAGAGGCAAAGGAGGCTTCAAGATAAATACAATTACCTTATGGAGGTATTGTCCATGATTTTTTTGGCATGTAGTTTGAATTCATTTAGAATATTTTATGAATTCTATATAAAAATTCTATAGTTCTATGATAAATATAAATTACATTAGCATGTTATTGTTGATAAGAAATTATAATTCATTATAATAATTTAAAATTTTTCTGATTTAATTACTGTTTACCTTTTTAATTGCTATTTTTCTACAATTTTTGTTTGTTTCTTCACTACACGCATCTCATTTGTCACCATAATACATACCTATATGCATAATATATTCCTATACACCATAATACATACATATGGATACAATGGACCCATGGCTGTTTATTTACCACTGCCTAGTGAATTTTGAACAAAAACATTTTTTGATTTTCATGATAAAAAAAATGCTAGTTGCTTCTCTTTAAAAAAATATGAAATAAAAATATTTTTTAAAAATAAATAAAATTGTTTTATAAATATAAAGTTGCTAAAATGAAATTCTTTTTAGAAAGTCATATGTCAAATAGAAAGTAGCAAAAATTATTAAATCATTTTTAATGATAAAGGTTTACATTTTAATAAAAAATATCTTTGGCTGCTAATATTAAAAATAGGTGTTTAGTTGCACAAGTAAAAATGAAATTATTTTATTGTGAAATGTTGACTTGTGTAATTGTGACTCTTTTAAAACAAGGAAAAGCGAATACTACCAATGGAAATTTAAAATATATATATTATTTGAATGAAAGGAACTTTATTAATGAATTATTATTTATTATCAGGGTTAGGATGTTGATGATAAATATTTTTTTTTTTTGTGTTTTTGGTTGTTTTTTTTTATTGCATTTTTTTGGTTATTTTTTATTATTTTTCAAATTTATTTTCTTTTCTAGTTATTTTTTTTAATACAGGTTCAATTTATATTTTAAAAAAATCCTTATGTAAAACATAGCATAGAATTTGGAGGGTAATAAAATTTAGAGGGCATTACTTTTCATTTTGAGTTTTTTTTTTGTGGTTTACAGAGTTTTTTTTGCATTTTTAAACACATTTTTCAAGAATTGAAAGATCATCTCCATCCATTCCTGTTTATTATCATTAAAGCTATAAGAGAAAGAAAAGAAAATATTGAAAATAAAATAAATAAATATAATATTATTTTAAACGTATATTTAAAAACTTCATGTTATATTTATTAGCATGAATATAATAAGTATATATGAAAAATTTATTTAATATTAAGCGTATTTACAAAACAAGTCTATGTGCAAAACCACTTGTACATTATTATATATTATTGTCTAAAACATCCATAAAAAATTTGTTTGCCACTATAAAATACTTATTTTTAAAATCTCTTAAACATAGAAAAATACTAAACATCAAATATAACAAATGAAATTATCCTCCTATTTTCCAATTAATACATTTATGAACTTAAATATTCTTTACCTATTCATATATGTTTATAGGATCTAAGACTATTTTCAACTTTTACCTTATAACACATCTTGTAGACAAAATATCAAATTTTCTAATATAAGGCCTTTGCTAAGTTTTTCTTTAACAGTACAAGAAATTTATATTAAACATTGTAAACCATAAAAATATTATGCTTCATTGCATAAGTATACAGGGTGTACCTCTGTAATCACCTCTCTTAAAATGTATTGTATTTTTAGAATTCTAGTCAAAAAGGATGCCAAAATATTATAAAATTAGAGATCACAAATTCAGATTAAAATCATTTACCACTTCCTTTCAGTTACGTTTATCAGTTTAACAGGTGTTGATATTTTTTTTATCTCCTTTTACTAATTATTGATTCACTGGGGATTCATGAAATTTTTCTTGCTGATCTGCATAGTTACAGATGAGTTAAATAAGCTGTTTTGTTTTCAGGAATTATGTAATTCTATAACAAATGAAATACCTTATTAATGTTAAAATTAAACAATATTTTTGTATTACAGCTTGATAGAATAAAGCACTTTGATTTTGATGAATGGAGGACTAGGGTAAATATTATAATTTTGTAGCTAATGATTTTATTTATCTAACTTGTATTATACATATATTTAATGTAAACTTCTTATAGTATCTTGGCTGGCTAAACAACAAAAAGTCACGTGTTATGGATCAGTTCAAGAAGATAGACAAAAACAACGTTGGTAAAGTGACAAAGCAAGACTTCATTGATGGAATACTGAAATCAAGTAAATAGTTATTAATTTTTATTATACATACATAAAAATGATATGCAGTAAAAAGAATTTTTTGCTATATTATTTATTCATTTGTTCATTGCAAATTTTTATTTAGAATTTGCAACTAGCCGACTTGAAATGGAAAGGGTAGCTGATATTTTTGACAGGAATGGAGATGGATTTATTGATAGCAAAGAGTATGTTGAAACACTTCGTCCTGAAAAAGAGGTCAGTTCTAATACGGATGAGACATTATTGTTATTTAAGCATTTTTATGTATTTTACATGTGTTTAGAGATATCATTAATTGAAAAGTGTTTTTGTTGAGTTGAGATTATTTCAAAATTTAAGAAAATCTGCAAGAATCTTAAATTTTACAAACATTTTTATACCAAATAAGACAATTTAATTTTCAAAAGATTCTTAAAATAATTGTTTATTGCATAAGTTATAAATTCATCATTTCAAAACTAAATTTAAAAATCTCGTAACTTTACTGACAGTACAAAATCCTTGATTTCTGCACAGCTATATAGAAAAATACTTGATTTTAATGTTCGGTAAAACAGGAAACTTTTTATTTTCAATATTATTTAAAATTAATTTTTTACTGGAAGAACATATGTGGATATTATATTTATATGCTTCAAATATTACTGACTTTAGTTTTAATTTCTGAGGCTGTCATACATATTTTTTATAGTACCATCATTAGTTTAAAAGTAACAGGGACATACAAAAAATAATTACAACAAGTAATATTTACCTCTGAGCATTAATTTCTGCTTTTTACAAACTTTATATTCAAGCTTTGACTGGAGTAGTTTACAGCTAAGAAATCTCAACACAACTTTGATTAATTGCTCTACACTTGGAAATGTGTATTGCACTATAATATTTCTGCACTTTATGTAATACTCCCCATTTATAGCATTTTACATTAATTACATGATTTGTTTTCAGACCGGTCCACTAACTGAAGCAGAAAAAATACAAGATGAAGTTCAGCGACAAGTTGCAAAATGTACTTGCGTTCATCGATTTAAAGTATATCAAGTTGGTGAAGGAAAATATAGGGTTAGTGAAATAATTCAATTAAAATCTATTAATTTAGGATTGAAATTGTTCTAGTAGATTTTTAAAAAATTATTTGAGATGTATATTACAATACATTATACATTAGTAAGCAATTAAAATTTTAGCAATAGCTTTAAAAATTTGTAAAATATTATAATTTTCAATCATTTTTTTTTCTAGTTTGGTGAATCTCAAAAGCTTAGGCTAGTTCGAATTTTGCGTAGTACTGTAATGGTACGTGTTGGTGGTGGTTGGGTTGCACTTGATGAGTTCCTTGTAAAGAATGATCCCTGCCGAGGTTTGTAAAAGAATTTATAATTAAATTTTTCTTTAGAGTTAATTAGTTATTAATTTGTGTGTAAATGACACAGTTTATTTGTTAACATTTTTCAGTTAACTTTTATTTATTTATTACTGTTAAAACTGTCCTAATTGTTCTGGAAATCAATGCATTAATTTTTTTTATTTTATGTTTCTGTAAATTTCCACTTCAAATAGTTTTCACTTTGCATTATTTCTTACATTACATTGTTAATCAACAAAATTATGATAAATTTTTTTAATTTCAATAAAGTTATTCATTAGATAACCTGTATTTAGCTAAAAATACTATACATAAAACAGTAATCTAATCTTAATGATTAAGTTGTTTGTTAAAATTAACAACATACATAACTGTTTTAATAAGAAAATTTCAAATTGTTTGAAAATTAATTAAACTTAGTGCTCTGTTCTCAATTAATAAATAAAAATTTAGCTCTTAATTTTTCATCAAGCATTTAAATCTAATAGTGCCTCAGGAAACAGCTACCAACAATTTTGCTTTTATTAATGTCGCTTATTTGTCTCATTTATCTATATTTATCAAATAATGTGATCTAATTTAGTATATTCAATGCTATGCCAAATTTCATCTTTACCAGATTTACTAAATTAATTTTCTTAATATTTTTGCCCGTGAGCAATTCTGTCATTCACAAATGTTTGATTTGCGGAATTTAATTGCTTATAACTCAGTTTAAAAAATCAAGCAGTTATAATAATTTTTCTTGAAAATATCTCTTGGTGCCATTAATTTTTATTGACTTTTTGAAATTTTAAAATTCTTTTAAAAGCAAAAAACTGGCTGTTACAAAGATACGATATTATATTACAATCACAGCACCCATTTAAAAATAATTGATTTATGAAAGTTACCATTCACACACATTGTTCCAAAAGAAATTTATATGGTGCTTTATATACATAGATCAATCAGATAGTAAAATAAAACCTTAGCCCTAAATATATTTGCAATGTTAAACATTGTGATTATACTATTCAAAACTGATAAGAGATAATAAATAAATTACTAAAAGAAATTCAGGATATACTTTTATCTGTAATTTTTAATGAAATCTTAGCAGTATCCTTATTATTTATGATTTCCTGATAGTATTAAATTGTTATTACATCAACTGCAAACTTTCTTGTTATTAAATTCTTTTAAAAAGCTAATTGGTCAATCCACAGTATTTATGTGTTACCTACAGTGTATTTCATAGCTAAATTTGAACATTTTTATTTTTATCAGCATGGAAATATGAGTGAAATAAATTTCCCTTAATTTTGCGTATTATGTATTGTTTGTGTTATGTACGGGACAGTTGATCCACCAAATTCTGAAATATGAGTATTTTTTTTACTGGAAATTATACTTATTTTCAATACATTCTGTATCTCTTCAGCTACATTATTCTGAGAAATTTTTTTAATTGAGTTATTTTATCATAAATAACTAGGTAAAAATTGTCGCATAACAAGAAAGTCAAATATTGTGGAATGACTTTATTATTAATACAGTAGAAAGTCCCATATCCGGAATCGTCGGGATTTCATCAGAAACAAAAATCAGAAGTCGGTTAAAAATCAGAAGTCGGTTAAAAATCATAAGTAAAGTAGTGGAGAATTCTCATCCCTGCATACTTTTTTAACAGATCACGAATTTTAAAAAAAATATTTAAGGAAAAGAGTTTTGGTTATTTTGATTGTTAAAAAGAGTCAGGAAAAGAGACCCTTCCAGTAAACAGACATCCGGTTGTGGGATCTTGTACTGTATATAGCTTATAAATCTACTGTTTTTTTTCTTATAAAAAAGGTCGTTTCTTCTTGAGTACATGTAGTATTTCATTTTCATTATTTATTTCTAAAGTTTATTTCTTTTATTTTCCTTCTTAATATTCACAAAAACATTCTTAGCAAAATGACATTTATTGATGCAATTTCTATGCTTTCTGAATACTGATTATCTTTCTGCTTTCATAGGCTGCAGAGAAGAAGCATTAAAACTAACAAAACTATTTATTCAACAATCAAAAAAGACACCACTTTCTAGCCTCAGCAGTTCTAAAGAAAGCCTTTAGTTGTCTGTTATCCTTCTTCCTTTATCCCGTTTTTCTTTTTCTTATGTGTAACCAATGATTTATTTTCCCATATGCTGGATATCTGACTAGAACACTGCTTTCACTCTTTCTTTCTCTCTCTCTCTCTTTGACATATAACTAAAACTTATCTGCTATAAAGTAATAATTACCTACAGCTAACCTTGGCAGTTTTCTCTTTGTGAAAATAATTTACGTAACTGAATCAAAAAAATCCCAAGCATTTTATTGTTTATTAGTGCATGTATACAGAATAGTACAACCTGCATGTATATTTACCATAATATAGCTAAAGGAAGAACCAATATTGAGTTGAGAGAACAGTTCATATTAGCTGATGGTGTCAGCCAGTCCCTGGCTCCTTTCAAACCAAAGCCAAGTCCTAATTCGTCAATATCCAGTCAGAGTGGAACCAACAGTTCTATGCCTTCAACAGGCCCTATTACAAAGGTTTGCAATAAACTTTAAAAATAGAAATTTATGGGTTAGCATATGGTGAAAATTAAATCAACAGTTATAATTAATTTATGTTGCTTTTATGGGTTATTTTATTTTGAATGTTTGTTTCTGCTCATGTTTTATTTATTTTAAGTTTTGTTTTTATGTGCTGTAATGTGCTTTTTGTTATTATTTATTTATGTATTTTACTTTCATTTTATATTTTACTACTTTTTCTGAAACTTTTTAAATTTTAGTTAAGGCAATCCTTAATAGAACTCGGTTACGAAATTCTAAAATTCATAATCTTCAAAAACATTCCAACTTTCTAGTCAAAAATAATAATTAAGGACCATAGTAGTTAACAAACTTATTACTACAAAAATATTATTTATTAATTTTTACAAGTTATATTGAAGTGCATATTTTCATTGGTTTTAAGTGGGTTATATAATGGAAAGAAGGAAATTTTCGGAAAAGAATCGGCAATCATTGACTATCTTCAAGATGCTTCTTCTTTGCAAACTCGTTAAATATTTTGCAAAGATGACATTATCAGTTTTGTCTATTCCTATTGCATTCCAGCTTCATTTTTATTTATGAGATGCATTCCAGTGAAAGAAATAAGGCCTGTATTCTACAGGCCAGTTCACTCTCAGTTTGGATCCAGGATTCCAGTCTATTGTTGGGTAAAACTTTTATTCTATTTTAAATGCATTGCATTAATGTTTTGCAAATAAATTTTTTTATTTATTTTCATGAACTTTAAGTGGTTAACTGTTCTTATATTTCCCTCTTCAATCTTTGTGATATAGGTAATAAAAAAAGTGATCTCAGAAAACTTGAAAGATCTAATTTCTGATCCTTTTGAATTTAGTTATTTTAATGTAGTAAAATTATTAAAATCAATTCTTAGAACATAAAACATATAAAATATTAATTAAGCAAAACCAAATATCAAATGCTGGTTAGATTTTTCAATTTAATGCTGATTAAACTGTAATGCTTGTAATTTTTTATTAAAATTAAATGCAACTAAATTTTGTATTGTCATGTCATATAGTTTGCAATGGAATTTAATCCCTTTGAAATATTTCTCCAAGGCAAATTAAAAAGTTGTTTTATGACATTCAGATTTAACATTCTACTATTTTGAGGAATTAAAAATAATACAATGTGATTTTTAAAATCTCAGCCAAGGATAGCAGGCATACAATATGTGTTATATTAACTTGGCTGTTTAAGATATTCTTAAATGCATAATTTTAAACCTCTGATTAGTAAATCTCTGATCAGACTAGAGGCAACTTAAAAATAAAACTGAAAAGCTAAATACAACTCTTCTTAAAAAAATCAATAAATCATTAATTTCCACATATCTTAGTAATTTCAGTTTTGTAGCACACATGTGATTTATTTAAGGAAAGTGATAGTTGCTTGTAAATATTGAAGGTTCTTTTTCTCTTATCATAATTACAGGACAACTAGCTAGCTAGTCTAGCTCAGCTAAATTTCATATGGCCTTGTATTAAAACGTTTTTAAATATATATGAATGTCTTCCTTAGAAATATAACTATAAGCTTAAAATAATTATGTAAATATATATTGTCTGATGAAATAATCATTACTTTTTCTTTTTTTGTGTGTTAATATGAAATGTAATGTTAATAAGTAAGTTTAAAAGTGTGATAAGACTAGCTCTACTAACATAAGCTTACTCTGAGGAAAAAGCTGCTTCAATGATATATAATATTAAATTTATACTATTTATTGACAAACTCAGAGAAAAATCTGTTCTAAATCTAGAACTGTAACAATGTATATTTTTTATGATAATCAAGTAACTATAATTTACATTTTTGATGAAAATTGGTTATTATGTATCCTTAACAGCAATATTTGGCTATGTCTCTTGGAAAATGGATAGCAATTAACAGATACTATAAACGAAATAGAAATAAGTGTATATAAAAAATTAAGATTATCACTCACTCTTAAAATACTAATCTAATCTTAGAATACTGAAATATTAATAACTGTTACAAAACTTTTAATGAGAAAATATAATATATTTTATACATAATGATCATATTGAGGTACTTCTGAAAATAAACGCTACTAACTTCCACTCTCCAAATTTGATAACTATTATTATTTCATAAAAGTTCATGCCTATTTTTACAAACATATGTAAAAAATTATTTTTTGAGTTAACTATAACATTTTGATGTTTTTATATTCAGTAATAGTTTGCTCTCTTTGGCAATGAATTTTATTTTTGCTTGTATGCTGTATTTTTTAAAATCCAATTAATAAATAATCTTTTAAATTATTTTTAAAAAAATAGTTGCAAATTTTTGAAATAATTTTAATTGAATTAAAGACACTTGTGAAAATGCTATAAATAGTGTAAGATGCTATTGTGGTAAAATAATTTTTAAACTATGCTGCAAATTTCATTATAATTGTTCTTATGATAAATAATTCTTTTAGACCTTTTTTTTACTTTACAAAATTTTTTATAATAATGTTTGATTAAGTTAAATTGTATTAAATTAAATGCAGATACAATTATCTTCAAATGTGCACCCAGAACTTTAGATATCTTCCCTTTGAAAAAGCAGTAGTCATGTTCAGATCTTACCATATTTAGCTAATGAAAATGTTAAAAAACATATTGAGATGTATAAATGTAGAAAAAGGTAATTTTAAAGCTAAGAAAGAGATTAAAAACTTCTTGNATGTGTTATATTAACTTGGCTGTTTAAGATATTCTTAAATGCATAATTTTAAACCTCTGATTAGTAAATCTCTGATCAGACTAGAGGCAACTTAAAAATAAAACTGAAAAGCTAAATACAACTCTTCTTAAAAAAATCAATAAATCATTAATTTCCACATATCTTAGTAATTTCAGTTTTGTAGCACACATGTGATTTATTTAAGGAAAGTGATAGTTGCTTGTAAATATTGAAGGTTCTTTTTCTCTTATCATAATTACAGGACAACTAGCTAGTCTAGCTCAGCTAAATTTCATATGGCCTTGTATTAAAAAGTTTTTAAATATATATGAATGTCTTCCTTAGAAATATAACTATAAGCTTAAAATAATTATGTAAATATATATTGTCTGATGAAATAATCATTACTTTTTCTTTTTTTGTGTGTTAATATGAAATGTAATGTTAATAAGTAAGTTTAAAAGTGTGATAAGACTAGCTCTACTAACATAAGCTTACTCTGAGGAAAAAGCTGCTTCAATGATATATAATATTAAATTTATACTATTTATTGACAAACTCAGAGAAAAATCTGTTCTAAATCTAGAACTGTAACAATGTATATTTTTTATGATAATCAAGTAACTATAATTTACATTTTTGATGAAAATTGGTTATTATGTATCCTTAACAGCAATATTTGGCTATGTCTCTTGGAAAATGGATAGCAATTAACAGATACTATAAACGAAATAGAAATAAGTGTATATAAAAAATTAAGATTATCACTCACTCTTAAAATACTAATCTAATCTTAGAATACTGAAATATTAATAACTGTTACAAAACTTTTAATGAGAAAATATAATATATTTTATACATAATGATCATATTGAGGTACTTCTGAAAATAAACGCTACTAACTTCCACTCTCCAAATTTGATAACTATTATTATTTCATAAAAGTTCATGCCTATTTTTACAAACATATGTAAAAAATTATTTTTTGAGTTAACTATAACATTTTGATGTTTTTATATTCAGTAATAGTTTGCTCTCTTTGGCAATGAATTTTATTTTTGCTTGTATGCTGTATTTTTTAAAATCCAATTAATAAATAATCTTTTAAATTATTTTTAAAAAAATAGTTGCAAATTTTTGAAATAATTTTAATTGAATTAAAGACACTTGTGAAAATGCTATAAATAGTGTAAGATGCTATTGTGGTAAAATAATTTTTAAACTATGCTGCAAATTTCATTATTATTGTTCTTATGATAAATAATTCTTTTAGACCTTTTTTTACTTAACAAAATTTTTTATAATAATGTTTGATTAAGTAAAATTGTATTAAATTAAATGCAGATACAATCAGATAATCTTCAAATGTGCACCCAGAACTTCAGATATCTTCCCTTTGAAAAAGCAGTAGTCATGTTCAGATCTTACCATATTTAGCTAATGAAAATGTTAAAAAACATATTGAGACGTATAAATGTAGAAAAAGGTAATTTTAAAGCTAAGAAAGAGATTAAAGACTTCTTGGAATTTTACAAAAAGTACTTTAAATTTTTTAAATCGTTTTAATGTACAATGTAATATAATATAATTAATGTACAATGTAATGTAATATAATTAATGTACAATGTAATATAATCATTTTTTAAAATTAAAAAAAAAATACTTTGAAAAATGATCTTGCACCAATGTCTGCAGGAAATAATAATTGCTAGTATATAATAATTCCCCGGAGCAATTTCACTTTTACTTTTTAAATTGTAATTACTATTATTTCTTGGGCTATTTTTATTTCTTTATCAGTTATAATATTAACAGATTTATCTTTGAGCAGTTTTAAAAACTATGTCTCAACATTAGTCTGGCACATTTTAACTGGAAAGCTTCCTTTTAATTGAAGATGAATTTGAACTTATAATAATTTCATCAGTTGTTCAATCAGGGTTAATTCACTAATGGTTAATGAAAAATGATGATGAGCATAATTTATCTGTATTTTTTTGCTCACAACTTTTTTTCATGTGACAAAATGTAATTTTTAATAGTATTTGAGTCATATTTCCCTATACACCAAAAATCATCAAAGTTAATTGCAGTTCATTAGTTCCTCTTTCAAGCATAATAGTCATGTATTAGAAGTAATAATGCAATGTTGAGAAAATACAAGGTTCTATATTCAGTAAACTTGACTTGATAAATTAAAATTGCATATGTTTTCATCCATTTCCCAGAAGTTAGCCAGAAATTTAAGTAGAAGACCATTGCTCTGCTTTTATACTGGGTATTACATTATGAGGACAAGTATTAAACTAAACTCAGTGGCACGACAGCCCATGAGGACAAGTATTGCCTTACAAAGAAAACTAACTATGGATCAGTATCTGCTGTTTTTCCAATGATTTTAAGTGAATCAGTTTAAATTTGTTATAATAGTACTGTGTAATAATGGTTTGGTATTGTGGTAAAAAAATTACTTTACTACTTATTTTACTAGATGATAATAAAAAAATACCTCAAATCCTGCAAAAAACTTCCTCTTAATTTATATTTAAAATTATATTATTTGACATCATGTGAAAAAATTTAGATGGTGAAACTATAAAAAATTCTTGAAACCAGCAAAATAAATTTGCCCCAAAATTGATTTCAATACATTTTTTAATGACTTATGAATATATTTTCAGCGTTCTAATAATTTTATTAACTATGTCTCACTTTTTTCTCTTTCTGATGACATCAAAATTGGCTTAAAAATAAAATAAAAAAGTAATAGACATTATGAACATAAGCCAACTTCTGAAGTTACGCCATTTTGTTAAATTGAAAGAAATTTCAAACTGATCCCTGAATGGTAGTTTTGATTTTAAAAAAATTATTTTAGTCATTTTCCATCTTGTATTTTTCACAAAAATTTCAAAAAAACTTTGTGAAAATCTGTAACATTGCAGCATTTTTGTTCTTGCAATATTTTGTAATTTTAGATTTCAATAGTTGTGAATTGCTTCTCAAATTGTTATGAGTTTAACAAACAAAAGGAGACTTTTTCAGACTGGATTTAAGTCACTTTTCAGTAAATTTCACATTTGGTATCAGTTTTCAAGTTATTATTGAAGAGATTTAACTTTGATTTTATTAGACACAGCTACTATTAACCCAAAGTTGCATATTTTAATGCGAACAAGAAATCAGTGCATAAATTTTTGTTTGGTTTTCTAGTACTGGTTTGTAAAGTATACTTAAAAAATATTAAACAAATTACATTTAGCCATTTTATGTTTAATCATATTAAACTATATAGCATTTATTTTTTTTCCAAACTAATTTTTTTTATATTTCATACCATTGCTTTCATAACTTAACTTGCTAAAAATATTCTTTCCTTTTATCAAACTTTTATCTTCAAAATCAGTCCTATAACTGCTATTTAATAGTTTAAAATATCTAATATAAAATTCACTGATTTGACTAATCTTTTTTTCCTTAGTTCTCTTTAATGTGAGTTAAATGTTTTGCTTATTGTTTTAGATTCGAGAAAAAAGTGAAAGAAGTACTCCAATGAGAAGAAATCGTTCTTCTGCTGAAAATAGCAGTGATATAAGTGGGCCAAGTTTCAGTGAAACAGATAGTTTTAGTAATCGATCTGCATATTCAAGAACCACACCTTCTTCTCGACTGAGTCCAAGAGGTACTTAGAAGACTTTTCTTTAATCAAATTATTTTGTAAATTTATTTAAATTCGATAATTTGTAAATATATTGCCAAGGCTCAAATATTTCAAAATGTTTGCATGCCCTGCTGAGCTTGTTTGCAAAGTATTTGCCTGAATGAAACTTAAACATGCCCAAACAACTTTTTCGATTGCTAATGAAAACATATGAATGTACCTATTATTAATCTACCAAAAATATTATATTAACAACATTGTATCAAAACATTAACATCATCAACTCTTTAGGAAAAATCAGAAGTATTTACTATTATTAGCAAAGAAATAGTGAGCATTATTAAGGAGGAAGTATTAACAAATAAACAGTGATGGATTAAATGCAGAGCATTCTTATTAACAAAGAAGTACTTTAGCATTATAAAGTACTATCAGCAACCGCATTCATTTCCTCATGCCATTCTAAAAATTTGTTATAACTTTTTACTTTAATTATTTTCTTTTGCTCAACGATGTATGCAATTTTTTTTAAAATAAATGCAAGCATGGCATGCGGAACAAAAACGAATAAACTAACTTATAAGAAAATTATTATGTATAAAAGTAAATTGAATAAAATTTAGATTTTATCAAATTTGAATAATTTTCCTTTACTTTTATTTCTCATGTTGAAACACTTAAATTCATCTTATATTTAAGATAATTTATAGTAATGTTAAATAGTTATGTTAATGGCTTTTCTAAACTTATCTAAGTTATTTAAAGCATGTTATATTTCAATTATATTACTAGAATTATTTTTACTTATTTTGAGGCTTTAGTTAAATCAGCAATATTAAAGGCAATAATTCCTATTTTAATATTCTTATTCAGCAATATTAAAAGAGAGTAATAATAATTTTTACTTCAGCATTGTTTTAAAATTAAATAATTGTAATAATTGTTTATAATTTTTTCTAGATATAAGCTACAAGTCTACAAGTAGACCTTCTAGTCGACAAGGTAGTAGACCATCAAGTCGAGCACCAAGTGATCTTTCCCAAGATGGGATTGAGGAATTCAAATCAAAACGTAAACAAACTTTTAGTGGAAATGGAGTAATTAAGAAAAATGCTGCTGGTAATGATTTAGCTCCTAAAACGATAGAAGCATCAAGAATCCCATCAGTTAAAAAATCTATCAAACTTCCAAAAAATTTTGAATCTTCTAGCAAGAAAGATACTACAAAATAAATCGCTATGATTAACATTCCAGGTGAAATTATTCCTTTCATCATCATTAAGATGTGTTTATACAGCTTACTAAAGCTTTTGGGAAATATTGTGGCTTAGTCTCAAGCAAGTACTAAGAGTATTATCTCTTGAGAAATTTTGGTAATTCTAGTAATCTCATATAAACTAACATTTCAGAAGTCATTAATCAGATCAAATGTAGTTTATTCTCTAAATATATATATTTTTTAAACAATAAATTGTTTGAACTGATTAAACTACTGTTGCTGAGACAGCTTTTATAACTTTTCAACATAATGTATAATATAATTAATATGCTTTTGCTAGTCTTCATTTGCCAAATATATTTTTCTTACCATTTATAGCATGAATAAAAATATGCATTCCATTGTGTACGTTATTAAATATAAGTTTGAAAATGTATGTAGCTGTGTGAGATTTCTTAAAAAATGTTTTCTATTTAAGATATAAATATGTTAAACATGATTTACTTTAACAAATCTAAAAAATCTACAGTTGTGCTACATAAAGTTATGTAATTCAAAGTTTTATATAAACGGTAATGTATATAAGAACTAACGTATCTTTTTAATGGTATTTTAATATAATAAAATGTTAACATTTATTTAAAACACCTGTGCCAAGTGTTAAAGTAGCCTTAAATTTGTTTTTATGTATAATTGATTTACATAAATGTGTAAAATTTGAGTTCATGAATGCCATCTTTTCTGTTGACATTCCTGTTGAAATACTATTTTAATAAAATTCATTTGTCTACAAATATGTGTTATTAAATATTGATCATGTATTATATATGAGAGCTGATCATTTCAAACTTGTATCATACACAAAAAATTTTTAGCTGTATCTTTCAAGCTATTGTATGTTGCTCTTTTCCAAAATAAAATAATATATATATTTAAATAATTTCTCAATTTTTTGTGCAGTTCTGTTTAAATAATTCTTTTGAATATTCTTTATGCAGCACTTAACACATTCATTTATATTTTATTTCACATTAAGTACCCATCTCACATGTTATTAATAATTATTGTTTTATTATAAACATTTTATTACTCTTTAAATATTTTCCACTCTTTTGAAAAAAAAACTCTATTTATCAAACATGGGTTTTGGAATTTATGAAAATTTTTCAAACAGGGAAAAAAAAGGGCAGGAATCCTTTGTTTCATAGATTACTTGCTAAAGAAGCCTCTGCACAGATTCTGTCGAAAATATAATCCCATGCACTATGGATACAATATTTACATATTCAACAAAAATCTCATTAGGCAGGATTTTAAAAAAAATCAGTTGTTTTTGAGCATTGAAAAAAGGAAGGGTTTTTTTTTTGTCTTTTTTTTAAAAGCTATTTATTCTCCAATTTAATTGCAGAATTTTTTTCTGAAATGTGTGTGTGTTCTCTTAACATTCAGAAGAAGTGTCTAAGTGGCAACTATTTTGAAAAATAAATTGTTTTTTAGATTAAGAACCAAATGAATGAAATATCTACATAAATTTGTGCTTTGTGTTATTAGTGAAAATCATGTAATATAATAATATTTAGTCTTCATATGGTATAAACAATTAGTCCCTAAATAGACTTTTATTCTATAGGCTACTTATGTAGGCTAAATTTATAAAACTGTTTTGAAAATTTTTATTTTATTTAAAAATATATTTTTTAACAAATATCAAAAAAGGCCATTAGTAAGCACCGAGACTCCCAATAAGAACATAATATTTTAATTCTGAGTAAAATAAATTTTTTTATATATTACTGGAATTTTTACTTGATCATAAAGTACACAAGTAAGTAAAAGATCATGAAATATACAAGTATTAATTATGCAATGAATTATGTATCTGTTGAAGAAAAATGCCTTACTGATGTTTCTAGTTTAAAATTATTTTAATTCTGTAAAATGTCCTAATCCTATCCTGTGGGATAAAAATGATCCTTTGCAGAGAAATTAAGTATTTCTGAAGTAGGAAATAATATAGATTGTTTGTTTATGTGGGGGGAAAATGAACTTTTTTAGGGATGATTAACCTAGGGTAAAAAATATCAAGCTTCCTGAAACTGAACAATTGTTTTGAACTTTCGGTGTATCCCTTGATGTTTCCTCAATGAGAAATGTTATTGTTGAGAATATCATCAAAGTTTTTATCCATTATTAGCCCTCATAAGATATTCTCAAGTTTTATAAACTTAATCAAGTTGCAATCATGAATTGAACTAAGATATTAGATTCAGTCAATAATAACTATTTTAAGTGTTATTGCTCATTTTATTTTATTTGTTGGAAAAAAAAGGATTATTTCTTTCTGAGATTTTTTTACTGCATATAATTCTAACTATTCAATAAATCAGAACAATAATAGCGCCTAGAATGGAATAAATTCTAGAAAACACGAATGGTACCATAACTTCTGAGCTTAATTTACAAATATTTCAGATATAGTAATCTAGGAAGGATTCTTATTTTGTTCACCACTAAAAACAGCTGTACTTAACTTTATATGGTTACTACTGCAATTAGTTTGTTCTGACAGCAAATTCAAGCCTATGTTAATCATTTTACTATCAGCTCAGTACTATCCCTTAATTTTAACTATTTATAATTGTCCATATTTTTCAATAGAAGAGGCTTATTTTCTTAAATATGTTGTGATTAATTAATTTTCAAAGAGATTTTTAAAAACAAGTCTCTTTTCGATCCTTTCACCTATACATAGTTTTAAAAATTAGGTATGATAAAACTAAACTTTTTAATATGGTTTATTAATACTATCTTGCAAGACACATAATTATAAGTTAATTACAGCTGAGGTTAAAAAACTGCTTCAGAAAATAATCAGAGTATAATGAAAACAATATTTTTGCTGCAGGAACTAAAGGAATAAATAAAAATACAAAGAAATTTATCAGTCTTGTCAGATGGTGACATTAAGCGTTGATTTTAGCATTAGTTAGCATATTAGAAAATGGCAGGACATAATAAAATGGAACAAAGCATAAAACACAATGAATTATTTCTTCTCTTAAATTTTTGTCAAAATGAAAATAAGGGAATGAGTTTTTAAGAATGAAAAGGCATGCTTGGAATCATTTCCAAACTTTTTGTAACTTCTTTGTCAGACATAATTGACTTTTTTTAAGTATGTAGCTAGACAGAACAAGCTAATACATTGTTTTTGTTTTTTGGTGAACTGAACATTAACCTCAAGACACTCGAACTTCTTAATAATTATTCTTTCTTGTTTACTATCTTGTTAAGACTGGGGTAATTTTTTTTACAAAACTAGATGTATTCAAAATTTATCTGAAAATCAACTAGAAAACTCTAAACAAAGGATTACCTTTTTGTTTTTTATTAATTCTGCAAGAGAAAGTTTGTAAGTCTCATTGATTGACTAAAGGCAATACATAGCGCCCCAAACCATTTTATAAAAGCCTTATCCATGTCTTCATTCTCACATTTGTAATCTTACTTTTGTAAATTAAAAGCTTTTTTTTTAATTTTACTCAATTTTTATGAATAGCGCTGGAATTATAGAAATCTAAACAATATCTTCTGAAAATGTCAACATTTTCTCGCCGTTTTCCAACCATTACAAATATCTAGTTCTTAACTTCTGAGGTATGAGTAGCTAAAACCCTGGACAAATACTGATTTAGGGAGGCCCTAATATTTTCACTGACTGTAAAATGTATCTTACTTTTATTTTAATAAAATTGTCAAATCTGCACCAGTGTTCACAGAGCAGTTTATAATGCATCTCAATGTTGTACCAATTACTTTTTCAGCTTGTCTGATAGGCCTCAATAATTGAAAATCTGATTGATGCACTGTGTCAATACGCATGATGCATCCTGAACGTTCCAGAATGAGCCTTAGATTTTTTTTATTAAATAGAAATGCACTGTAGCTACTTATTCAGTGTAGTAAAAGTAAGCATTAACTTATATTGATTTCATTGCTCTTCGGATAAAAGTTAGACTGGAGTAAAACTTGAACAAATCAGCAAAGCATAACCATAAATAAAGTGTAAAATTAAAATCTTTTTAAATACTAATGCGAGTGGGTTCATTATTCCGTGTGTGAGCCTCTAAAATTTGGAGGCTCTGAGTAGGTGCCCTTTCTGCCAATGTGAATGTCAGGGCCAACTTAGTGTTTGCTCATTATCAAAGATGTGATTTGGTAATATGAAGGACAAGGAAAATTTTCCGAAGCATTTTTAGAGAAAATTTACGTTCTGGTAAATCAGTATACAGGTTGTTGTTCTGTAATCGCCACCCTGCATGTTTTTGTTCTTATTGGGGTCAAAAATAAAGTAAAAAAATAAGTGCATTAAAAGATGGAAAATTATATGCAAGCAAGGAAAAATGACAAAAGATATCAAAATCAGACAAATCACTGTTGAGGAATGTCAGATTTAAAGCAGCAAAACCAATTTGTCTGCTGAATGAAACTTGAATATTATTTTGCTAATTGCTTTTTATCATTTCTCAGTTTCATAGAGTAACTAAATAGATTTTGATATTTTTATTAATTCTGTTTTCCTCGTTGATACTTTACAAGATTTTTATTGTGCTTTATTTTTCTTTGCTCAAGTATTAATTGGCTACCCCTAATGCGTCCAAAGCTGGGGAAACCACTTGTTTATGCTAAAGAAATTTGAAAACGTAATTTTCGTTATGTTATACATCTTTTCATTATTAATAGGATATTTTTAGCTTGACAACTATGACTTCCAATTCAGCTAAAAAGAAGCATGCTACCAAGGAAAAAGTAACATGGGAGTGCAAATTTTTAAAAAAGGAATGTCATTATTCGGAGCAATAGTGCAAATGATAAAAGGCAAGAGTGAAAAATTTATCTGACGGCCACTTATTTCTTTCCACTGACCACTTTTTGCATCAAAAATACCTTAATAATGATTTTGCTTCTAAATTGTGATAAAAAAATATTTATTTTTCTTAGTTTAATAAAATGTTGTTAATATTATATTATAAGAAAATATATTTATTATTATTTTAGCGTATCATGTTTTAAGGAAAAATAATATTTTAAAAAAATGGAAGAAGAATACATAATAGGTTCGATTTCAGACTTGTTTTGCTCATAACCAATTTTAAATTTCTGTATCAGAATGAAATAGAATAACTAACTTTTAATAAATAAATCTTTTAATTAAACATAAAATATTATGGTAAGAATTTATGAAACTGCTGCTCTTAGCTTTATTTGTCTCTACTCTTTCATTGTTCATTCTTTCTTTCTTTCTTTAATTATTTTTCTATCTTATACATGTGATTTGCCTTTTTCAACTTTTATCTTTTCAGATAAATCTTACCATTCATTCATTGTCACGTTTTATCCTTTTTATTTTAATGGTTAACCTTTTTTTTTCTTTATGAAATATTGCTTTTGGGGGTTTATTTACTATTTTTGTCATTTTCCTTCTCGCTTTTAATGTCATTTGGTACTGGTAAACCAAAGAGAAATGCTGCCCCTGCCTTTTTATTCCCGTTTCATCTTTCAATCTTTTAGCTAAGAAACAAAATCAAACATCAGCATACTCTTTAAGGAGTTTTTTTACGTCTATAATTAAATCTACTTTATGACCTTAATAAAAAATAAAGTTAGCCGCATCTGACAGATGTTGAAACAAACTATCAATAAAAAAGGAATCAGAAAAAGCCATTAAAGAATATATCAAATGGTAATGAAAAAAAAATTCTTTCACTTTATTCATATTAAAAAAAATTTTGGATTGAATTTTATTGGGCTTAAATTTAGCCTATTTAAGGATTCTTTATAGGGAATTTATTACCATATAACATGTCAAACATTTAATTAAAAATAAAAAGAAGTTATTAAAAATAAACACTATGGATGCAGATGCATTTCGAGAATCAAAGGTTGTTGTTGTTGTTAATTTACGTCGCACTAGAGCTGCACAATGGGCTATTGGCGACTGTCTGGGAAACATCCCGGAGGATGATCCGAAGACATGCCATCACAATATTCATCCTCTGCGGGGGGGATGGCACCCCCGCTTCGGTAGCCCGACGACCTGCGCGCGAAGTCTAGCACTTTACGGTAGCACAGTTTAACGAGGACCAATACCGCACACCCTCGGTCCCTACGCAGACTGATCCAAGTGGTCACCCACCCGCACACTGACCGCAGCCAGTGATGCTTGACTTCGGTGATCTGCTGAGAACCGTGCCTTGACGATCAATCCACTGCGGGACGAGAATCAAAGGAATGGTGAGGATGGGCTGTCAAATGTCAAAAAGACGCGGAGGCAAGTAAGTGGCGAATGTTATTAATTTTTTGGTGGCCACTTAATTTTATTCAGTCGCCACGTGGGGATTGACCACTAATATTGTCCTTTATCTTAAACCAGAGGTCGCCAAAGTGGTCTATATAGACCCCCAGGGGTCTATCTAGCAAAAGCGGGGGTCGATCTGAGCCAGGGGGTCGAATGGGGGTCGATCCGAATCAGAAGGGTCGATTGGGGGTCGAAGAAAAAACTGTTCTTAATACGCAAATAACACATACCTAATTGAGTATGTAAAATTTGCGATTTTTTTTAATAATTGACTTAATATCAGTTTCTTTATAGAACATAAATTAATAAACGTATATTTATTCGGGTGAAACAAGTATTGTGGACATCAACCTGCCAGATGAGCTTGCTGAATTGTTATCGGATCTTGAAGCAAAGACGCTTTTTAAAAATTTAACAATAAGCAAATTTTGGACAAATATAAATATAATGCAAAAATATGTAAAACTTTACGAAATAGCTCAGACATTTATGCTAGCATTTCCAAGTTCCTATATGGTTGAAGCCGGTTTCAGTCACGTAAATTCAATCTTAACTAAGTACAGAAATAAATTAAGTGTGGAGTTTCGAGGGCATTTAAGATTAAAATTGATAAATTTTGAACCCAATATAGCGAACCTTGCGAAAAAACACCAGGCACACCCATCTCATTGATTAAGAAGCAATATATCTGTAGTTACTTTACTTATTATTTCTACTTACTTATAATTACTTATTATTTAATAAATATTAAGGTATTTAAATTTCAATATTAATATATTTTTCATAAAACTATTGTTCACAATGTACTATTACTTTAATAAATGTTCAAAATTATAAAGTAAATGTACAAACACAGTATCTAATAGAGTTTTTATTTTAATTAATAGAAAATTACTCTTATGGGGGTCGATGGAGATTACGAAAATTTATATAGGGGTCGATGATCGAAAAAGTTTGTCGACCCATACCTTAAACTATTCTTCAGTAAAGAAAACGGGAAAAAGATGGGGAAGGAGGGAAGTGATTGGATTTTCTATCAATTCACAATGAACTTTTTTCATGCTTTTTCGTAACAATATTTTTTAAAATTATTCTGAGGAAATTAAAAACTTTTCAACAGCCTTATTGTAGAATTCAAGGACTATCCCAGTCTTGATTTTTTCCAACAAAATTCAAAGTTTCTCAAGTACTGTGGGAACACTGCAGAACATACACATTCCAAAAGCAGTGTTGTTCCTCAAATACCATATGAGAAAATATTTATAGAAAAATTATGATAATGAGTTATTACTTTGGAATTCTTCAATAATAAATAACATTTTAATCGAAATAAACGCAAAATATATACAATATGCAGAAAAAAAATGTTTCAAAATGAAAATTTAGGGGTTTAATAAAAACTTACACAGCCAACTTTTTTTTTTAATTCTTTCTGAGAAGGGGTCGATTTTGCTAACGCTAATTATGATATTTGTAAAAGTGCCGGTTTTTTTGCCAAGATTTTTTTATTAAAGTACCCATTTTTCTGCAACGATGTATCGTTTTCGCCTGGTCAATTTTTGTGAGAGTACCTATAAGTAAGTTATAGTAAAATCCGATTGTATTGGACCCTGAAAAAGATACTAAACTTTTGTTTTCCTAAAATAATATTTTTTTTAAGAAAGAGTATTGGCAATCGAAATGGGCGGCAGGTGGCGTAGAGCAGAACTCTCTACCTATGGCAACACTTTTCATGCTTTCCCCATTAGCGTGTAAAGAGTCATAGAGGAAGGAAGTACGTTAGTTTCTCGCTTGATTTTCATTTAAATTAAAATCTTTTAAGTTGGAAAACTATATGGAACTGAAAACTACATTTAACATAGTTCTAAAGAAAAGCATCACGGAAATTAAAAAAAATATTTTTATTAAATAAGAGGGAAAAATATTAAGAAAAGGGAAAATATCGTAGCACATTCCTATACAACTGAAAAGAGGAGGAGAAGGAGGGGAGAAGGGCCAAAGGCATGAAACCGGTCTCTCCCCTGATGGCGTATTCGAGCGTTGCGATCGCCACTAAATACAGAACGTGTATATAGAAACATTTGCAGCTAATAACTAACTATTTGGTACTTCTAAAATATTTTTAAAACTGAATAATCCGTTCTACCCCTTTTTCCTTAGATTTTTCAACTGAAGATTTAACTATTTTGATGTAAAACAACTCATAAAGTAAATGAATCTCAATAAATTTTTCGTTATGAGAGTGTTCTTTAACCATTTCTCTGAAAATATGCAAAATTTCATATTGTTTAATTAAACAATTTTGGAGTTGTGAGAGTGAGATGTAAGCTCGGGCAAAAATTTGACGGCAGTATCTTTTTTTTAATGCAAGAGTGAAAAAAATATAACTGTTTTGATTTCTCAAAATATATTTGTATTTTTACGAATATGTGTGTTCACAGAAACATTTATATATTATTTTTAATATCACGTATTTTTAAATAGGTACTCGGTATTTACATTTTTTTCACGTCAAGGATTTCGAAACACGAAGTTGCTTTTAAAAAGTAGTAAGAATACTTTTTGAAAACGAAATTTTTAATTTTAGAATTGATTAATATAGTTTTAAATTAAGAAAGTCCAGTTAAAATATTAAAAATTTCGTTAAGCTACTTAAATTTGAAATGGATTTGACAGTACTAACCTGATTTGTTAATACCTTATAAAATTATTTACCTTTCCTATTGTTTCACAAAGTCGCCACTAGGTGAAAAACAGCGGGACTTTCGTAGCGGCTACCTAGGCATTTCCTTGTCCAAAAGGTTAATGACCGTTCGCTTTTATTTTTATTTTTTATTATTAAAATAGCTCTAGTTTGGCAACAATGCAAATTGAAAACAAGTATAAGTGACGTAATACCTGTTGGTGAAGTCTTGTTGATGCTTGATATTTTCTGTATTCCTCAGGAAATAAATTATCTCTGAGAAATAATTTTATAAATTTCTCACGAAAAGCTTGGAAATCTCGCCAGCCTTCTCTTTTTTTCAATCGAAAAAAAGGTTTGATTCAATTTTTGTTGCTAAAAATACCTGTTTTTACATGAATCATTTGAGAAAGTGATGTTAGAAAACGATCAATTTCATTAGAAGTAATTAATAGTTACTTACTGTAACGTAAATTATTTTTAGCTTAATCATTGCTAATTTTCAGTTGAATATTGACATCTGTATCACAAAATCTAGAAATTTGGTGAGATTTTCTAAGGAATATTAGCACTTTTCACTCTAATTGTACATCTAGAATCGCTTTATTTATTATTAGCTGTCTGTAAAAATAATTCAGTTTTAAATTTCTAACAATGAGTAATTAACGTATATATACCTGAAATTTATTTCGATTTCCGAAATTTTTCACCCTTACATTTTATAGTACATAGTTAGCAAGCACTAAGAATGAAGATAGAGTGGTTAGATTTGCTGTTCCTTAAATGCAACATGAAGTAAAATAAATAAGGACAAATAAAATAATTAGAAAACATAATCTTCCTACTTTATAAAAACATCATTTGGTATTGATGGTTATAAATAAAATGTTATTAGGGCAGATAACATTGTAGCAGTGTCCTAAACATAAGTAAGCTTATTTAAATGTTATAAGCACAAATTAAAATAGTAAGAAAACAATAAATTGTTCTATTCACAGATTTTAAATTTCATGGTATTTTTGAAATTATTGAATATTTTGTTCTTCATCTGATATTTTCAAGGAATTAACCTCACTGTTGATAAATATTTTATGATATAATCTAAACGTAAGAACATAAAACAGTCCATCTTTTGTATGTTTATAATATAATTTATTTACTTTTTCATTTAACAAAAGTTATATCAAATAAAATATTAGCAAACAAAATAAAGTTTTCACACATTAAATATATTTTTTGTATTTAATATGCAAAATATAAGCTTAATCTGAAATGTTTTGTTTAACTGAAAATTTCAAAATATTATAACATTTTCGTTTGTTAAAGTATTTAATTATAAAAAAATTGTTTTTCTGCTTTTTAGTGCCCAACCCATTGCACAGCTTGTATTGAACTGTTTTTTTACTATTAGAAAATATTTTGTTCCAGTACAGCTGTCAAAAATAAAGTTGTGAATAATTGACTATATTTTGTTTTTTAGCAGACTGATGGTCTGACTTTATAATTCAATATTAAAATTCATCTTCAAACATATATTACTTTTTTTTATGGGGTTAAGGTAAGGTGGATAGAAGCATGTAGAATTCATAATGGAAACAGTAAGTTCAAATGGAGATAATTTGAACAAATTCTTTAAACTAATTATCTACAGAAGTAAAAAAAAATTTTAACTGAAAAATTTATGCCTATTTAAGCTACATCATGATATTTATTTTAAAAATATATGAGATCTGATTCATGATATATATTTGTTCATATAGATGAACAAGTCCTGATTTTAACTAGACTTTTTATGTTTTATTTATTGAAAATAATTGTCCTCATAATTATTTCTAACATTGATTATAGCCTTAGTGCAGAATTTAGATACATAAAGATGTGAGGGCATAATATTTTCAAGACGAGAATATTTCTTAGAGCATGATAATATTCTTCTGAGATTGAAATTTAAAAATTAATCAAGAATATTGGTTTTCCTTATCGATAAAATTTTTTTTTACCACACTTCTATCTGAAATGCAGTTCATTATTTTCAAACAGATAAATTATATTTGGAATAGAAATTTTTGCTTAAAGTTATAAAACTTGTGTATCGAAAAGTATTTTTATGAAAAATAAAATTGTTTACATGAATGCATTATTATTTTTATTTATTTATTCTTTTGCACCACACCTGTTATGTTTTTCTTTTCTTTATGTTCTTATTTGTTCCTTCCCTTTTGTGGTGTAGAGGTCTTTCTGTAACTCTGGCCATTGGAAATATACATATATATATATATATATAAAAAATTATTATTTTTTGTTATATAATGTAATAATGATCATTCTTTACAATTAAAAAAAACCTTTGTTTCCTATGAAAAATATGACTCATTTGATGCTGATTTCACTTTGGATATTACTAATTTAAGTAATTTGAATATGGTATTATAGACCTAAAAATTTAGATTAAGTAGCCAGTGGCAGATAGGCTCTAATTACTCAGTAATCACTCTTTCCTCAAACTTAATGAGTCAGTGACTTACTTAATGAACTTAATGAGTCAGAGATATGGATAGGTCCTTTTCATTTAATAGCCACCTTTTGCTAACTTTTTTTTTTGCTTAGATTAGGAGTGCACCACCTTTTTGAGTGAAGGGCCACTTGCACAGCAAGTCAACTAACGAAGGGCTGCACATGTATTTAGACATGTTGACGGCAAATCTAGAAATATTTATTTAAACATTAGTGTTTTAATTTTTTTTATCAGGAAAATTAAAAGCATTCGATCATTAGAATTCATTTAAAAATAAACAAACTAATACTTTAAAAAAGAAAAAATTCAATTTTTATCTTATCAAAAACAGATTTATCTAAATAAATAAATAAGCATTGGAGAAAATAATTGTTTTGTTTTTTTATCATATCACACAATACAAAAACTCATTTAAAAAAAAAATCTAATGAAAAAAAAACCGCAATGCTCAGATTGAAAACAGGAAAAAAATTTAGTTCATATTAAGTAATATAAATTCAAATTCAATATTTTAATTGAAGAAAATTTATAAGGTTTAAAAGAAGCTTAACATAAAAACAAAACTGTTATAGTTCAAAATATAATTCAATACTTATTTGGTAATTTACTTTATTATTATTTTTTATTATTAGATTTTTTTAGTATAAATGTTTTTTTTCTTCTCTTTTACCAAAAAAGGCCACTTAAATATATAAATTATAAAAAGTGAGCAGTATAATAAGTCAAGTTTTCCTCTACTTAGCGAATTTCTCAGGTTGCAATAACATTGCATTTAAATTAGGGATGTAACCAGTATTTGGCCCTCTTGTCAAAAATTCAGTTGTAAAATTATCGGCTAAATATTCAGCCAGATATTTTTTAGAAAAGTATTTTTTAAAATTTTTTTTAAAATTTTTTTTATGTATGATAAATAATAACATAAAATCGTATTTTTAACTATATTTTAGTTTTGTTTATTATAAGAAAAAGTTTTTACACAAATTTTAAAATCCATGTTTCTGCTCATGGCTTGCAAATTTATCTTCTAGAAGGCAAATGGAAAAAGGAAATTTGAAGAATTGAAACTAGATTGCTTTATACTGAACCACAAGTATTTGCACTTCAGATTTTTTAAAATTTTTTTAAAAATTATATTTAGACAAGTAAATATCTTAATTTTTTTCGATACTTTTAGTTCTAAGAATTGAGAAAGATTTTTTTCATTTTTGCTGTTTTTATTATAACTATTAGTTTATATTCACTTTTTCCCTGTACTGAAATATAGATAACCAGTAACAATAGAAAACTGCGATTTTAAGAGTTAAAGTTTTGTTTTAGAAACCAAGAACAATTTGTTTTTTCTGTTTTTCTTTTAATTAACTTTTCTTTTTATAGGCATTTTTATTATGACACAGCTTTTTTTTTTTTAATGAAAGTTACTAATAAACTTTATTTTAAAGTATTTTTTTTTCTTCTGAAAATATAACGCTGTGAAAAATTTAAATTGAGATTTTCAGCATAAGATTTTCATTAAAAAAAAATTAAGAACATTTTTTTTTTATCTAGCCTTTTTCTTTATTTAAAAAAAAAAAAAACTTTTGTCTACGTTTTTATTATAATAATGCAATTTTTTTTAAGAGCATTTCTGTTACTTTTTCTGGTAATTGGAAAACTGAGATGTTCAGCTTTAAAATTCTCTCTCGAAAATTAAGATCGAGTTTTAAAATTCTGTTTTCTAGCGTCTTTCTGCATTGATGTACTTTAAACATAAAATGTTCTTCAAAACAGGGGGGGAGGGGTAGAAAGAACTAACTGATTGCATATTTAGTTTTAGGTCACCCCTTTTTTTGTTGACTCGCCATGTGGTGAGTGATTATTTTTATTTGTATGTTATTACTAATTTTAAGACTGAATCATCATTCATTGATAAGTTATGTATATTAATAAAAGAAAAGATATTAAGAAATAAAATTTTTTGTAGGTACTTCTCATGGCGAGAATTAATCCTCGAGCCAAAAATATACCATCTAAGAATGAATTGGTTGTTTCTAATGAAGAGAACTCTCCTTTATTAAATGCATTCACTAGAGCCTTGAGCAGTGCATTAGACGAATCTTCAGAGCGTCTAATTAGGGCCAGTAGACCTAGGAAAAACAAAACTTGGAAATATCAAAAAGCGAAAAATGAAAAAGTGAAAAAAAGTAATTGTGTTTCAAAATCCATCAAATCTAGTGCCAAGAGTGATTCTGATTCCAGTTTGGACAATTGGATTGATCATCAAATGGATGTTAGTCGAAAAGTGTTCAGCCATTGCACTGATTCTGATGAATTTAATAAGTCTTTCCCCAATTTTCCTGAATGGAGAACTTGTTTAAGTATTGGTGAATCTGATTCTATTACAGAGAGTGCCCATCGTACTCGCATACCTAGAAGAAAACGTAAATTTAAACGAATGGCTATCGATTCTCCTGCCAAAAATACATTCATACCGATCTCTCGTAGTGATGTGCTGTCTCCTAAAAGTAAACGAAATCGTAATCCAAAATTGCAAAAAAACTTAAAAGTTCAAGTTAAAGGCAACAATGTCTCTAAGCTGCCTTGTCCACGAATAGCTTCAAAGATGAAAAGAGTGTGCCCAAATGTATCCCGTGAAAGCAGTGCTTATGGAAAGCGAAAACGCAAAGTAAAGAAATTTGAATGTAATTTTTACAATCCAAACCTGCACCCTCTTACTTGGGAATCTGCTGATTTTGTAATAGATAGTTCTGAGTAAGTAAATTTTATATATATGAAGTTTCATTTTTTTATGCATTTTAAGACCTTTTTTTATATATTTCTGGTGAATTGTAAAACTATAAAAAGGCTAATTTAAAATTTATTATATGTTTCTAGTAGTCTTAGTATATATAGTACAAAAACATTTGCAATATTAATGCAGTCGAACCTCACTAACGTGAAATTGCCGGGACTATCATAATTATTTCATGTTAACTGAATTTTGTTTTATCTGATTCTTTTTATCTCTATTATTAATTCATGTTATGTACTGCATTAATGTATGCAAATAATACCATTATGAACGAAACAAATAAAAATGAGCTTAAAAGTTTTAACTACATTATTAAACTATTTTATTTTTACTATTTTATATATTTGCCCATCTGCTACTTTTAACAAAGGAAAAAAAATAGAAATAGGATTTCTCAAAATGAATGATTGGTATTTTTACTTATGTTTATAAATTTGTGTAGTTTTTTTTTTTCAAAATATTTAAAATTTATCAAAATATTACTAGAAGAATAATTTTTCCCTCATTTGTGTTTCCAGAGATTGCCTAGCTTCAAGACACAGTAGTAGTGAAAGTGAATGTGAACTGTCTACTAATGATGAAAGTAGAGAAGGTAAATTTCGTTGATGAATTATTTCCATTCTTTTTTTAAAATGATTTTTTAAAAAAAATAATCATGGCCTATTTTTTGCTAAAAACAGTTATTCATAAGTGATAAGTAAGTAAGGCTAAATTTTATACTCTTTAAAAATGTCTAGCTATAATTTTTTCAATTTTTGAGATTTTGACTCCCCTATGGAGTCTGTTGGTGATCATGATCATGGGTTAAAATCTCTTTGCCTTACTTGGAGTTTTTCATGGTTTTCCTTTCCTTGTTACCAAATCCTGGGTTAATTCCATCAAAAAGTCTTCCACAAAGGCTATTTTATCCCTATGCTTGTTCCAGGAGTTACATTGTCTTCTGGGTTGGCTTCAAAATTACTAGGCCTTCTAAGTTGAACATTTGTTGTCGGAAACTCAGAATTGGGTCGACTGTTCAATGTCCATTACAAAGTAAAATTAACTTAAATTTTTTGAGTTTTAACGAAATTAATTTGTATTAATTGTTCTGAAACATTTTCTACGTTTAAGATGAAGTGTTAGCAAATTATTTTTAGGAGAATGTTTAATGTTTTGATTTTCAAATTTTTTTTCTTTTTCTAAGAAAATTATGTAAGTTGAAATCTACATTAATGCTCAAAATCACCTGGTTAAGGGTATAATCTAGAATTTTTTTTTTTAAAGCAGGTCAAAATTAATCTGAAGCTCTTTTCAATAATCCCATGCACCCATTACTGTGCTGCATGGTTTCTGTCACTGAGTTAACAATTTACTAAATTTCTGAGGATAAAAAGTACATTGTAAAATATTAAAGGAGTTTAAAAATTGTGATCTTGATTTTTTGTTCTTTTTTTTTTGTGGTGTTTTTTAAAGGATGGCCCACTCCTAAATAAAAACGTCATATTTTAAAAGAATGAAATACAGCTTCTAATTGAAAATACTTTGAATAAATAAACTTCATTTGATCAACAAACAAAACTGTTTTATTTCCAGTTTCTATACACCTATAAGGAAATCAGTGCAAAGTATTATGTTTAGTCCATTTAGAGTCAGAATTTCCTTTATTTATGTTTTAAATTATAAGCCTCTATCTGGTTGTTAAATTAGTGGATGTTTTTTAATTTATTAAAAATACATAATTTGTTATTATATAGAATTATTATTTATTTAAAAGCTGATGATGAGCAAAGTGACTTTTTTTGTGAAACTGGAGCATCACACAATGTACTTAAATCAGAAGAGGAATGTGATGATGATGATGAAGATGAGGATAGTGATGATGAAACAGGCTTACTATGCCACCTTCTAGAAGTGAGATTTGATTACATCCCTGCATTCCGATCTATGCATCAAAGAAGTCGGAAAAAAATGTATGAAGCATTAAAGGTAAGTTCTTTTTTCTTCAGTTTAAATTTTTCTTGGTGTGTTTATTTAATGAAAATGTTAATATATTTTGCTAAAATTATTATTTTTTTAAAATATAATTGTTTGCAAAACATTAAACTCATTATAATTCGAAAGAAATCTGTAAGTAGTTCTCTTATTTATATATTATCTAAATTCAAGTAAAATTATAAAATTAAAAATCATATTAATTGGAGTTATACTTGAGTTGAGGTTCTACTTATGCTCAGGAGTGAAAGTTTTCAGAGTTTTGACAGATTTCCGACTTTTGAAAAAATATTTAAAACAGATTGATGTAAAAGTTAATCAATAATAACAAGACCATTACTCTAGCTTTAATTATGCCAGTAAATTCTGTTACATGTGATACATTCTATTAAGTTATGTGCTACAATTTTTTCAGTTTCCAGAGTTTTTGCTCAACAGAGGTTTTACTGTATCTCTTTTTTTGACTCCTAGTGTATTGATTCTAATAACTTTATTTTGGACAAAAATCATAAAAAACATGTGTTTTGTGTGCTAATACTAGATCACTATCACACTATATAATAAAAATTAGATTAATTGTGTGTTATGTGTTACTTGAATAAACAAAATTGTTAACTATTATTATGACAATTTAGAAAAAAGTTGAAGAAAATGGAGGAAATGTAGAAGCTAATCAGAAGAGACTTTTGAAAGCAGTAAGTATTATGGGAATTGATTTATATTAACTCATATAAATATTAATTGTTGCCTATAGTAATTTTTTTTCTGTTGAATATTTTACTAGTTCAAGTTATATAAATCATCCTGTGGGACTACACAATTTTTTGTCATGTATTTGTGTTTAATGTAATATAATAAAATATGGCTCTTCTTGCTGTATTTCTTTAAAATTTATAACCCTTATAAGAGATCAATTATTTAAAATAGTAATAATGGTTGGCCAGTAGACCAATAACTTTATATTGGTTTATTAATGCATATTGAAATAATTTTTTTCATAGCTTATGAAACTTTACTATGACTACTTTTATTCTAAATATCAGCCTTATCTTAATTATTTTTTGATCATTTTGGTTATATTTCCTCTGTTGCTTTTGGTCATTTAAATCTGTCATTTAAAGTGTTAAATCTTACCTGTTGCGAGGCCATGACCAAAACTGTACTCTGATGTCTTCATAATTACTGTACTTGACATAATTTTATCAACTAAAATTAATTGTGAATTTTATCTCTGATGTTTGAAAACAATATCATATAAGGTAATCATTTATTATAAATAAGTTTTAGTTCTGACTACATTTCTGTAGGATTTGGACCACGCATGTATTGCTTGGCAGGTTAAAGTCTACAAAACTCCAATCCTGTTTTAAGTTCCTTAGAAGTGCGACATACATTAATCCACTCGAAAGAGGCATAATGAATTAAGTTATATCAGTATGAGACCATATAGACTTTTGTATTTGGTTTCTGGGGCTAAAAGAAAATATGCTTATGTGTCAAAACCCTATTTTCAATAGCAAAGTTAAAAGTTAACATTTATTGTATTCAACCTATGTCCAAATTATGCTTTAACAAAAAAAGCTTACAAGTAAAAAATAATGAGTTAGTTTCTGTATTAAAAATATAATATTCTATATAAATTTATTAAATTGAACAGTATTATTTTGACTATTACAATCAGTACTTAAAAGTGAATCTTTCATCTCTTCAAAAACTATTATATAAATGCTTGAAATAATTTATAAAGCTTTTTTTTACCAAAAATTTCTTTCTTTATAAAATTGTTGTATTAATGCTCGAAAAATTTTACATTGACTGTCCTTTTTTTTAAAGATACATACATATATATATATATATATATATATATACAGTCAAACCCCGCTATAGTGAACCTTCAAGGGACCGAAATTTTGGTTCACTATAACCGTGAGTTCACTATATCCGCTATGCGGGCAATTTAACTAATGGCTCCCAAATTCCTCCCTTTTATTACACTTCAATCAAATAAATGACTGAAAAATATTATGTAGTAGCAAAAATTTGTTATTTTTTATTACTCTTCGTCCTGCGTACAAAAAAAAAGAAGAAAAATTAGTAATCTTTAGCTGTTGAGCAGTCCTCAACATCAGATATGGAAACATTTCCCGACTCAGAGATAATTTTTCCTGAATTTCTGTTAATCCACTTTTTAAACTTGTCTAACCTGCCATTCGAGAACATAAAAGTAATCTCGTAAAATCGCTTAGCAAATTCATTGACATTTGTCCAGATACTGGAAGATTGCGGCTTCTTTGAATGCTGAACCACTTCAGTAATGCTTCTTCAATACCCTTGTGATCTGCTTTTCTCAACTTTTTTTTGCCATCTAAATTTTTTTCATGAGTAGAAATTGTTAATTGCCTATTTTTCCATATGTTACGAACTGTAGGTTTGGATAGTTTATATTCCCTGCAAATATCTGCTNTGATCTGCTTTTCTCAACTTTTTTCTGCTATTTAAATTTTTTTCATGAGCAGAAATTGTTAATTGCCTATTTTTCCATATGTTACGAACTGTAGATTTGGATAGTTTATATTCCCTGCAAATATCTGCTTGATTACATCCATTTTCAATTTTTCTGATAATGCCCATTTTATCATCAATGGAGAACATTTTACGTTAACTGCTCTCCATAGTTAAATTTGAGACACTTGTTTGCAGGCTTTTTTTAACTGAACTGAGAGCAAAAAGGAGTTGAAATGAGGGCCTTATCAACACATATTAGTGTCCAACNGCGCTGATATTTCGGTAATTTCATGGAATTAGGCTTAACATCAAAAAACCCTCCGGCCCTGGGGAGACACACGCTAGAGAGACTGCCGGCCTCAGCGGTAAGCGCGCTTTGCGTCGCGAAAGGGTTAACTTTTGCTTTGATAAAAGAGTGTGTACTAAAAGGGAGCAGTACAGAGCTTCTGGTTATAGTGAACCGAAATTTCTTGAAGGTTCACTATAGCAGGGTTTGACTGTATATATATATCTTTCGCCAGTTTTTAATTTAACAATTAAATTTTGAGCTAACAATAGCATATGACAACTGTTATTTGAGAAAGTTATATTTAAACCTTTATTGATTTGCTTGGACTAGTTGAAATTCCTGTAATAAATACTATAACTCTTATATTACAATCTGATAATGGTGTTTCTCGGAAATGATTTGTTTCAACTTACTTATGAAGCGGACAACACCAACAATTTCAGTGGTGGTTAGAAAGAGCATTTTGCGCACACTTATTAAACTTGTTTTCTTATACAACTTCATACAAAAGATAATTTTCAGCAATTATTTCAACATTTTCACTATTTTGTTAAATAATGGTAGGAAATGTCTTAAACAAGTATAAAAATTCTTTCATCATGTTAATATTTTTATATTTTATGTTGTATGTAATTTTTAATTCAAAATTAGCAAATTAGTTGTCTTGTTTTCCAATTAATAACAATTAAAATTATAATGTATTACAATTTTAAATAGATTTTTTTAATGTAGTGATCATTTTTAAATTGTTATATGTTGTGACTACTTAAGTAGGATTTTAAAAACACTACATTTTAATAATAGTAATAATGACTTTTGTTTATATTGTTGTTCTTTAAACATAACTGAAAAAAATCAGCTAATTTATTTTAAATATTAGGTATTACCAATATGATTCAGTTTTTCAATGTAATTTAGTGATTATATATTACTATTTTAGTATCAATCATTTTCATATCTGACTGAAGAGGATTTACTAGCTGATGTGATATTCCAAAATAATCATGTAAGTAATTTTTATCTAATTTTTAATAACTTAGTAAACTACACATTTTGTGTTTTTTTAAATAGTAAGCTCTTATTATATATATATGATATATAATTAGAAAATTTTAGTTACACTTAAGTTTTTCTCCATTTTAATTTTATGTTCTATCCTATGTTTAAAATCTACAATTTTAAATATTATTTGAAATACTATGGTTCCTACTAAACTCTGCTTTGATCTTTTTCAAATTTGATTAGTTTAGTGCTAAACTAGGCTCTTAGGTAAATTATGCTATTGATTTTTCTTTTGAAATTTTTGTTTGTTGTATATATTTTGTTTTTATTTCAAGAAATATAAAAATTGATTTTCTATAAAAATGTTATTTATTATTGAAGAGTTCTCAAATAATTATTCATCAACATTTTTCTGCAAATACTTTCTCATATGGAAATTTGAGAATTAACACTGTTGTATGTTCTTCAGACTTATCACAGTACTTGAAAAACCTTGAATTTTGTTGGGGGAGAAATCAGGTCCATGAATAGTCCTTGAATTCTGCAATAGGGTTCTTGAAAAGTTTTTGATTTTCTCAGAATAATTTTTAACTAAAAATATCTTTCCTGAAAAAGTATGAAAAAAATTTCGAGTGGAAATCAAATTCCAATTACTTCCCTCCTTCTCATCTTTTTTTCATTTTCTTTACTGAAGAATAGTTTATGGTCAAGTGGAAATCCAGGAGTTCAATCTAAATTTAAAAAAAGACCCTTTTTCTTTTTTACCCCTCTCCTGTGATTCGATAACAAAATACAAGTAATTTGTAGAGAAAGTAATCATGAACAGAAAATACAGTCAAGCTTTGTTTACGTCGACTCGAAAGGAGACAGAAAATTTGTTCACATTAAAAGTAGTTCACATTATCTGTTCAGAAATGTTTTTTGATGAAAATCGTACAATACAGATACATTTTCCATTATCTATATCTTACCTATTTGTGCTTTCTAACCATAAATTTATATTTTATAAATATCTAAATTAATGTATATTTTCTTTTAATAAATTTTTTTATTTTGTGCTTTATATTAAATTAATAACTTTTATACATCTCATAATAAATGCAACCAATCACTTTAAGAAATAAAATTAAGTTAGGGGAGAAAAAATATTCAGAAATAGCTCGCTGTTTTAGTTTCTTATTCACACAAGCTATCTAAAAGTGTTTTTAACGTATCAATTGTGTCCAAAAAATTATTTGAATTTTCATTTTGCATGACAAAAGAACAAATAGTTTTAATCGCTTTCTAAACGTTCATCAGTGGACAGTAAACTAATGAAATGTAAGAAAAAGTTTTGCTCCACACATCTTCACCTATAAAAATGCAATTCAGCAATATAAATTTTTTAGAGCAACCTATGAGAGTGTGGTTGAAATTATTACCCATTTTGATCAATGGATCAATATGGGTGTCATTTCTCCAGAAAACATGCTTCACGTGCTCACAGATGAAGTGAAAGAAAACTCTTTTCATATTAGGGTGCAAAAGGTTGTTGTAAATAAAGTCGTATGTTGTTTCCTATAACGAATTGAAGATTGCATTAAAGTGATTTTCAAATCATTCATCGGGATTTGTATTTGGTGTTGTATAAATCACACATCATGATTCACATTAAAAGGATTTCTGAATTCATACAGCATGATATACATTTAAGTGATTTCCAAATCATGCTTCATAATTCTCATTTTTGTGATTTACAAGTAATAAAAGGATTTAAGAACTACCATTCAGGATTCTGATTAAAATGATTTATGACTTACGCATACCGACTCTAATTCAATTATTTCTTAAATCACAAATCGCGATTTGTATTTAACCAAATGATGCAGTGCTATTCGTTTAAAAATAATTTAGTGAATCGCGCATCATGATTTGCATTAAATTGATTTAGTGAAACACGCAACATGATTTGCAAGAAAGTGATTTATGTATCAAGCTTTGCGCTTTAAGTCTTGTTAATGTGTGTGTTTTTCAAAATGTATAATTTCCTATTTATATTATCCCAATTTATGAAACATACATTGCAATTCAATTTTAATTTGCAAGTCACACATTGTGGTATCTAACTTACACGATCATAGAGTCTTACTTCGTGTTTTATAATTTTCATTTACATTTACCATATCAGGATTCCAATACACGTGCTTAAACAATTATGCATACTGAATCATATTCCTGAAATTTCAAAAAACTTGCTTCATGATTCCGTATCAATTTTAAAGAAAGTAAAGTTTGTTAAGTCTTAGATTGTTATCTGATAAATCTTGTACTACAATGGATCTTGTGTTCAAAATAAAATACATTACTGATATGAGGTAAAAATGCATTAATAAAATTGAAACAGATATACTAAATGGATATATTTTGATATTTTATCTAATTATGTATATTTTCAATTACTTGAAATTTGATTCGACAACATTAAAAAAAGGAGTTCTTATTTTAATAACCTTACAATTACATAATCAATTATATCAAATTTTTTATTATAATGCTTGTGTAATGTAATATTGCGCAATTAATTCTAATCTGCTTCATTAAATTCTTCCTGAAAATTATTTTTGATGCTAGTTTTTAAAAGTTGGCAGGTATGCTAATGTGAATTTTGATGGTCTTCAAACTGATTTGAAGCAGCAATATAACCATCAAACCATTTGCATTGGTAGGTGGTGGCTACACATATTAAAAATGCTACAACTATTGAACAATGTGAAATTGATAAATTTAATATTACATTTTTTTATCAAATAACCATTGTTCTTTCAAAATATTCAATTTGTGCTACTAAGTAATTACAAATTCTGGTTAATATACATTTCAGCATACTAATTGTGTTACTGACTAGGTTCTTGATTTTGTGTTCTTAAAAAACCTTGATTTTTTTGTTGAAAATTGAGAGTACTAACTCTAAAATATCATTAAAACAAAATCAATTTGCAAAACAATATATTACATTAAACTATACACTTAATATTGTAAATTCTTTATGTTTCTAGAAAATATAGGATTTAATGTTGGAGCAAAAAGTGCTAAAAACTCAAAATGTGCTTGATATTAAAAGTTAGAATGTTATTTTATTTATTTATTTTTTGATTACCTAATTAACTTTTTTCTCGTTAAGTGCTGATATCAGTTATTCAATTAACCACAAAAATAAAGTAATGCACTGTTTAATGATTGATGATAAATTCATAAATTTCTTTTTGAGCAAATATTTCTAAAAAAATTTTTTTGTCTTGCATGAATAATTTGCTTTTTTGAGACTACAAACATTTGCACATAGTTTTGGTTATTTGGAAAAGATTATAAACATTCCAAAAGGGCTTTAAATACTTAAATGCTTTTTGTAATATTGTTTCTAAAACTTGCCAGACTTTATTTTTTTAATGTATACTGTATTTTGCAAACTATATTTTCTTAAAACCAAGTTGGAAAAATTTTAGTTTTTTTTTTAATTCAAAAATGATATAGTGATATCAGATATTTTATTAACTTCATCTAGCATTTTATTTAGTTAAGTTCTTCAATGTTGTTATGAGTCTATAACTATTCAATAAAAGTTTATTAATATTTTTCACATATTTTTTCTCCATTATTATTATGTTTATTCTTTGTGTTTGGATGATTTTAAATTTAAAATGTTTTATTATTTATCTTTTATTTAGTCCTCCAATGTGAAATAAGAACTAGTGTAATGCATCACTGTCTTAGCCCTGTGAAGTTTATAGAAGTGGATGTTATTCTTATTTTTGTCCCTTAAGGAGAGTCAACTGTTACTTTTGGGTCAATATTATTATTCTACGTGTCTTGATGACCAGTTTCAGACCAAGTTTAAGAAATTCTCAATCTACGTAATGAATTACTGATCTTCTATAACTTTCTTCACTTCTCTCTTGTTATAATACATATTTTGATACAGATGTTAGTTCAAACTTTCAGTAAGTAAATTTTTTTCAAAACATTTCTTCAGTAATACATTTCGATTTCAAAAGTTAAATTTTCTGAATTTAGAAATAACCCTGGTTTAAAATATTCTGAAAGACTAGAGGATTTAAATCACACAAGAATACTGTGGAACTCAATTCAGTACTTTTTCTTAAAAAAAAAAAATAATAATAAATAAATGAAAACATCTTAAATTTTAACATAGACTGAATATGAACAGCTGACTCCCTTTAAGTCTTGTCAGATTTCTTATTAAAACTGAAACTACACTTTTTGATACTAATTTTTGTATAAAGCTATTTTTTTATTTATATATAAATGTTTATTATGTGATAATAAAGTTTTCTCAGGAGCTAAATTCCTGATTAATATATAAACTGTTAAAAAAGAGTGTTACGAAGTATGGTACTTTTTTTTATGTGAGTAAAGTTTTCAGTTACATTCTTGGCTGATATATTAAGTAAGTTCTAAACTTATGAATGATATTGAGGATAAATAAAAATTTTATGGCTCTTAAGATTTTGTGTTCATGAAGGTACTTAGTCATTCTTTCTAGTTGTCCTAATTTTGTTAAATAATTTAGATTTTTTGTAAGTTAAAAATTATAAGACTAAAATATATCATGCTTAATATTTAAAAAACTAGTAATTTTGTATTATATTTCCCAGCTGCTAAAATTCTGATTAATATAAAAACTGTAAAAAGAATGTTAAGCAGTAAGATTCTTTTTCTTCTTTTTTTAAAATGTGAATGAAGTTTTCAGTTTTACAAGTTCTTGACTTATCAATGATATTGTGGATAAATATTATTTTTGTCACTCTTAAGATTTTGTGCTCATGAAGGTACTCAATCTTTTCAGTTGTCATATTATTGTTAAATAATAGTGCATAGTTGTATGTTGAAAAGTATAAGACCAAAAAATATTATGCTATATACCAAAAAGGTAGTAATTTTATATTGTATTATAAAATTAATAATTGACAAGTATTCTGTTAACCATAATTTCAAAATCAACTTTCATTTTTACTGAAAACAGTCATTTATTGAATTATTATGTTAAAATAAGGTGTCTGAAACAAATTCATGCTCATTAAACTATGATTTGTGTTCTTATTCAAAATGAGTAAATCAGATCAAAGCTTAACCCCATCCTGCCCCCATCAGTGGGTATCCGGAGAATACTGTAGACTCTAAGTACATGCACGTGACCTCTCAGTAAAAAAAAAAAAAAAAAANGAGGATTCAAAAAAGTAGGCTTGGTGGAGATCCATGGCAACATCAGAAGGCCTCTAGGAATTTAGTGAAATCTTGAAATTAACAACAGTAGTTACTCAGAAAATAGAATTTAGGAGTTTGAGTGTTCAAACATAATAGGCAAGACATCAGAAAAAAGGTAACAAACATATTGTGATGATGAAAAGTACCAGAATTTGTCCAAAGCCCATGAAAACAGATACAATTTCAGAACGAAGAGTTACAGCAAATGAGTACATCAGATGAAGTTTGTAATAATTTATTCAGAGAAAATATTTATTTGAGCATTTAGTGAAGTAATTTTGTTTCTCAATGTTGTTTCGCTATATGCTTACTAGAGATTTTATGCTTACTGGAGATTTGCTTACTTGAGCCTACTTGGCAGATTTCAATTACTCACAGCAGACAAACCAAATTCACTACTCGGTATCGGGTATCTTTATCCGGTTTTTAGTATCAAGACCTGGTACCTGGATTAGGCTAAATTTACTGTGTATTCAGCGTGGGATAACATTAATTTATGTTCAATACAACCACATTCAGATTTATAATACCTTAAAACTATTACGAATAACTAACTTATTCAGTACCTTAAAATCATTTATGAAAATAATAATCATTGTTTCAAAAATCCGTGTATAGTAAACTTCAGATTATCCGCGAAATTGGGTGGCCCACAAAGCGTAGATAAGCAAATTTGCGGATAATCTTCAATACGCTTAAAAAAGACAGCCATCGACGTTTTTTTTTTTAAAAAAATATAAATGATAAATTTCATTATACATTATTAGCAGTTTCCTTATGCAAATTTTTTATTTCTATATGAAAAAGCCTGATATGCTATTGAAAAAAGAACACAATGCTCAAAACACATGAGTTAGGCTTTTCTCTTAAGCTAGTTCTTACAGCATATACATGATTTTTAGAAACTTTTATTAGTAACAAAACTAAAAATAAACGACTAGCTACAATTCTGAAATCATGCATATGGCCCATAAATTATTCAATGCCTTGCTTCATTCTTTTTTTTTTTTTCGGGATATAAGTGTTGTGTGGAGACCATCCTTATTTGTTAGCTATGGATTTTCTAACTGATAAGAATTCTAAGAATGTCTTACATGTTGACTAAATAAATGACTGAGGATAATTCATTCTCATTCATAATATGAAGGCAAGATTGGAAAAACTAAATTTTGTTACTTGCTATTTATATCATTGCTTTAAATAACAATACGATCCAGGAGAAGAAACTGCTTTGATTGGGTGTGGAATCTATTTATTGAAATTTGAACTTCATTCTCTATTTATAGTTAGACAGCTGTAAATCATAACTCCTGTCGTTTTGCTCTTTATGAATGCCTCACCAGTTATTACCCTTTCAATTCTCCTTCTAACTTAGGTATAGCACTTGATGCTGCATTGTTTATATGTAGACCCATTATTTGATTAATTGTGAACTCCTGGGCTACTAACTTGAATGTTTGCTGGTTTGTTGTTCTCAAAACTCTTAAAAAGTTCCATCTCTATGAATTTATTTTTAATTCTAAATGCTATATTATTTATCATTGCAAAAAAAAAAAAAAAATTGAAGCGTGGATGATCCACCCGCAGATAATCGGGAGTTTACTGTATTTCTACAGTTTCTTAATAATCAAGCTGGTTTAGGCACGATATGTTTTATTTTAGTGCAAAACTTTTATTCAGGAATACCTTAGTAAAAAGGACACCTTTGCAGCAGAGAAATATAAACTCACTTAAGAGAGAAGCCTACTTCAGAAAAGGACGTACAAGTTCAAAAATTTAATGCTGAAAATCATTTTAATCAAATTAATATGATAATAAATAAATACTAAGTTAGAAATAATGAATAAGATTGATGTTTATTTAAATTTAATAAAAGCATAATGATTGAAATCCAAAGATAACTATTGAAAAATTGGATGTATTTGTATTATTCTCATACTAAATTTGCTTTCAATGTATGCAATTATTGAGATTGTATAAGCAATTATATGTTTTTAATATTTGAGTTTGTATGCGTAGTATTTTATATAAGTTATAATAGACAACATTGCAAACAGAACATAAATATATTCTTACAAATAACACAGTAATTAATCTAATGCTATGACTAATTTAAATATCATTGGAGATAATATCCATTGTAAACAAGACCACATCTTATAGCTGATAAAATATTTTTAACATAAATTGATAAATTAATTTAATAAAGTAAAAAAAAATTTTTTTATTTATTTGTAAACTACTAAAAATAAAACTCATTTTGGATACATTTTATTACATTTTTAGCATAAGTTGATTTACATTTCCTATTAAGGCATAGAGGAGGAAGCATACACAAGTAAAATTGGCCATTGGTAACTGTAATCTAAATTTTAGTTAGAAAACATATAGTGAAGCAAAAACACAACATGAAAGCACTGAAATTGCTTTATTCATGCAAATTAGTTCCTTGTTTTTTTTAATTTTTTTTAATCTGTCTCTATCTCTTAGGTGTTCAAAGTTACAAGGATACAGAGATAGATCAGCAAACTACTGTATAAAACTTTTGTTCAATGTTAGTTATAATATCCTACGTTTAACAGAAAATACTGAAATTTTTAATACTATTTATTAATGGAAGTCAAACAAAAAATTAATTTATTCAAAAGTCAACTGTTAGCAGATGAAACAGTAATAAAATTCTTTAATGTAACTAGCAAAAAATGTTTCAATTTCTCAATTTCAATTTTCTAGTACAGATTTTAAAAAAATTGTTAAATGTAACATATTAAAAAAAAAAACATTCCAATAGTTTATGATGAAAATATATAACTATTAATCAAATTCGACATTCATTTATGAGCGATCTCAACATATTTTTGTCTATTACTTACCATTATTTAATATTAACCTCTTAACGCACAGATTTTTTGAAAGAAACCGGCCAAAAAAAATCACTTTTTATAAATGTAAAAAAGCACACTTTAGAACATTGTCTTTTCTTTCGGTGGACAATTTTGATATACTGCGCTTTTGTTCCATTGAAAAAAGGCTATATTTTATTCTTGAATAAATAAGTGTTATGGCTTACAATCCTATGTAAATGATAAATATCAATAAAACAATTTTTTTTCCTTAGCTTTGTTATTTTGTACATTGTTATTTTCAATTCTCGATTGTATTTGAGTGTGAAAGATTATCGCAGCATAAAATATAACGTCGCTCGAATTATCTTGAGTGTGCACAGTTTGACCTGTTTAGCGCACTCAAATTAACTCGAACGCAGAAGTTAAGGGGTTAATTTACAAACATTTTTCTTTATTTTTATTCAGATATCAGTTTTAATTATATGTTAGATAGATTTTAATATTTGTTTAAAAAAATAGCTTTTTAGAATACACATTAAAGAAATAGGATAGTCTTACAATGCCTTTTGTACAGTGCATCAAAAAAATACGGACGGCCCTGAATAACTATTGATCTAATTATCCGATCTTCACATTCTTTGACTTATTCTGAATGATTCAAGGGGGTGGTCTCAAATACAATCTAATTAATTAATGCAGACAGTGTTTTAAGTTACAAAATCAAACACAAAAACGTACTTTCTCTGAATAAACATATTTTTTTCTTCGACAGAATCAAATTTCTAGCTCAAAAATGTAGGGGGTAGCCTCAGTCCAGAAAATATGGTCCCCATAGTTTGATCAGGAGAGCAATCTAAAATTTGGACCGCTCTCCTGACCAAACTATTTGGATCATATTTCCCAGATTGTGGCTATCCCCTATATTTTAGGTGTCAGAATCCGAATACGTCGAAAAAAAGGTGTGTTTATTGAGAGAAAGTAAGTTTTGTGTCTGATTTCATAACTTAAAATATCGTCTGCTCTAATCTATCAGCATATTTGAGGTCATTCTCTCAAGCCATTAAGATTGAATCCTAGAATGTAAAGATCATCAGATCGTTAGATTGAAAGTTATTTAAGGGTGGTCCGTTTTTTATTTTGCGCACTGTACACTTTAGTCATCAGTGTGAAAATGCATTTTGAATTTTAAATGCTGTTAACACCTCAAAATATTGTTGCACTGAATCATATTTATGGAAATGTTTTGTTTTTTATGCTATTTCTTTGTAATATGTGGGATCTTTTAAAGTTTGTAGTATTAATTGTATGATAGATCAATTGTAAATTACAGTTAGCTCAATTGTAGTAATCAAAGGTAAACTGACAATTATGAAGTTAACTGCTCTGCATTTGTTTTTGTTGATTTATTATTAAAATTAATTTCAAGATGTGTGTTTTTTGAGTTATATGATGGTTTCAAAGTTGCAGTTAGGTTACAGTAAATCAGCTTGATTCTATGGAGGAAATTGATGTTTTATTTTCATAATTGGTTTTGCTATATTTTTGTTAATAAGTGATTGTTATTTTTTGGTAATGTTTTTTCAAAAAATATTTTCTGTCTTCAATTAATAATTCAAAATATTATTTTTTGTTCATTATTTATATTTTGTCTCATATTCTCTCTTTTTGTTTATTCTTTTTCTGTTGCCTACTGTGTTCTTCTAAAATATCATGCTTGTAATGATTGATTTGATTTTCTTATCAGTGCATATGGATTTCTTGTAAGGGGTAAGAGATTATTTCATGATAATGTTTTTTTTTCATGGTAGTTAAGATCATTATATTCTTTTGTAAGTTTACTGAGAACTGTTTTTGAATGTTTTTGTGAAATTAAATAAACGTCAAACATATTGTTATTTATACAGTTTTCTTTTATTTAATTGTCACCAAAATTTCACCAAATGTTAAAATTTTATAGTTTTAAAAATTATCAAGGAGGAATATATTATTTTCCCCCTTTGAAAACTCATAGAGGGAAGGTGGGGTAAGACCAGGTAGCTACTATTCGAAAGACTGTTGAAGCTAAACTGTTCAACCTAGAAACTCTCAGATTTAATCAAGATATTTATTGTTTAGTTGTGTACAATATATCATTCTTCAATATTAATTAGTTTATTTAAAATAAAATTACAGAGAATTTCCTTATATCTATATAAAAATTACAAATTTGTTAACCTTGTAATATGTTTGCACAAAATTAAATACTTTTAAATGCTTAAAAATAAAAACTGCATAACTGATTACTCAGGGGAAAAATCGAATCAGAATCAATTAAAAAAAATTCGGATAAATTGAAATAAATAAAACAAGGGGAAAATTCATGTTTTTTTTTAACACATTACATAATACAAAAGTCCATTTAAACATTAAAAAATTTTAATAATTACTTATAGAATTAAATTTTTAAAAAAAATACATATTCTAGTTTTCAAAATAAATGCAAGTTACTTTAATTAAAGAAACTTATTAGGGTTAAAAATGATTAAAATTAAAATAAAATCCTTTCAGTGCAAAATAAGATTCAGCATTTAGTAAGAAATAAACTCCAATTTTAAAACATATTTACTTAAAATAAATTATAAGACGGGCTGAGAGAGAAAAGAAAGAAAGAAAGAAAAAAACATTAATTTTGAAGGAACTATTTTTCTTTAAATAAAAATTATGATGCTTGTTTATATTTCTTTATGCCCAATGCTTTTTTAACATGTCACTATTTACAATTAATACACATATATATCAAAATTAATTAAAATTTACATTGCTTTAAGATACTTACCTCGATTACACTTTTTTACAGTTAAGTGATATAAAATGGTAGAAAATGGTTTAAAAAATTTCTTAATGGTTATCCTGCAATTTCCAAAATTTTCAAATATTGTGATAATTTTATCTACTTGATCATCTGATAGCTTATTCTTTATTTAATGATTTCATTTAAAAACTGCTCCACCATAATCTTGAGCATGCCCAATTCATTCTGGAAAACAGTTTTTCCACAGAAGCTGTTGTTGTGGGCAGTATTAAACTTAGGGCAAATACCTTAATCTGTTTTGGGGAATTTGTTCAGATTTTTAAATCGCTTGAAAACGAATTGTTATGCATAATTTTTTCACTGCGTGAATAAAAAAGTGGTTTTTAAATCGCGTGAATACGAATCGAGATGTGTAATTTTTAAAACGCGTGAATATGAAAGCGATATGAGGTTTTAAAATTGCGTTAATACCAATCGATGTGTATAATTTTTGAATTGCCAGATAAGTCACAGTGTATGATTTTTTAAAAGGCTGAATACGAATCGTGATGAATGATTTTTAAATCTCGTTTAATGTCAATACGAAATGCGATTTTTAGATTACATGAATACGAATCACGATGTGTGACTTTTAAATTGCGAGAATCAATCAAAAGGTATGATTTTTAAAACGCTTAAATACGAATTACGATATGTGATTTTTAAATCATGTGACTGTGAAAAAAATAGATTGGGTATGTGTTCTTGAACTTGCACGTGTTCATGGAATTAAAGAAATATGTAAGTGTATTTAATTATTTTTCTGCAAAAGGGACCCGCATTAAATATACATTTTATTCTCTCTGGGAAGAGATCTGTTTTGCTAAGATACGTTAGCACTTTTTAAGTTATAAAAAAAAAATTAAAACAGAATCGAATTTCATGAGTTGTAATATTGTGTTAAAATATTAGGATATTCAAAATCATAAATGTTAAAATATCAATGTTAAAATCAGAATCACAAATGCAAAAATACAGCAATAACTGTCAAAAAAAAAACTTTCGAAGAATCTCTTATATTTCCTCTTATATATTTCTTGAAATCAGCACAAATAGAGCAAGTTAAAAGTAATCATTTTAATGCGCTTTGATTCAAAACTCATGTGCCGTGAAACTATAGTATTAAAAATATTAAAGTACGAGGAAAAGCGTGGTAATAATTACCTAAAAAACTAGAAATTCCATTGTATTTACGATGAATTCGGTATAAATAAAGCACACCAGGCAGAGAAGTGATGTATTTAAATGCGGGATTCGAAATTAAAGTGTCGCAATAGTGTATGAAAAATATCGGGAATTTCAAAATCTTGTATAATTGTGTAGCAATAATTTTCAAAATAACATTTAAAAAATACTTTGATTTGAGATAAAATAATAATAACCATGTCAAAAAGTGGTTAGCTAAATGAGCGATTCGTTTCTCACGATTCGCAATAAATCGTACTAAAAATATCGAAATTTTGAAAACCACATGGAAATGTGTAGTAACAACTGCCGAAAAAAAATCAATTAGATTTGCGGTAAAGTTTACAGAAATAAAGCACGAGTTTATTTAAATGCCCCATTAAAAACTTTCAAGACGTTAATATATATTTTTTTTAAAAAATCGCAATTTCAATAACTCATTAATATTAAAATGGCCAGCAATAACTACCGAAAAGTTATTGGATTTACGATGAAATCGGCACACGCGAAGAACGCCAAAAGTGATAATTAAAATTCATATATCGTATTAAAAATATTGGGATTTTTAAAACTATGCATAAATCCGTAGCATTAACCATCGAAAAAAAGCAATCAAAAAACTACACTGATTGAGATTGGGTGTGCCAAAAACTTTTTTTTTTTTTTTTCAAAAAAATTCCCCCCCCCCCCTTTATTTTCTCAAGTTACGGCCCCGGGCCGCATGCTATGCACCGGTTGTTATATACGGGGTTGTAGGGCAAATCACGAGAAAGATCCCGTAAAAATTGTAAAATATCTGGAAGAAATTACAATGTACATTCGCAAGGTTTTATGTATATTTTTTTTTTCGAACACATTTCCTTACGGCGATATATATATATATATGCTTTTCAGAGAAAGTTCATTTCTGTGTCATTCGTTTTCGTAGCTTANAAACGCAATTTTTTTGAATAAACATTTATTTTTTTAACATATTTGGATTCCTGACCACCAAATTGGAGGGAAGGGGGTAGACAAAAGTTAGAAAAAATTGGATCAAAGCTTAGGGAGCTAGGAAGTTTATATATTTGGCGTCGTCCCAAAAAGAGGCTATAGCGAAATTTGAAATTTAACCTAACAATACTCTAATCGCGTAATCGACAAGAGAGGAATACTCCGTTGCTAAGCAATCAAGCTCAAAGAATAAAAGAGAATAAAATAAAAACCGAAGCTATTAATCGAAGCTATTAATTATAGTAGCTAATTCTTTACAGCGATATTTCTTTTTTTTATATAATTGAAGAAATTAGTGAATGTTACGTAACATTTTAGAAAAGATTGAAAAATGTATATTTAAGAATATTGTGTGATTAATTTTTAAAAAAATCGTTTCATTCTACCAAATATGTGAGTTACGTGGCTTTCTATAGATAAACATAATTTGCAAATATTATCCTGATGTTTTTATACATTCTGAAACGGATTTTCGTAAATAAAATGTCGCTTAACATGTTCAACAGTTACGATCACCAAATATTGCTAGTGCACGATTCTTTGCTTTTTTCCTTTTATCACAAACTTATTTTACGATTCTTACCATCATTACATACATATATCTGAAACTATAGTCTCCTTTTAAACAGAATTCGTAAAGTCCTTAAGGAACTGTAATAGCGACAGCAAAACTAAGAAGATAAAGATATTTTAAGTCAAGAAGATAAAGGTATTGTGTCATCCGATTTCGTAGCTTAATTACTAGTTAGCACTACATAATTAGAATATTTAAGGAACATTTAAGGTCAACCCCAGGAACCATTAAGATTTTTTTTTTAAATTTATAACCGTCGTTGAACACGTATCGTTTTGTGTTTACGGCTACCAATGTTCAAATCCGTATCCTTAATTTTTAACTCAATCCAGAACACAAGGGAGATCTTGGATCAAGTATTGGGAGAAATTTGCCTTCATGATGAACTTTTTTGATGAAACTAACCCTCATTTGCGTTACATGGTGAAGAAAACCTCCGGCGGTTAGCCTGACGGCAAGGGGACTCTAGCCCATGATCCGTCTACTACTGAGGATATTTCACGTCAACACTGTGGTCGATGCAAGTTGGATGCGGAATTCGTATTGACCAGCCATTGCTGGGATTCGAACCCGGTTCACCTCATTAGAAGGCAAACGCTCTATCCTCTGAGTCATTCACGGCTCAACCATTAAGATTGACAAGTACGTGAAAATCCGATCATTAGAACGAAAGTTATTCAGGGTGGCATCTTTATTTTCCCCTCACTGTTCAATGACTTTTGACCTAATGATTGAATTATTGCGTACTAGGACTGTAGCTTAATGGTTCGAGGGCTCAACCTTAAATATGCAAATAAATTTTTGCGGACGATATTTTAGGTTGTGATATTAGAAACAAAAATGTACTTTCTCTGATAAACGTATGTTTCTTTCGATTGATTTGTATTTTCAACCCTCAAAATATGCCCCCAATAGTTTGGGTCAGTAGAGCAGTCGACAATTTTGCGTACAATTTCACTTTTTGCGTATTTCGCCATAACTCGGGACTTTTTAAGCGAATTGAAACGTTTTTTCATCCAATTATAAAATTCATTTATTCAACGATAATTTCATGAAAAAATGAATTTTTACTGATTATTTATTGTTTTAATAATAGTCGAACAAATTTCTACATCAGTTTAAAGAAAGTCATTCTAAATTCCAAATTACAAAATTTTAACGAAATGGGTTGAATAGTTGTTTAGAAATCAAATTTTAAACACACAATTTTTGTAAAATTTAATTATTCAGAAACTATTCGACCTATTGCTTCTTCATGATATGCTTCTCCTTTCCTTGAATGAATGTTTTTCCTTTAAAGGAAGCAATAAATAATCA